TTATACTCTTTAGAACTTATAGCTCTTTATATTTTAGTTTTTTATAACTATTTATAATATATTAGCTTACTCTTTTTATATAAACTTAATAATTATATTATAAAGAGATATTCTTTTACTATTAAACTCTAGATTAATTCTTTCTATAAATTAGATTCTAATTTTTATTTTAAACTATATCTTTTCTAACTAATATTCTTCCTCTATAGTAAGTATTTTATTAAATAATCTAAATATATTATTAGTTTATATTCTAATAAGCTTAAAGCTAAGTATATTACTTTCTATAATTAAAAAATATAGATTATAGCTAGAGATTACTATCTTTATATATATTATAAAGTACTTATAGTATATAGTATATTAATATATATCTAATTTAGTTATTCTATATAATAACTTTATAATTCTTATAACTATTCTCTTTAAATAGCTTTATTTAAGTAATTTAGATAGTTTTATATATATTATATATTATAATTCTATCTTAAACTATAGATAGATCTATATAATATCTCTATCTATTAGAATATAGTTTTCTATTTATATTAAAAATAATACTAATATAAGAATAAGATATTAGCTATAGTATTAGATAGTTAGTAACTATATAAGAGCTATTTTCTTATCTAAGTTATTATAGCTTTATACTATTAAATAGTTTTTCTTATATAGTTTTATATTCTAGCTCTTTATTTTATTAATAATATATATCTTAAATAACTAGTTACTTTAGATCTTTTAACTAAAGTATATAAACTTAAAGATCTCTATCTTAATAAGTTATTTAATCTCTACTATTATAAATATTTTAAAGAGAGTATTTAGAGTTATAATAACTTTTTTTTTAAAGCTTTTTTACTAATTTAAGAGTATCTTATTTCTTATATATTATATAGCTTATATATAATCTAATTAGTTATACTATATATTATATATATACTTTTAGCTTATTCTTTAAGCCTTTTAGTTATCTCTTTCTCTATAATAGCTTATTTATTATAAATAGTAAGAGATCTTTTAGATATATTACTAGATTAATACTCTCTTAAACTAGGTTTTTAATCTATTTATCTTTATAATATAGTTTTATATATATAGACTAAAAGGTTTTTAATCTATTATATATTTTAATTATAATATTATAAGAGTTATTTAATAATAATCTATATAGTTTAAATTATCTCTTATTCTCTTTCTATACTATAATTTTACTTAGAAGTAAAAGTTTAAAGAGTTTTATTAGATTAGGATTATTATATATAGCTAGTATAAATATAATTCTCTCTTTAGTATATAGTTCTTTTAATACTTTTATTATAAAGTTAACTATTTATACTCTTTAAACTATAGATTATAATAATAAAGAGAAAATAATAACTTTTAAATATATTTTAAATATAAGAAGTATTAGTATAAAGCTATTAAACTCTATTATATTATTTATTATTTTAACTACTACTTATAATATTAATTTCTTTAAGATTATCTTCTTAAGCTTTTTATATAGAATATTAAATATATATTATAATAGTTTATAATATCTTTTAATTTTACTAATTAATTAATAGATTTTAATTAGTATTTATTTATACTTAGAACTAATAATTCTAATATTTATATAAAATTAGTTACTTATAAATTAGATTTCTATATTATATATAATATAGTCTAGTAGTTCTAGATATATATCTAGCTAGATTCTTTTTAATATTTTCTATATAGTTTTTACTAAGATATTCTTAAGAAATATTATATTCTGAAATATAGTTACTATATATATAATATATAAAATAGATTTCTAATTTAATAGATATATAATATTAATTATAATCTTATAATTAAAATTAAAATTATTCTATAATTTAAATCTAAAGTATTTTAGAATTAGATTATAAATCTAGTATTAATAGTAGAAATATTTAATCTTTTTTATTATCTTTTTATTTATATCTCTATAGTTTACTTTCTTTAGAAGCTAATATAATCTCTCTACTAATAGATAATTAAAATAGTAGTAAAATTATTTTAGCTCTAGTTCTATTAAATAGACTATATTAACTATTAGTATATACTCTAGAAAGAACTATATATAGCTCTATTTTCTTATAGTTAGAATAGAAAAACTATTTATAGTTCTAATTACTTTATTAATTATATTTCTAAACTTAATATTTAGATAATCTATATTATAAAGATATATTAGAAAAGAAATCTCTAAATTTATTATATAAAATATAATAGATCTAAATAGAGTATATAGCTCTATTATATTAAGTAACTCTATAAGTTTTTTTCTAAACTTAATATTTTTTATATTAATTATAGTATTTAGTTTAATTAATAAATTAATTTATTAGAATACTTTAAATTATAATTTATCTATAGTTAATATTAATAAAGTATTTATATCTAGTATAATTCTCTAGAACTATATTATATATTTCTCTTTAATAATATATTATAATAAGTTCTATAGTTCTTTTTAGATTTTCTCTTTAGAAAGTAAGTATTAAAATACCTTATTAAGTAGATATTATATTAGTTATTAGTTATTATTACTTATATACTAGTCTTTCTTATCTAAATTATTATAATTATTAGAATCTCTATAATCTATTATTCTAAACTAGTTATTAATTTCTTTCTAGTTTTAAATTTATTATTTAAATTCTTCTAGTATATTATCTTTTTCTACTTTCTCTTCTATTTCTAGAAAGTTAGTTATAAATTAGTAATATACTTTAGATCTCTATTATAAGTAATTTATTAACTAATACCTAGATTTATTATAAATAAAATAATAGTTTCTCTAGCTATTATATTATAATCTTTAGTTTTAACTAGTAAAATCTCTATTAAATAATCTTTCTTTTATATTTAAGAAATAATAAGATTACTATTATACTCTATTTAGTAGTTTCTAGATATATCTATATTATTAGTTAATAAAGTATATATCTCTTATTATATTCTAAACTATTAAAATTATTAGATTCTATTCTAATTATTTTAAAAAGTTTATTTCTAATATTAATATAAGATCTTATATAAAAGCTTTAGTATTTATATATTCTCTTTAGAGTATTATTTCTAACTTCTTTAAGTTTTTATATATTCTTACTATAGTATCTTTAAGATTATTATTCTCTTTATAGTTATCTCTAAATACTTTCTATATTCTTATAAATATTATAAAGACTTTCTATAGTATCTAGTATACTATAAGATCTCTATTCTCTTTATTTATCTATATTAAAATAATATTAGTCTAGATCTAGTTATAATAATATTACTATTTATTAATAGTATTATTAAAGTATTATTTTAGCTTAAGATATATCTTTCTAAATATATATTCTTTTTTAATATATTAGAATTAGAAGTTCTATATATTCTATTTAAGAATTTAAAAGAGAATAGCTTTAAATCTACTAGACTATATATTATAGGATTTATATATATTTAGTATTATTCTAATCTTTATATTAAGTATATTATATAGTTTCTCTTTAAATAAGTATTTCTTTATATTATAGAGCTTCTAAAAGATTATAAGTTCTTATATAAGTATAATACTTATTCTAAGATTATTTTCTAATAGAAAATTATAATATAGATTATATAATCTAAATATATAGTTTTCTAATTACTAGTTTAGAATTAGATTCTAAAGAGAGAAAGATATTTTTAGTATTAAGTTTATATTTATTTAAGATATTTCTATCTTATTAATCTTAATTATATATATTATACTTCTTTCTTAGAGTAGTTATAGTATTAATAGTTTATATTCTTAAGACTTTCTATATTACTCTTATAATTAAAATATCTAGAAGTTTAGATTAAAGATAATTATAAGAAATTATATATTTTTTAATTATTTTAATAGATTCTTTAATTCTTATATATTATTAAAAGCTATTTTAAAGATATTATTTAGTAGTTTAATAAAAATACTACTATATTATAATATATATTTTAACTCTTTAATAATACTAGTATTTAGAAATATAAATATTTCTAATAACTAGCTTCTAAAATTATATATAAACTTACTTAATAGATTATTATTATATAAACTAATATATTTATAATAGTATATATAATATACTATATATATATTAGTAAGTCTAATAGTAATAATCTAGATTATTAAGATTAAATAGTTTATTTAATTAATATTATTTATATAGATCTTTATTAGCTTAATTATATTAAAGATTTCTTCTACTTTATTATATTTAAAGAGAGATAGTATAAGTAGTATTTATATTAATAGTACTATTATATTTACTTAGAATATAAATTCTAAAATATATAATAGATTTAATAGTAGGGATATATAGAGTTCTACTCTTATTAAAGAAATAAGAATCTCTATTTAGAAGGATTTTAATAGGATATAGAGGGATTAGAATAATAGTAAGATAAAGGAATAAGAGATTTCTTATTTTCTTATAGAATTAGAAAAAGAAGAATATTCTATAAAAGTAAACTCTTAAGATTAAATAGTTAAAAAGAAAAATAATCTTATTAATTACTTCTATCTATATTAATAGGGAGATATATATAATAAGATATTCTTTAGAGATATTTCTAATACTAATAGTATTATTAAAGAAATAAATAATCTATTTATTTAGAATTCTTTATTATTATTTTTACTATAAATAAGAATATATTCTAAGATTAGATAATATATAATCTAATTATATAATTTCTTTAAAAATATAATTAGTAGTTTATATCTAAACCTTTAATACTATAAAATAAAGTTAAAATTAAATACTTTTATTATTTAAAATTAAAAAGAAAATTATTATATAAGATATTCTATAATCTTAACTCTATTATATTATAAGTAAATACTCTAATTTATATAATAAGATATAACTTACCTATACTATAGCTGATATAGAAAGAGAATAGTAATAAACTTTTATATACCTAACTTGTCCCATAAGAATTATTTATATATATAGCCCCCTGCGCAGCTGTTAATAAGCCTCTGTGTTTATCTGGTGGGAAATTGCGGTCCATTTGATAATCCCCGTGATAATGTTCTTTCCTAAAATGGTCAATACCCGAGGACCCATAATTGATCCTGTCTGCGATTAGTTGTAAAGGGTAATAGTGGGTTGGAAAACCTTGATATGACATGACTCAGAGTACCTAGACTAACCTTGCGCATAATAGGTGAGTGCTTCAGTATGCTCTGACGCAAGGACTGCTTGCAATGCAGCCTCGGCGAGGATAACACGCTCTGCAGTACTGTTGTTTGTGATGTAAGGTTTTTTAGACATTTCACTCTCAGCAAGTGATCCGAGTATTCCGCCAACTGGATCAAGCAGAGGTGATACAAGAGGAATTAACTTGGAGCCAACATTGGCGACAGCTTTGAAAATGTCCATGAAGCCTCTTCACCGGATTCTGCGGACTGTGCTTTAATGGGCCTGCTTTCGTTCAGGCGGTCTTGTCCATTGACACCGTTCTGTATGCTCAGCTCAGTAATCTGATAATAGCAAGGGGGGTACGTACACTAGATAGAGCAACAGTGTTGTTGATGACTCGCTGGTTGCTAGCAGCCTGAGCCTTAGTGTCGACAACGTGAACGGTATCAATGTCTCCGAAAGTCGATGGAATGCTAAAAAGGCGTACAAAGGCCTAATTAGCGACCTCCGCCTCAGGTCATTTGTTCCACCCCGTCTGCATCTGCATTCACATAATGACCTCAGGGTGACCTTCATTCAGCACGGCAATCCGCTGTCATTCGCACCCTCGCAAGTACCCTCCAAGTCCACCTGTGCAGGCCAACGAGCCCACTAAGAGGCTTCCACCCTGCCCATAAGTCTTGAGGAGTACAATGACCATATCGCCAACACAAGAATAAGGGCAGCCGCCGAGTTTATTCACACTAGAGCAGCCGTGCGCAGTTACAACGACGCAAGCATTTAGGCAGAGACAGGCAGAGATACCGTTGATAGTAAAGAGCTGCGCTATTTGTGTTTGGTATCATGGGTTAGGTTCACAAGGTGTGCAGGAATAAGGTTTGGCAACAATAAGCATGATCCCTGTCTGGATTACGGGTTCTTTTCGACGACGGAAAGCACCGTGACAAGCATAGATTGAAAAAAATTAAGATGCACAGAACTGATCGTTCTCCTTGTGAACCTTGGATTTGAGTGCGCAATACAGAACCTCACTCTCTGAATTTATAAACTTCGAAAAAACAACTTTAACTTTCATGAATCCAATGGTCACTTAAATCCATTTATGAAAGATCTCGAAATTTGTATAATATCTGACGAGAAGTTGAATCCATAGGCCCTAAAGTAATGGTGAATCTTTGTTCAACTTATATAGCTTAGGTGCAGTCCTGAAACAAGACCCCACGTCTAACCTTGTCTTTGACATTCACTGTTATGTCGCACAGGGTACACTCCTTGTCTTTAAACCGGCCCACATCAACGGGTCTTTGTGTATAAATACTTGATCAGGTCGTTCCCCTTTCTCTCTATTCTATCATTCAATCCACCACAACCATCTTCCCTATCCAGCCTTTCAATTGCATACGCCAATCATACATTATGTCTTGGAACCGTATCGCTGTCTATGGCCATCGCGGGTTATTCAGCTCTCGAATTGCTGCTGCACTTGTCGCGTCCGGCGCACCTGTCACCATTCTGTACCGGCCTGAATCGGACGCTTCCAATTTCCCCGCCAACGTCCCCACCATCAAGGTAGACCCCTTCGACGAAGATGCATTGGTCGCAGCCTTGCACGACATTGATATTGTCATGTAAGTTTGAAAAAGCTCACCGTGTACTGGATAAGATGAGGACTAAGAAATCGCCAGCTCTCTAGTAGGGGACAAGGGTGTCGATGCGGAGCAAGGCTTCGTCCGGGCTATCCCCCGAACCCAGGTCAAGCTGTTCGTACCATCCGACCTCGGGCTTCGCTACGGTGAAGAAGGGATGCTGATCCCTCTCTTGAGGAAGAAGGAAGACGTTCAGAAGGCTGCTAGGCAAGCGGGTATTCCATTGACTGTTATTCTCATCGCCGATTTCGCAGAGTTTACTCTCGGCTCTATGTGAGTTCTTCCTTGATAACCTGCGATGGTTGCCAGGATTGCTGACAAGACTTGACGTAGCGCAATGGGAATTGACATCAAGGGAAACAGACTTCTCTACACCGGCAATTCGGCTAAGGAAAAGGCCGTTATGAGGTAAGTTTCGACACCGAACCACCTGGGCGGGATTTAGGGACATCAGTTGACCAAACGGTGTAACACAGCACGGCAGACTATGTTGCAGCCGCATATGTCTCGATCTTCACCCGCAATCCTATCGCCGAAATCAGCAACCGAGCCATCGGTGTGATCGAGCTCGCCCCCACTGGCGAAGAGATCGCCGAAGCACTCCGGAAAAAACACGGCGAGGAGCCTAAGATCTTCACTCAAAGCGTTGAAAAGGCTGTAGAGGACTTCCATACTCACCGTAACTCTGATCATCCAGTCCTCTCCCGTCTCTCTCCAGTCTGGTTTTACCGCAAGCTTTGGGGAACAGGCGAATTGACGAGTATGCTTGGTTCTGATATTTGGGATGTTCCGGGGTATAGAAAGGCCACGGTAGACGATCTTATTGTCGAAGGAAAGGTAAATCCTTATCGGGATCTGTCCCAGTTTTTACCCTATCTGGAAGAAGCCATGTTCTCATAAACATACTCTTTCTTGGCTACCTATAAGTAAGAGCAGACTCTCTAGAATATAATTGAATACAGCCAAGTTGCAATATACTGGTGGTTTGTCTAGTATCGACTTAATATGATAGAAAGCTAGTAAAATCTAAAGACTAACTTAAAGAATTATCCTTATTATATTTCTCTCAGTTACCTTATTCTAGTAATAAATCTTATAATTTAAAAAACCTTTCCCTATCCTGTATCTCATATTCAGTTATTACACTTGAACTTGCTTCCTCTACACAGCTAAGATATCCTTGCATAACTCTACCAAAACAGTATTAAGCGATATTACCTTCAACACAGACTCCTTAATATCTATATATTGTATAAACTATTCCCTAATCCTCATAGCTACAAGTAAGTCGATGCCTATACTCGCTACCGCCACATTTGTGTCAAGCTTCTCAGGCTTCATACGTAGTATACTATACAATGCCGTCGTGAAACTAGTAAGAATAAACTCGAGATACGCGTTATAATCTCCTACAGACGCCGCAAGCTGCACCTTGAGCTATATATTACCACTATCCTTAACAGTAGCCTCGCCTGCTTCTTCATCTGACTGGAGAAAATGCTATAAATGAGGCTGTTCTCTCTATGAGTAAGTCCTAATGTCTCCGCGGATTCCGGTGATGATATCAGGTCTCTCGCCGGTAATAACCTCAGCTAACATGTTGTGAAGATCCGTCTCGCTAACAGGAAACATGAGCTAGTACGGTGACTCCTCTACAGAACCAATAGCTGGTGTCTAAGCCAACTTGACAGAAACTGCCTGGCCGAGGTTGCGCTCAGGAAGCTACTTACATAGCCGGACACTGGGCTCGTCCTGTGCCTGGGGTTATTTAGTTATCAAGTAGCGCAGAGTCCCGTTCTGGCCGATTCCGGCAGGTGCTTTTCCATGAATTGTAACTAACAATGTCGACGAACAGTGTGGCCTGTATCCGCAATATCCAATCATGGGCGGAGAGAAAGGTATCGAATGGTTGATTGACTAATATATGTAATATCACTTACTATTATATCTACCCTAACAAAATTAGACCATAAGGTGAAGCAATTTCCTATACGAGCTTGCAAGGATCGTGAATCCAGTATATATATATAGAAATCGAAACCTGATACTTATAATAGCTATATCAGATTAGCTAAACTATAGTATTTATAGATAACTCTATAGACCAGATTCTAGAATTACTATTAAGTTAATATCTATATTAATAGCTTACTCTCCTTAATAGCTTACTTTATTATTAATACTATAATATATTCTACTAGAATATATTAAAATTTAATAGATAAATTTAATTTTTTTTTTTTTTTTTTTTTTTAGTTTTTTTTTTTTAATTATAAATAAAATTATCTTAAGATTAGATATAATATATAATTTATTTATAATATAGAGTTTTTTTATATATATAGTTAGTAGTTTATATCTAGATTTTCTATAAAATAAAAATAAAAATAAAAATAAAAATATTTTTAATTTAAATATAGATATTAATATTTTAAAAACTCTAATAATAGAAGCTATTTATATAATTAGTATTTTTTTTAGAGGTTTTTATTTATAATAGTTAGATAACTTATATTAAATAGGGTCTAGAATAGGTTAGGGTTAAACTAATTAGAGTATTATTCTAAGTAGTATAATTAGATTATCTTAAGCTATATAATATAAGTTACTATTAATATATAAGTATTATAGAGCTAGTAATAATAGATATATAGATAATTATATAAATAACTATTTAAAGAAGTATTTTTATTTAAAAAATAAATATATATATATAATAGTTTAGAAGTATATAGAGTATATTACTTTTAGTAATTTATTATTATTCTATAATAGGAGTATAATACTCTTACTACTTCTATTTTCTAGATAGTAGGATATATATAATTATATAACTTATTATAAAGATCTTTATTTATAATATAATACTCTCTTCCTATTAGTTTTATTCTTAAAATTCTATATAAGCTTAATAAGTTCTTTCTTTCTTTTATATATAATAACTATATTATAATATTTATTATATTTAATTATATTTAAAAATTAGTATATTTTAAAACTTATAAATAAGTTCTTCTTATTACTACTATTTAAATATTTAGTTTATCTATTAATATATTATATACTCTATACTTTAAAATAGAGAAAGAGTATTTTATTCTTCTAAATAGAAAATTATCTTAATATAATAAGTATATATAAAATAGTTATTATTATAATAGAGTACTAGTTATATCTAATTATAAATATTTCTTTTTTATACTTTTTTTTTCTTCTAGCTTCTTCTAATTTTATTATTTTAGTAGAAAAGTTAATAATATAATAAAAGAAGCTAGTTAAAGAAGAGTTTAATATAAATAAGAAGATTCTTCTTTTATATTAATAAATAATTTAACTTTAAAGTAATCTTTCTATTACTTTAGAGTATATTTAGTATATTTATAAGGTATAGGGGTATATTAAAAGTAAAGTATAGTAGGAAATTCAGTATAGTTTTTAAGAGCTTAATAAGAAAAATTAACTATCTTTAGATTAATCTCTTAATTTCCTTAAGACTTCTAAGTAGTATACTTTAAAGGAGATCTAATTCTTAGAGATTATTTCTAAAATAGATTTAAATTTATTAGATTTTAAAGAGAATTTTTCTAATTTAGTTTCTTTTTTTCTTTCTAATAGAACTAGTAAATTAAGTATTAGTACTTCTTTAAGTATTTAATAAGTTTCTATATATTATCTTTATTAGTATATTCTTTTTATTTAATTAGATAAAATATTTATCTATTTCTAACTTCTTTCTTTAGAATTTTTTCTAGTTTAAATTTTTCTTTATAGATCTTAATTAGATAATCCTAATTTAGTATATTATCTAGTACTTTTTTAAGTAATAAGATATAAAAAACTAGATAGATATATATTATATCTAGTAATAAGAGTTTATAATTAGTATTTAATTTTTTTTTAAGGATTTTAAATAATCTAAGTTTTTTATAGTTTAATTTATTACTTAATCTTATTATTATAATATTTTTATAAAGTAAGTAAATCTTATCTCTCTCTTTTAAGATTAGTTCTTCTAATCTAGTTTTATTATAATATTTTTTTATTCTTTATTAGATAAATTTAAGTTCTATTTTTATTTCTATATATAGTAAATATAGTATTTCTTTTATAAGTATAATAGCTAGTATATTAGATCTATTAAGTTCTAATTAGTTCTAAAATTATAGTTTATAATTATAATTAATATATATAGATATAAGTTAGATTAATTTTTATACTAAGCTATTATATATAATTTATACTATAAGTAGTAGCTATATCTAATTATTTTATTTATAATTAATATATATTTATAAATATTATTTTAAAGTTTAATTTAATTATTCTATTTAATTATTATCTTAGGGGTAATAAGCTATTAAGAGCTTATATTTAATATCTATTTATACTATAAGTAATTATTAAAATTTAGAGGTAAATATTATTTCTCTATCTAATATAATCTTATTAGATAATCTATAGTTACTAGCTATATATTATAGGAATTAGTATATAAAATCTTCTATAGAGCTTACTTTCTTATATAGAATAAAGATTCTATATTTTATAAATCTATTAATAATTATTAGAATACTATTATATTCTATTTCTATTATTAGTTCTTTAGATAATAGTAGTTTAATAATATAGTTAAAGAATATTAATTACTATAGTTATTCTAATACTAAAACTAGTTTAAGTTCTCTATAGAGTTTATATCTTATAACCTTAGTTCTAATATAAGTATTATATTCTAAGATTATATAAAAGAAATTAAATTATTAAAAGAAAAAATTAAATTAAATAGGATTAATTAAATAGTATTTAAAATTATAATTAATTAATTATTATTATAGAATATTTAAAGAAAAATATAATAGCTAATTATAAAGTTATTATATATTAATTAAAAAACTAAATATAGTTTTATATAGTATTTTAATACTTATATATTAATAGTAATTTATATAGTATTAAGATAATCTAATTATATTATTTAGAATAATATTTTAATTAGTTTAATTTTAATCTACTCTAAGCTCAGTTTAGATAAGTTATTTAACTATTATAAAATAACCTTTTTAAAATAATTTTCTTTTTAATTAAATAATTATTAGTTACAAAATTTAAATATTTAATATATAAATAAATTTAGTAAAATTATATAAGAATAAAAAATATATAAAGTTTTAATAATTTATAATATCTAGCTAATTAACTATTATTTTAAATAGTCTCTTTATATATATATAATAGAGCTATCTAATTTAAGCTACTAATTAGCTACTACTTATAACAGCCTCTTTATATATAGATAATATAGCTATCTAACTCCTATATATCCAGTTTATATACTAATAGATCTATACTTATATACTTTATAATTATATTAGTATACTGACCGTAAAGATATATCAATTTATAGCTAATCATTTGGAGCATTTATAGCCAACCGTCTGGATTATTCATAGCCAATCATTTCTTAACGCCTTACGGTATTAGGAAAGGTCGCGAGAAATTTTATGAGTATATTAGATGTCGCGGTTGAGGCCAGCCAGTACGCCGAGGTAATGATATCGTCGGGAAGGACTAAGCGCAGAGGAGCTTTCGGCTAATCCTAGGATACCTTGGCGCTCAGGGGAGAGCCATTTCCGTTATGATTACCTCTATCTGGCTTTTACGAGCCCTCATTTCGTCTACGGAAGGCAAGCATACTTTGAATGTACCTGCTCAGTGCAAAGTAGTCTGACATAGTAACTTAGCGGCCCATTTCCTTGCCTCCCATTAAGTTCCCCGTCATTTGTCCGTCACTTCCAACTACGTCTAACCCCGCACCCCGGACTTGGCAGGCCACGTAATGCCGTCCAAATCACCCTCAAACTCGCTTCTACAGTCAGATTCTTTCATTACTATTGCTGTGGCTTGGCAATGCCTTCACCATCTTCCTCGATTTCCCAGTCTCGGGCACAAGAGACAGCAAACGGACCCTTGAAACGCAAGCGACAGCCACGAGCCGCTGTAGCCTGCGACACTTGCAGAACCCGTAAAGTCAAGGTTCTCTCTTCAACACCTTCTCTAAAGACTATCCGACACTGACCTTGTCTTGCTTCAAGTGCGACGGAGGGCTTCCTTGTTCAAACTGTGTTAGTAAGTAGTAGCAGTACTTAGCGATCGCTGGAATAAGTAGCTTACTCCTGCACCCTGCAGAACACTCTTTTAGGTGCTCCTACAAAGACGGCCATCCTCAGCCCAACCGAGCGAATTCCGGTTCTGATCTTCACAATGGTCCTGTATCTGAAGCCGGTGAGGCAGCAGAGCTTGGTGAGGGTGTTCACAGCTTTTCTGTCGAACGGTCGGCGTCTCCTTTGGCAGGTGGCCTTGGTAACATTAACCAGCACAACGGAGGCTCTGAGTTTTATGGGCCGAGCGGGACATTTTACTTCCTCTCTCGGGTGCGTTCCCATGCCCAGTCTCGATGGCAGCCCCGGCGGTCCCAAACTCCTGCTGCTGGCGCTAGCACAGACAGTGGCTCGGTAGTCAATCTATTGCACAGCTCAGATTACACGCTGCCCGATACACAGGATGCTAGCTTGCCCGGATCGAATACCTGTTCCCTTGCTCAGTCAGCCAGCGAGCCTTCTTTGGCGGCCAGGGTAACTACCCACAATGACGAGCCGCTGTCCAGCATGGAGACTGAGATTCAACGGGAATGCTTCAGACTCTATTTCGACAACTTGCACTGCGTCCACCCAATCCTTGACCATGCCTCTTTTCTCGCTCGAAGTAAGAAGGAGGTGTGGCAGAATCAAGGCCAAGATGGCTCTACTCTCACCCCGATCCCAGGAAAACAACGGAAGCAGAGATTTCTTGCTCTATTCTACATTGTTCTGGCCATCGGGGCTATAACAGCTGGTGAAACATCACCACTTATGTGGGATCGTACGACCAGAGTCCTGGAGAAAGCTTGCAGCAATCATGTTCTTAGCAGTACTCCCTTATATGCCCCCATCCGTGTCGCTCGGCTATACTTTGAAAGAGCCAAGACCTTTCTGGGCGATATTTTTGAGTCAAGCTCAATCGAAACTACGCAAATACTTTTCCTTATGGTTTGTCAGGTGCCTCCCAAGCAAAGGATCCCTTTTTGTTAGCTGACCGGTTTTCTTTCTTCAGGCTGTATTCTGCCAGAATGCTCTGAAGCCCCATAGCTGCTACCTGTATAGTGGCATGGCCTTGAGGACTGCCTCTGCTATCGGCCTTTCAACCGCCGCCCACAGCGCTTCCAGTGAAAGTAGTCGTTTGTGGTGGTGAGATCCGACCTTTCCTCGCCCTTCAAGCGGGCTATCGCTGACAAAGCTCGCATTAGGGCAATGTATTCCTTCGAGATGTGAGGATCCTACACCCTGTCTGGAGCTATTGTCGAAGATAGCTAACGAATGGCAAAGTGAAATGTGTTCTGCAGCAGGGCGTCATTTCTTCCTCCTGGCTCCTAGTCAGTATGGAATTCCTTTGCCTTCTACTGCAAGTATTCCACCGGGCTTCCCATTCCCTTCTATCATTACTAATAAGACTGTCTAGAGCCCTGCTGGGTCACTTTTGCCATTTATTTCCAGCATGGTTGACTTCGCACGTATCTTGGCCGAAGTGGCAGTGAATGCGAACTCTCTTGGCCAAGAAAAAGAAACCTTGACGGTAAAGTCGAATAGATCAAAAAGTCTTGAAAACAGCCTGGAAGACTGGAAAAACAGACTTCCCAGTCACCTGAGCTTAGAGGCCGCATCCCTGCACGAAAACGAACTCATCACTAAGCAGAAAGTTGTCCTGAGGCTGCGTAAGCTATTCTTGCCAAGTTGCATGAAAAGGAACTCATTGTTTAGCTGACCGGTTCAGGCTACTTGAATATGAAGATACTCGTGCATCGACCGTTCCTGCTATTGGCTTCTGCAGGACAGGATCTCCTGCTGTCTGACCATGTGTCTTCCTGCGTTAAAGCAGCTAGTGAGACCATCAGATTTGTGTGGGATACATATCTATATCGACCATATTTCCGTACCTGGTGAGTTCACCCTTCACTTGAAGAGTACATTTTGTGACGTTGAGTGGCTAGGTGGTATAACTGTACCTACGTTCTCGATGCAACCATGGCATTATTGTATGTCATCCTACTCAATACCAGCCTATTCCCGATCGACGTCATCTTGGGAGATATCGATAAAAGCTTGGAAATCTTCGCATCCATGAAAATGCTTTCCGTCGCCCGCAGATGCACTGAAATCACGAGGGAGGTTCTGAATGCGGCCAAGACATCCCATGCGGCATCCTTCCATCAGGCCTCAGATAAACACGGCCAGGAAGTCTCGTTGTGTGATAGCAATCGAGCTGGTGATATGGATGCACTTGAATCAGTCAACAACCATCTAGGGCGCAATGGCGATGTTGATGGCCATGAACCTACGTATGAGGAAGTATACTCGGGCCTAGTGGACACAAACTTGGTGTACAATTTGCTCAACTTTGAAGATTGGAACGCCTGGTCTGCAACAGATGACCGCCCAGGTTCAGAGACGGGTAATTTCTTGGGCTAGATATGCTATATATGGTTAGGTATTTAGGAGGAAAGCATAGCATCATTACTATTTAAGCCTACCTGTCGGGTTTTATAGGGCAGGATTCTTTGTGCCAAGGTCGAGTCATCAACGATAAAACCACCGAGACATGCTGAAATTCTAGGCGCAAAAGTACACTGCAGCACATGGAACCCATGGGCTTTAAGTTACGGCAACTCAAATAAGAAAACGTGTAATAACACCCTACAGAGCCCCAGTGGTTCGATTTGGCAACTTCGTAGCGCAAACTCGCACCTGGAGGAGCATCGCATCTTGTCGATTGTGAAGTTGTATTCGCTTTGATAATTTACATGTGTTACATTATCAAAACTCTAAAGGGATAGGAGGTTGCTACTTTCCCACATGAGCCAGTATCAACGACGCCAAATCCTCCGCGGTTGACTTCGCGTCGAGAAAACCAAGCAAGTGCTGGTCAGGCCTCACAAGTAGTCCACTGCCATGAAGAATGCCTGAACCATCATTGTACATCTGTAGTTGCTCCTCATAGACAAATTCAAAGTCGTTGTCGAATGACCGCAAACGCAAGTTGATCCCAGACGACTGGAATATCTTGTCCAACTGGCCAACTCTTGGAGCCCAGGTGTCATGGGACGATACTATAAGGGTGAAGCTGTCAAACTCCACAAGATCCAGCATCGAAAACTGACGGTCATCGATAACAGCTTGAGGAAACTCTTTGACGTAAGACACATCGAGAGGCACCACGTTGAATGATGCCGCGCTGAGTCGTGGCTTGATCCAAGCGTGTGGTAGGCGGCCACCTGGGGTAAACTTGGGAGAGAACTTGGACGCGTGCGGTGACGTCGTTTTATCTCCGTAGACATAACCAATATGAAGACCAAGCTGCATACCATGTCAGCTCATTCATTCATCACGTCTCATCGGCCACTGACATTATCAAAGTGTTCCCGCTGCCCCTCGATTTCCCTTGCAATCATATCCTGCTTGGCAGGATCGTGAACTGACTTGTAGAGATTTCTTCTTGCTTCCTCCATGTCATCAATTCCAGCCGTTCCTAAGGCCTTGAGGAATGAGAAGATCTTCTTGCCGTTCTTAACGCTTTGAGTCGAGTTGACTAATGCAATCTGTCGTCTATCATCTTCGTAGGTTCGTAGGATCGACGGGGTGGCCCAGCCATGGTGGACCGCGGCAACCTTATACACAATATTATGTGCGTCGGCAATGCCGGAGTTCAGACCCAGTCCACCGGTAGGAGGGAATGAATGCGCCGCATCACCAACTCTAGATACATTATGGTTAAGTCTTGATGACACGGTCCCGGATCCGGGAGAGACGTACAAGAATATGTTCCCTTGTCTGTATTGGTTGGCGACCTTTCTGCTGAGGAGCCATGGTCGATAGCTTAGCACTTCAAACGGGACTTTCTGGCCAATGGCGGCAGCGATAGTTGTCTGAGCGAGTTCTTGGGACCAGCTATTGACTGGATTCTTCTTGGACTACGTACTGTCAGTTTGTGTTCATACATGAATGCCAACTGGCTATACCGACATTAAAGTTGCTGATTAGTACATGGTTGGCATCCAGATCATACGCAATGATGAATCCAGAGCACGCTGGATCTGTAATCCAGTACAGCATGCCAGTCCTTTCACCAACGACAGACCGGAGATTGGCCTTGAAGTGGATAGTCATCATGGTCTCATCTGGGGGATATGGTCAGTAATAACGCTCACCAATGAAAGGAGAGACATGGATATAACTTGCAGCCATCTTCACCCTCTGACTCTATGGCAAGGTCCGCACGAACCTGGCTCTTGGCTCCATCACAGGCCAGGACGTGTCTGGAGCGTACTTGCCATTGGGCTTTCGTCGAACGCTCCTCAACTGTTGAGATGACATGGTCGTCAACCTCAAGCATCAAAGTCAGCCAAGTGTATTTTTTTTTGGATGGCTCTGGCACCTGGTTTACATACTTGCCGAGATGTGATAAAGGCGACATTCTTTCGGATCTCGACATTCGGGTCATGCTCAAGTTCTTTGGCAACGAACTGTTCGAATGCTGGTTGTGGAATGTTATGGATCATCTACTTTCTATCAGCCATACAAGCCACCACTGAGTATGCTAATTGGTCTTACCTCTGGAGTATGTTCTAATACTCCAGCGTCCATTCTCTCATAGGGAAGAAGCCCGATGTGGTCGCGGCTCAGGTCGGTAACAAAATTGACCCAGCTGGCATCCTCACGAGGGGTACCAAGCTTACGCATAGCATTCGTGTCGAGACCATATTGGCGACATATCTCGAGGCTTCGAGGACAGAGGGCATGCGCTTTCGGGGCGGCGAGTCGTTCAGGGTATTTCTCGATTAGCAGGGACTTGACTGTGGCGGGGAGTGTCAGAGATGGTTGATCATATAAATTTGCTACCTTTACTCACTTCCATGTTTGGAAAGCATGTAGGCCGAGAGTAGACCAGTAGGACCACCGCCAACGATGAGGACAGGCAGTTCGGCGGATTGAGCTGGGCCACCGGGCTCGGTGTTACCAAGGCCATCGCCATTCGACTTGGCGTGTTCCAGAATTCCATGCATGACGATTCTATGTGCAGGTACTGCGGGCGACGGTGAAACTTGCTCGGACCAGAAACAGATACTTTAGGAGACCTTTGAAATAGATAATTTTCAACCGTGATGTATCCCCCGGGGGTCGCCGAAGTCGACGGTCCTATTGGCTGTGCAAGTTGAATTTGTTCCGAGCCGAGCCTTCCGATTCGTCGCTGGGTTTCGGATCCGGCGGGAACCCCGAACCGAGCCGATCTCTTACATCCGTGGTATTGGGATGTCTCGTTTCGGATGCTCCGGCATGAATCAAATTCCCAATGACCTGCCCGCGATTGGCATTGACTATCTAGAAAGCTCATCAGCACCGTTGGCAAGTTCAGCTATCTGATTTGTGACAGCCACTTGTCTTGATCTCGAAAATCATTGGCAGGAAACAATCGGTTCCAAAAAGTGCAATCCCATACCTTACCTCTTTCGAGGCTGTAGGGAAGTTGGGAAGAACCAAAGACGGACAGAAAATCGGTTACCGTGATAACGCCGACGAGAAAGGGACCATTTAGACTTGTCACCGTCAACACGGCTCCTGAGCGAGCGAAGCTGCTCATTGGACGCTTGATCGAGGCACTGAAGGATGACTATGATATCACCCACGTCGATAACTGTCAGAGTATGAAGCCCCTTGCCTTACTGTTTCGATGATCTGTTCTAATGAGATATGTGGCAGGTATCGATCAAGTCGCAGCTATCGTCACTCAGCGCAAGCCCAACGTCCTGGTAAGCTCGATGTTGTCGATACAGGTTCTCTCGCGCAAGATCTGACTGACGACAACGAAGTTTTCTGCGTCAATGTGGACAGCGGAAGAGGCTCAGCGGATCCATTGGATTGCAGAGTCTATAGTGCCGGATATCAAATTACACGCGATCCCTACTGGTTTGCAGGTTGAGAGAGGGCCTGATGCAATTGTCGACTATCTGGTCGAAAAGGTTCCCCCGTTGTTAGATTCTTGAAAATGGGCTGAATAGGGTTTCGGGCAGCACACTGGATTAGGATGGATGTTTTGATCACCAACTACACCGGGAATGGGAGAATACGCGTAGATAGATGTTGATAGGTGTGAACGATGATAGATAACCAGAGAGTGCGGTTTGTACATCTTGGCTACTCTGCGACGGCGACTATATGCATAGCAAAGTGTGAGATGGGAGAAGCTAGAAGCTTTGTCGTAGTTGACTGCCCTTTGTGCGTTCTTCTTTTATTTGGCCGAAACTGAGGGAATCTTGCGAGAAGTTCTCGGTGAAATGACTCTTTCGGCCTCGGCGCTTTTGGAAGTATTCCCATCTTCGAGAGACCTACGCCATCTTGTTTAGAATCACTTTGTTGGTTGACGTACCACCCAAAACTGTACTCGTCTAGTCTTCATTCTCAAATACACTAAAGAGCGTTCCAATGTGTGGCAAAATCTCGACTGCAAATTTATCCCCATGTCTCAGCGTCTCCTTGGGCGCCCGAGCCATGCCAACTCCGGAGGGTGTTCCGGTGATGATAACGGTGCCGGGTAAAAGTGTGGTGCTCTGCGAGAGAAAGCTAACTAGCTTGGGAACGGTCGACATGAGATCACTGTCGATAATTGATGTCAGAAGAGTTTCCTTGCGCGCGGCAGTGAATTGGCAGGTGCTTACTTGATGCCACAGTCCTGTAGAACCTTGCCGTTCTTCAATCCCCGGACCCAAAGAGTTGACACATCCGAAATCACAGACGTGGATACAACGACGGGACCTGAGCCCAGTATTAGGCCGTCGTTTTCGTGCCGGCTTAAAGAGTGTATACGTACCTAGCGGACATGCTCCATCGAAGCCCTTGGAGAAGGACCATTGCGACTGGTTTAGCTGAGAGGTCCGGCTTGATATGTCATTTGCGGCTATGTAGCCCAGAATGTAGTCAGGAGCTTCGGCCTCACTGACGTTCTTAGCAGTCTTGCCAATGATAACTGCTAACTCCGACTCATAATCCCCGGAATTATCGAGCTGCGTAAGCTTGGGTAGGATAGTTGGAGCAGGCCAAGGGTCTCCAATAGCCGTAGTGGGCTTCCTGTCACGATTCCGCATCAGTCGGTCTGGCATGCAGCACGGAGTACATGGTTGTTTGGATACTCACAGAAAAACTGTCGGGATGGAGGGGATGTCCATTTGCACTTCAGTTGCGTGCTGTTTGTACTATAGCAAAGGTCAGTGCCAAATCTCATCTCATTTGATGCTGTTGGGAAGTCACATTCAACCCAATGCATCTGATGCTTCCAACTTCTTCCTGAGCCAAGGGTGATAGGATACGGTCAATACTTTCGATCACACCTGTTGTTGCCCCTGGCGACAGGATCGAGATGCCAGAGAAGACGTTCACCGAAACAGGTTCGCCCCGGCGCGTCGCGACGCCAACGTCCAAATCATTCTGCAGCGGCTGGCCGATGAGAACACGTGAAGGGCTATTCCTAGGCACAAACCGCACAAGGCATAGTAGGGGGTGTTATCCATCTGCCATCCAGCATGTGGGCCATGTGAACTCACGAGAGAATGCTGGGAGGGAGGCCATCGAGGCGTAAGGCGTTGAAGTCTGATTGGGTCCGCAAACTGAAGTCCTTCGCTTCTACTGTCTTTCGTCACGGAATGGCCAAGAGGAGAGAAAGATGGTGCCTAAGGTCCTGAGATATAGGTATTTGCGGTCGGGTGAGGGTTAAGGTTACACCTAGAACTACTACCAATCGGATCGTGCATATCGAAGAACTGTCACAACCATCGAGAACCGAGGATCTGCGCCTGTCTGACCTGGTGTTTCAGGTACGACTTCTGTTCCGGCCTCAGAAGCCTGCACATCGTACCCATCCCATTAAATTTCCTGTTTTTTTGAACCTGGATAGAAACGAGGCAAAGAGACGACAACCTTCAGTCCCCACAACCAAGTATCACCACACATCAATGATCGACGCGATGGCCGACACAACGAAGCGGAAGCCTCATGACGGCGGTTTTCGGGAGCACCTTCCCGATTCGAACACCCGAGATTCGCCACCATGCAGAAGCAGAATGCCCACGAGTATGCCCAGGCATTCAAGGCCAGTGGCCAGCCACCCTGGTTTCATGGCCTATTCCTTCATTGGAGGAAGCTCTTCGAGGAGCCTTATAAAGGCATCATCAACGACTGTAATTATCACCCTGCTCTTCGGTCAAGCCGTTTCGAAGCTCACACAGCAGAGGCAAGTTCCGCGATGGTCTTTATCAACTCCAAGACGAAGGAGTCCCGATAGAGGCCATCACTTCAGCAGCAAATGTTGTCCTCGACAGGCTATCCGAGAGCCAAAGAAGGCGACTTGCTATCACATTGACTCCCCGGAATGGCGATCATGGCCAAATCCAGAGTTCTTTCTCAGCGATAAAGGCATTCGCCTTGATGAAATCACCGCTGAGCTTGAAGAGGACGTGTTCGGAGTGCTCAAGGCAGACCTCTCAGCTGAAGGCTACGAAAAGGCAATTGGAGCGATGATAATCAACCAACTTCTCGGAGAACTCGTGGAGTCGTCGGCTATCATGAACGAGTCTTCATACAATTTTGTTCTGTTTGGTGAACCATCGACAGCCCGTCCGTGGGGTTTCTCCTTCTACGGCCATCATCTCTGCTTGAACATTTTCCTCCACCAGACTCAAATTATTATCCCCCCCTTCTTTACCGGAGCAGAACCTAATTTTATCGACCAAGGACCCTGCAGGGGGGCCCGAATCTTGAACAAGAGCTGCTTGGTTTGAGGCTGATGCAGGACCTGCCAAAGGACCAGCAGGCCAGAGCGCAGGTGTATAAGCTTCTCAATGACCCTGCCATGCCCCATGGCCAATGGAACCACGATGACCAGCGACATCTATGCGGTGCTTGCCGCGATAATCGGATGGTTCCCTACGAGGGCATCTTGGTGTCTGAGATGACCGGTGCACAACAAGACGAGGTTTGGGGATTGCAAACGAGTTCCTCCTTTATCTACCAGAGAGAGCCCGCCAACTCCGGCTAGAGCAAGTCAAGAGCTTTTTCCACGAGACTTATTGGTGCTGGATTGGGGGATATGGGGATGAGGATTCATTCTACTATTGCATACAGAGTCCAGTCATTGTGCTCGAATTTGATCACCATTCCGGAGTGTTCATGGCCAACGTGGAACCAGCCAAGTTTCACATCCATACATTGCTGCGAATGCCAAATGCAGGAGACTATGGGATGGCGCTGAGGCCCTTGATAAGGGGACAAGAACAGGGATTCGTTTGAGGGGGGGGAAATGCTTGGAGAGTTGATCTCATGCTCCCTGTCAAGGTCAAAGTCATTGCAATTAGAGGAGGCAATCGATCAATTATTGTATCAAGCTAAATATCATGACCTTCGCCTTGGTCATGCACGTCAAAGCCCTCAGCTCTTTTCACCAAGTGTATAAGAATCCATTTAGTGTGCTGCTCGAGTTTTAAGCTATTGCAATCAGTTTCAAGGTTGGGAGAAAGTGATGTCAAGACGTTCTTATGCATTGAGTGTCTGAATATGGACGACTGGAAACGTAAGGCATGTGTATGGCTTCACAAGTCTATCATCCGGGCGTGTTAGTCTTATTCCCCATCGATTCCTCGGTCATAGTACCTCCTAGCGGGCGCAATCCCCCACTGCAAATCCATCTCGTTTATCCTAGAGAAGCCGTGACCTCTGGGACAAGTAACTCGCTCTTATATTCTCCACCCATCCAGATCCTAACTTCGCCGAAACTGTGGCTCGGCCCTTTGAACTGCGTCATGTGTTCTGGATCGGTAAAAGTTGTCCCTTTAACGGCCAGGCGGAGCGTGTCGCCAGCTTCCCAAATTGTGCTGCTAGGCCATAGCTCAACGTTGACTTCAACAATGTCCTGGGGCCGTAGCCAAAGGCGTCGCTGATGAAGGTGAACCGGCCTCTCAGGGATGCTCTTGGCTGTGTCAAGTTCCCGCTGAGAGGCGCGCAACCAGCCAAAGCTTGCGTCGGCTTCTAGCTTCTGTGTAGAGTGGAAAAATTTGACAGTCTGGCCATCCTTGTCGATTTGTTGCAGCGCGACAAACAAGTCCACGTCGGGGAAAGAGAGCGCTTGGATAAATAGCTTGACGGAAGAGTACCCGGTAATCTCGATACGCCGATCAATCTTGACATCGAAGGAAGCGACGGAACTGGACTTGTGTGCTATAAACGAGGCGTATTTGGGGGGGCTGTTGCTGACATTGCCGTCGTTGAGGTCGAGGGTGCCATCGGCCGACAGTCGATACTTGATGAGTTGTGCTTTGGGGGGGAAATCGAGTTCCAAACGCCGCAAGCTCTCTGTGGCCGACGTCCTGACAGCAAGCTCAACTCTAGGCCATTTGTCTACGTCGTTCGCAGCGTTTTGTAGGTAGCGGTCCCAGAACGAGCGTTGCTTGCTAATGTTTTCGTTTTTGTAGAACTCGGACCACTCTCGGCCAGCCTACGGTGCATCACCAATAAGTTTCTGGAAGACATGCATGGGGAACGCAGACTTACGTGAATGATCAGGTACTTGTGTGGTGAAGACATTTGCTTCCAAGCCTCGATTGTTCCACGGAGATGAAGGCCGAGTGATGACCATCCCGTCACCGCCAAAACCGGGACATCAATCATGCCCCAGTCTACCACTTTGGACTGCCAGTACTCGTCAAATAGGGGATGCTCGAGGATGGCCACAGCATGATCTTCAGTCACGGCGAGGCCGTTGCCAGTCATGGTCATCCAGAAGTGCTGAAAGGGGACATTGGGGATGCCGCCAGGCGCGTTGACCTCGCGGTAGAGGTCCGAGATGCCTTCCCAAAGCATGATGGCCTTCAAGTGAGGTGGCTTCAGCACGGCGGTCTGGTATGCGGACATTGCGTAGTAGGATACACCACCTCCCCAGCCAATATCGCCGGTGGACCTAGATAGGCGTCAGCTTGGTGACTTTCATGATGAAGCCATGCTCGGGACTTGCCATTCCTGCTGTGCTGCCCATTCAACAACGTCATACCCGTCCCTACCTTCCTCTGGCGAGATGTGGTTCGAGGCATCACCTTCGGACCACCAGGTGCCCCTTGGATCAACCAACAAGAAGGAATATCCCCATTCTCCGCACCATGGGAGAGGGTCAGGTAGTTCCCAATGAGTATGCTGGCTCAGCTTTTTGAAATCAACTCCCATGTTCTGAAACCTCTCTCGAGGAACAGCTCCGTGCTTTCCGAATGGCGCGAATAGTACAAGAGTAGGCGTCTTAGCTTTCAGACTAGGATCAGGACGGTACACATCGGCATAGAGCAAGACACCGTCCCGCATGGGAATGGCCACATCCTGCTCGAATAGCGTCTTTCCATCCTCCAGGAGAGTAGTTGAATGTTGAAGGGGAGGAACCGGCTGGAGAGGTGAGACCTATATATGCAGGGTACGGTAGTTAGTATGAGGACAGACAATGCTCGCAAGTAATGTTGCATACCTCCTGGGGTGGCACAGCCTTTCGGTAGTAAACAGAATGGGAGCAGGTATTGGAAGCCATAGTAAGCGAGATCAAAATACGTGTCGGTTGTTAAAGGGGTATTTGCCGGCGGTGGCGGGCTCACGTATTAATATCTTGAGACGACCATGGGGTTCCGGCTCCAAGTGCCAATCGGATCAGCAGCCTCGGAGCGAATCGGATCATAAGTCTCGGAGCGACTTAGATCTTGAACTATGCAAGCTAATCTCGGCCCAACCCCGTGGGGTGTTCGCACTTGTCTTTCCCCGCAGTTTAGTCTTTATAATAGGTCCACATCCGTGGGTTCTCTGTTTGTATAAAGATCAGTCTTCAGGTCGCCCCCTTTTTGATCTCTCCAAATCATCACCATCCACTGAGCACAATACCCAACATGACCGACACAAAGGCTGACCAGATTCAGCTTGAAAATGCCCCGAGCATGGCTCGCCCCTCGGAAACAGCCGACTACGACGCTGGCGACTCTACGAGCTACCATGACTCCTACAGACTGTCTATTCGGACCTACATGGTCTTGACTACGATGGCCTTTGCTTGGGGCACCTGCACCATGGCAAACATCGGCCCTTCAACCACATACAGCTACGCTGTCGCCGAGGTGGGTGGCGAGTCGATCTCGACATGGATCCCCAATGCGAGCCTCTTCCCTATCATCGGACTCCAGCCGATCTGGGTGAGTACAAGTCGCCGAAGGAAACACTCACATCTACTTTGTTGACAGGGACGCCTAGGGCTCTCTCGCCGATCGCTTCGGCAAGAAGTGGTTCATCTTCTCGGGTGGTGTTGCAGGCGTCATTGGCAACGTCGTTGCCGGCACTGCCAGCTCTACAGAAGTGATCATCGTTGGCCAAGCTATTAATGGTCTCGGTTCTTCTCTTTATGTGCGTTACAGTATCTTCCCAGGCTATGGGGGTCTTATTGGTGCTGATATTTCTACTCTAGTTACTTGTCATCCCTACGAGTATGGAAATCGTCCCGGCATCGCATCGTAGTTTTGCCCAGGGGTTCATGGGCTCGGTGAACGGTCTCATCTCGATCATGATACTATTAGCTTGTGAGTGGGCTTCTTCACAGAATCCTGTGCCACGGCTTTTAGACTGATATTTGGCTCTCGTAGCTGGCGCGTTTGCCAAATCTTCAACCTCTGGCTGGCGTTGGGTATACTACTTCAACGCCATCTTCTTCGGCATCGTAGCGGTCTCTCTCTTGGTGTTCTACCACCCCCCACCGACTACATTGCGCCGCACGAACACTACTAGTGAAGCCCTCAAGTCTATTGACTTCGCCGGTGTGGCCATGTTCCTTTGTGGCATCATTTCCATTGTAGTGGCTTTGAATTGGGGTGGTCACGCATATCCTTGGGACAATTCTCGAGTCATTGCTCTATTGGCTCTCGGATCCCTCTTCCTCATCGGGTTCGGCGTCTATGGTAAGTCAATTAGAGCATCTAAAGGTATTTGGGCTCACATTGGGACAGAGAAATGGGGCCTCAGCGACGGCCTCCTCGATCACCGTTTTTTTCATGAACGAAACTATCCACTCATACTATGCGTCGCCTTTGTGGATGGTATGCTCCTTTACGGCGTCAATTCTTTCCTCCCTCAGCAGGTTGGCGGATTATTTACCCACGACCCCATCATGGTCAGCGTATATCTGGTACATCCCATCATTGGACACGCCGTGTCTCTCCCTAATCAGAACCTCCTGACTTTTCGAGTAGCTACCGCTGAACCTATGCGTGATCGGCGGGATCATGTCTTCGGCTTACATCCTCGGGGTTTTTAAGCACTACCGCATTCTTCTCGTCTCTTCTCTCATAGTCATCGCAGTCTTCTGTGGACTCTTGGCTCTTGTAAACGCCCATCGAGCTGCCATGCTCCTAGTCTTCACGGGGTTTATCGGACTGGGAGTTGGAGTTACCACAGCTCTTCCGAATGTTGTTCTAACATATGCGGTACCACCACACTTGATGTAGGTTATCCGTCTCAAGGCTAGCTACAAGGCTAACATAAGACTTTTAGTGGCACGGCAGGAACTTTGCTGGCCTCTTGCAGAGGTCTTGGTGGTACCATTGGCATCACCATCTTCTCCACAATCAATGGGAATTACATGTCGAGTAAGGTTCCTATTGACAACTCGCGATCTAGACTTCACTTGCTAAATTAAACTCATAGGCCATCGCATTCCCGACGTTACACGGGCTGTTATCAACGCTGGGCTTCCAAGATCATCTGCCGAAGAGCTCGTTACTGCTTTCTTAGCCGGCAACAGTTCTGCCCTGGCCAGCATTTCTGGTGCCACACCTTCGGTCATAAGTGCAGCTGAGCATGCTCTCGAGGAAGTCACTGCGGAATCTTTCAAATTCGTGTGGATTGCGAATACTGTTGTTGCAGTTGTCACAGTTATTTGTAAGTCCCAACCATGACCTACTATTCGATGTCTTGCCTTTCCCTGTAGCCCGGCTGCAATGGCACAGATAACTAACGAGTCAATAACAGTCACATGTTTCCTTCAGTCTGTCGCCCACCATATGACCAGCCATGTTGAGGCACCTCTTGAGAAAGGTAAACTGCGCGACAATACTATGGCCAAGGATATGAAAGATTAGATGGCGGGGTTAGGGTTAGAGGCTTTCCATAATATGCTGGTCGTTGCTGCTAGGAATGAAATAAGAACCCTATCTCATTAAACTAGATACTAATCCCCTATAACTTGGTATCCAGGAACATAAACTGCTAGTAGATAAGGGATATCCCCTGTATATAGTCCTTAACTGTTGATCGGGGAGCTAAATATAGTATCTTTACTTAGTAGAATATAGTATAATTAATAAGGGATAATAAACTATTTTATAAAAATAATAAAGTAACCTACTCTTATATAGATTTCTAGAAGTATTCTTTATAATCTAATATCTAATTATTAAAATAAGATCTTTTAATAGGATATTATTATATAAAATATTATTTATTAATAAACTTAGTACTTAGGGATTAGAGAAAGCTATTTATATATAAAATATTTTTATTATATAGTATAACTAAATATATATAAATAAGTATCAGATTAATATTAAATCTATATTATTTCTAATAAAAATTTCCTATAGTAGTAAATATATATTATACTTATAAAAGTAAATTAACTTATAATTTTAAAAGTAACTAACTTTTTATTCTTATTATTTCTAACTAATAATAAATACTTTTCTAATATTTTAATTTAATCTAATCTAATATTCTAATCTAAACTTAAACTAGATAACTAAAAATAGAATATAAGTTAAATTAACTTTTAAGAACTATTTTTATTCTAATTATTTTAATATAATATATAATATATTAAAACTATAAATTATATATTAGATTATAATAAGCTTATATAAATAAATAATTATTCTTAAGATATAGCTTTTTTTCTAATTAATCTTTATTCTCTATAAGTATTTATTATAATTCTAAATAGATTATATAATAAAATAATAGACTAAGTAGATATAGCTATTTAATATATACTATTAAAAGTAGCTTTAGTATTATAACTAGGCTTTTAATTAATTAAAGTAATAAATAATAAATATAGTTAGTAAATAACTATTTTATACTATCTCTAATAATAATTATTATCTTTTAAAGAATTTTATTAGAAATATTAATTAGATTTTAAGAGATTAGAATATTTATATTAGATATAGCTATTATAGTTATTATTATTTAAAATATCTAATAATTAATTAATAATTAATAAGCTTAGTAAGTAGATATAGTTATTAGATAATAAGCTTTTTCTCTTAGGAGCTATGATTATAACTAGATTATTTATATATCTAGCTATATAAATTACTCCTATTATATTATAAATAAAGACCTCTATTAGACTATATAAAGTTATATATAAAGTATAGATTTATTAGAGAACTATGATTAAGAAATATAGATCTATTATTTAGATAGAGTAATAGCTAAATAATAAATAAGTAATAGTTTTATTATATATATATATTTATTCTACTAGACAAAATATCTCTTTAGATAGTTATTAATAATATTATTAATATATTTATTATTAATAGCTCTATAATACTTATATATTAATAGTAGTTTATATTATATAGTTTATAATAATCTAATTATATTACTTAGAATAATACTCTAATTAGTTAAATTCTAATCTACTCTAGATTCTATTTAATATAAGTTAACTAACTATTATATATTATTAGAGTTCTTAAAATATTAATATTTATACTTAAACTAAGAATATTTAATTTTAATTTTAATTTATAATATTAAAGATTTAGATATAGACTACTAATTATATTTTTAAAAAAAATTATATAATTAGATTATATATTATCTAATCTTAGAATATATTCTTATTTATAGTAAAACTAATAAAAAATATATAAAATATCTTATAGTAATAAAGATTAATATTATATAGTAAGTATAAAATTCTAATATTAGCTAGGATAGATTATACCCTGCTAGGATTTAAACTTATAGATATATTATTAAAATATTTTTTATTCCCTCTAGATATATTTTATATTTCTATTTTATAATTTATATAGTATTTATTTACTTGCTATAGGTATAAAGAATCTATCTACTCTAGAAATATTATATCAATAACTACCCGAAATTCAGCCTTAGGAATTGGTATCTTTTATAACTCAGAATGTTCTGGAAGAAGGTTGGGTTCTCCTTATAAGCAAGACTTTCTGCGAGAGAAGTTTTTCTATCATATATATACCTTTACCCACTTTGTCCCTCCTCCCTCATTCGCTGATACCAGATGTATCCTCAAACCAAGTGTGCAGTTTGCTGTCCACTTGGCGACTTTGAATATAAGAAGCTTTGTCGCAGGTGCTCTAGCGAAAATAAAGAGGGTAAGTCACCCTGTTATGGGTGTGGAAATTGGTATCAACGTGGTGTATCTTGCACTCTGTGTGTTTGTAAGATAATCGGATGCACAAATCAGGCTCGTTTTCCCGGGTATCCCTGTACAAGCTGTGAGCAATGACAGAAGGACGGGTTAGTGCCCTGCGGCCAGTGTGGTAAATGATCTAAAGGAACCGAGTCCCGTTGTTCTAGCTGCCAGCAACCGAAGAATTAGGCGACTAGGCTTCAGCTCCCTGCCACGGCATGAAACTTTGAGGTCGGGGCCGAGGGGATCCGGCGACATCTTAGCTCGAGATGCGACACAAAGGAAATCTCATTCTTGTCATCATTGCAAAACCGCCTTGCGAATTCCTTCGCATCTTCCGCAAGCCTTATCTCGAATAGGATTCCCGCAGACTATTACCCAAGCCTGAGTAGCATCTTCTGAGGGATGTCCCGTCTTCCAGCAACTGTTCACTCAATACAGCCATCGAAGTGTGTGGCATATAATCCAGGTACATTGGCATGGAAAGTGTGTTTACTGCCGTGATCGGACCCAGGCTTTCCTACATACTGTGAAAAGTTTCAGTAGGAGACCTTTTCAGCTGGTGCTAGTGGCAGAGAACCATTCTACAAGACTCGGAGAGACGTCAGAAAGCAAGGGACTCGCTTCAATGCATACACTTATGCCGGTTAATACAAAGTTTCATTTCTTGTTTTGTAGCGAAACAAATCGTTAAACTAACCAAAATCAGGGGACAATTTGGCGTCGATACTGCCTTCTATCAACCTAAACGTGGATTCTGATGAACCTTTTACGAGCGTGCAACAATGGCTGTCATCATGTGTTTGTACCCTAGGAAATAGCGGCTGAGGATCCTTTAGTCCCTCGAGACTTGTGGACCTTGGCGATGATTCTACTGCTGAGCGGTTAGTTATTAGAAGAACACATGGTCTCGCTATCCGGAGATACGTCTGTCTTTCATACTGTTGGGGTGGACCACAGGCTCTTCGCTGCGAAACTCACCGCCTAGACTCTTTTGGGAACTGGGAAATCTCTTCTAGCAATCTACCAGCGACATTCCAAGACTCCTTCCGCGTAGCTCGAAAACTAGGGTACCGATACATATGGGTTAACAGTTTATACATCATTCAGAACGATAACAACGATCTTGAGAGAGAAATTCTACAAATGCCATATATTTACAAGAATGCGGAACTTACAATATATGGCTCAATGGCAAAATTGGTCCGAGACGGTTTCCTTCAACCAAGGCCGGATTTCAGCCAGTTTCATATCCCACTCACTCTTTCCAAACAATCCCAAGGAACTGTTTACCTGGATAACTACCAATTTGCCTACCCGCCTATCGATGAAAAATTGGCTTCTCGCGCATGGGCTTTGCAGGAACGGCTACTTTCTCCACGAGTTTTGGAGTACGGCTGGCGAATCGCTCGATGGACTTGTTTCTGCTGCAACAGCTATAGTGGCCAGACCAAGCTCTCTCTGACTGAGAAAGGTTCGGAGTTATCGGACTACAGTCTTTTCCTATACGTTACCCCGTCTGGATTTCGACAATTCCCCGACTCCAAAGAAAAGCTTTTCAAAGGCTGGGCGCATATCGTGGCCGAGTATACGACCCTCGAGCTTCCAAACCCACAGGATCGTCTTGCTGCTATTGGTGGAATTGCACAAGAGCTACAGCGAATCACCAAAGTGCCATATCTCGCAGGGCTTTGGGACTACGAAAGACTTCCCTCGCTACTGCACTGGAATGTGACTATCTCTGCCCAGAAACTCATTTCACGCCCAATTCCACGTCGAGCGCCGTCATAGTCGTGGACAGGGGTTGATGGACCAGTAGCTATTCATCAGAGCGAAGAGGCTGTGGATCATTTCAAGATAATCGCGTCCAGTGTTATAGCCGGCTTTACAAAGACAGCGCAAGGGTCAATATTAATCCAAGGACCGAGCAGAACTGGAAGATGGTAGCACACTGTTGAGAAGCTTCGAATCGGTTCAGAGCACGGAGTGCTAGGAACAATCAAGACGTGGGCTGAGAGTTGTATTATTTATCCAGACTGTGCTGACGATTTGATTCAATTAGCTGGCGACGAGCTAAGTGTCCTAGACATTGAACTCACCTTTATAGCTATTGGACGTGTTAGGGGAAGTCGCAAACTTATCAGGGGGCTGGTATTAAAGAGAAATAAGGCTTCGGAAAATTATACCCGAGCTGGTATTTTTCAGACTCCTGACGAAAAAGACTTTTCTATTGAAAAATGGGGCATTGAGACTATCATAGTACTGTAACATAGCATTAAAAAATAGAATACACAATGCCTTCCTAACAGAGTAGAACGAAGCTACTAGAACGAGTAGATACGAGCTACTAGGGCCAAGACTCTTGGGCTTGATAATATAAAATACTAAATACTAGAAACTCTACCTTATAACTTTAATAATAACTATTTAATTTATTTACCTGAGAAATAAAGATATAATCCCCAACTGAAAAGTTTTAAAATTAGATCTTAGCTTATACTTTAGATTATTTCTATAAATTACTAAAATAAAGTTATTATTTATTATTAATAACTTAGAGAGATTAAGAAAAGTTAATTTAAGTTTAAATTTCTTAAATTTATAATATTAAATTAAGATTAATATAATTTAATACTAGTATAAGAATAATAATAATCTGATTAGAATTTAGTATTATAATATTTTTATAATCTTATTTTTAAAAGATAGTTAAAATAAAAATAAAAATAATATAATTAGTTATAAAATTTAAAAAGGAATTTAAAAAGAAATATTTTAAAAAATAATCTTTATATAAATTAAAACTTAGTTTTTTAATAGATATTAATAACTTTATTAATTAATATTTATTAATCTAGAAACCTAATAATAATAATTAGCTTATTATAATTCTAGATATTATTAGATTAATACTTTTTAATTTAATTTTTCTATTTAATATATTTTTTAATAATTTAATTCTATTTAATTCTCTTTTAATCTAATTAGTAATTTATTTAATAATTTTAATCTAATTAATAAATAAAATTTAATTTTAAAAGCTATTTTTATCTATATTAATTCTATATAATATATAATATATTAGAACTAGAAGTTATATCTCTAGTTATTATAATATCTATATAATAGTTAGATAACTTATACTAAATAAGATCTAGAGTAGATTAGGATTAAACTAATTAGAGAGTTATTCTAAGTAGTATAATCAGATTATCTAGATACTATATAAATTACTACTAATATATAAATACTAAGGAGCTAGTTTTAATAATAATAGTATTAATAGTATTAATAACTATCTAGGAGAGTTTTCTAGCTAATAGAATAAATATATATATACAGTAAGGGATAATTAATACTTAGTAATAATTTATTATTCTAAATTATTAGAATTATTATAAGATCTTAATAATCTATTATGAATTAGTTAGAAAAATTAGAATATATTATATAACTTAATATATAATAATAGAATTTATAATAATCTAGTATTTAGAAATAGTTATCTAACTTTTTCTTAAATACTTTATATAGTAGAATTTATTAATTATTTTCTACTAACTATATAATATAATATTAGATCTATATAATTAAGTAGATATTATTATTTTAGAAATTTTAAAAATATATATAACTTTATATAGTTTAAATAAGGTTTATATATATAATAAAAAATAAATAATCTTTTAATATAATATTTTATAACTAAAAGCTTAGCTCTCTATTAATTAAGAGATAAACTTTTATAAATAAAGATATAATAAATTAGAATTAAAATTATTATATATATTATATTATTATATATAGCTTATTCTTAAGATAATTCTATTTATATATAATGAAAACTCCTGAAGAAATTATTATTCTGAAAAATTATAATTTTAAAATTTAAATATAATATTATATATTATAAATATAATATTATATATTATAAATAGATAAAACTATATAGTTATAGTTACTTAAATTATCTAACTCTAGATTTTAGGAAAAAAAGTTATTATATAAATATATTATTATAAATTAATTATTTATATCTAAAGCTCTTCTAATTTAAAAAAAAAAAAGAAAGTTTTATATTTATATAATACTCTTTCTAACTAATTTTAATAAATTCTGGAATACCTTAGCTTACCAGCAGTCTTCTATTTCTATAGCAAGACATTCAGAAGCTGGACAAAGAACAGCAATATTCACGGTTTTTAGTATCGCCCGGCTTGATGGTCAACCTGTATTCGTTGTTAGACTGTATAATCCGACGTCAGCTGTTACAAATTTTACTCTACTTCTGCTCTCTCCAATAGCTATATATACTATCACTATTCACTGCTTTCTACGTTCTGTCCAATACTCAATTGATCATAGTATTTGCAATAAATTAATGAGGCATCGACATAAACAGGCTCGCAGCATTAAAGTCTATCAACGACATATCGAGGCTCTGATCCAAATCCCCATCAAGCAGATTCAGTGGCCCCCAGTAGTGATTTAGGTGCACTATTCCATCAGGCCAAGAAGTCCCTGGATTCGCAGCTGACACGGTTTGGGGTGGTGATTTCTGTGTAGCCTTTTCCCGCGCTCCTTGTAGTAGCTTTGCCGCTTGTAGCGCAACAACGCACTCATCCATGATCATGAGAATCTCGATCGCCATATCGACTAGTCGAAGTAGTGGCTGTATCTCGCTCTCGACTGCTTCTTGGGTCATGTACAGTAGTATTATACTCGCGGCGAAAACAGTATATGTCGTGTTGTAGAACCTTTGTATTGTTAGTGCGATCGTATTCTTTGAACTGACGATACGTACCATGTTCGGAAGTAATCGCTGTGCTGGTAGGTCTGATAGATGGTTTCGATCGTTTCCTTTGCTGATTCAAGGCACTTTTGGATGCCGGTTTTGGTATCACTCATGGTCGCCCTCTCCTGTGCCGTTGACCTCAAGAGGAAGGATCCGAAGAGGAGTATTCTCAGGTTATGATATCCTACAAACATCGTTAGCATGGCATTTTCGGTAGCGCATTATAGTACACAAACGCAGGTTCAGCACCAGTCTCTGTCGTTTCACCCACTGAACATCCCTGACCCCTCTCAAAGACGGTACCTGAGTTGATGGCCCCATTGGCCGTATAGCCTCAGGAAGCTTCTGTGTCCACGCCTCCAGGTCCCGTTCGATCTGGCCAGCCATCGCTACTATCATCGGCATCGTCGTCTCGGGCAGGTAGATGCTGAGACAGATGTTTCTTGTGATCTTGGAGAAATGCACCATATGCTCGATTATGGCGCAACAAGGATGTTCAGACATCTCAGAATCCGTCACGGTCTCGTTCTGACCGTTACCGATACGCGGAAATCGCCGGTTATGATATAGATCTGCTCCTAAGGTATCTGGTCTACCCATGGCGAAAGACATTTCACTTCAACAGTGTTAGATCGGCGACAACGAAATAACTGCAGGTCGAGAGACACTCACGTCTCCAAAGAGTAAAGTCCCCTGTTGAAGACAGTTAGCAGTTGATCCATACTATTTGCAACTCAAAGAATGTTTTGACATACCACCAGGTCCGTGTCTCTGCTCTTAGTAAAGACGGGGGTTTCTTGCAATTGGGTCCCGGCTCACGATTTATGCCCATTGCCAAAGCTGTTCTTATGGCAAGGCCAACATACATGTATGACTCTAAGAGAAGTTAGTACATATCAATCGTAGGCATGCCCACAGTTGACTTACGATGTGGGTGCAGTTCGTTCTGACAGACTTTGGCCTGTGGTCATCAGTGTCGTTCAGCTAAGATCACGACGCAACCTACCAGGATAAAATAGCATTGGACCATATCAAGATCAGTGACCATACCAAGAGTATTGCAACAATCTTTAGCTCGATCAAAGAACTTCCGGCTCCAGGCCAGATTCGTTTTTCCGTCGATAAGCTCGTCCTCTCTCGGCCCAACCAATGCGCCGATGGATAAGATGCTGTAGTACAAAGCAAAAAAACTCGTTATTCTCTTATTCTCCGGCTCTTCACCCGCCCACAAGGACTCACAGCGTTGCACAAACGAAGTCTTGTCCAAGATCGGGTGAATGTAGTGGATCGCGGAGAAGAAACCGTCTATAAAGTTCCGACATTGGAGGTACCATGGTGAGTGATCTGACTCTTCAGTACTCCTCTTGCCTCGCTGAGTATCTTGCGATCTGCTTAGGTCGAAGTGAGGATTGTGCAAAGAGGAGAGAAGTGCACCCGCGTCATCGTCACCGTTGTCCTCCTCCCCACTTCGCCGGACATGAGACAGAAGAGCAACGGATGAAGAGCTACCGTAGAATTCGACATCTCTCGTGTGAGTATTCATGCCAGACACCTCTTGTTCTCTCGTATGCCATGAAGAGATGCTGTTCGGTGTAGGAAAAACCTCCATTGCCGTTGGATGCTGAGCTATTGGTAACGATGAGGTATTCATCGCTATCCCCTCGGGACTGTGACTTAGCCCATCGGTCGCTGCCTTCTCATAGTTCTCCACAATGCTAGAAAGGCTCTTGACCTGCTCTTCCAATTGCCTTATATAGCTACAGTTGCACTAATGAGCTAAGAGCAGAACTGAGAATACTGCAGGCATATATACCTTGATGTCATGCGCATGCGCGACATATCCTGGCCTTTGTACACGCATTGGACATTGCGGCCTTCAAATAGTCAGCCATCACATTGCTTGTAGATGCTTAAGATCTAGATACTGACTTTGGCAATATGAACAGGGATAAGATTCGTCGCACTTGTATTTCTTGGAACGACAGAGATCGCACGCGCGGGCGGCTCTTGGCCGCCTTGGTCGCTGCGGTGCAGGTCTAGTCACCTGGGAATCTGTTGATTCATCCATGTCAAGAGTATCAGCAGCACTAAGTCAAGAGAATATGCACAAGCTTTCAAACCTGGGGACCCGAGAAGGGGGTTCGAGATACAAGTGCGGAGTCCCCAGATGGCCAGAAATTTCGAGCTTGGAGAAACCAGTGTTGGAGGTTTCATTGGTTGTGAAGGTTTCTGTCTTAACCAAACATGGCTGGCTTCCAGGATCTTGAGCTGCGGAAAAGCCGGGCATGGATAACGTAACCTCGGCTGTTCCGAGGGAGCTCTAGACTACCCTATATCCATCATGTTCCGAGTGTTAGTTTTATTATAAAAGTGGTATTGTGGCAGCTGGATGCTCTTCTACTTCTTTTTCATCACGAGATCTATAGTGAACTATTATATCTGTATCAAAATGCCAAATTGCGCTGTAAGTTACAGCTTATATAACGTGCTAGATTTAACTAATAGTCCATGTCGACAGCAACTTAGTCCAGCCAAAGATGATACTCGTTTAGAGGTGGTCATTGTCGGCGCTGGTCTTGCGGGTCTTGCTGCAGCGATCTCGATTTCTCTTTCAGGACACAATATCACCGTTTTGGAGTCGGCAAAAGAGCTACTTGAGGTATACAACTCCGCAATCACATACTACTACCAAGACAAAGACTGATAAACCTTTAGGTTGGTGCTGGTCTACAAGTCACCCCCAACTGCACACGCATCCTCCAAAAATGGGATCTCCCCGACAGACTCTGGCAATCGGCCGCTGAACCCACGTCACTCGTCGTCCATCGATACTCCGGACGAACGCTCGCCATAGAACCAGACTTCCATAAGCATATCCGCAAGAAGTACGGCGCCCCGTTTATCGATCTCCATCGTGTAGACCTCCAGCTAGCGCTATAACAAGGCGAAGGAACTAGGTGTCCAGTTTAAGCTCGGGGATAGAGTAAAGGACATTGACTTTAGCATTTCCGAGGTGAGTACCGAGGCTGGGGCTAAGTACACCGGTGACTTGATCGTTGCAGCGGACGGTCTCTGGTCAAAGTGCCGTTCCAGGTTTCTTGGGAGTGAGGACAAGCCCATGCCCACTGGGGATCTAGCATACCGCGTTGTTCTGGATGCGGAGGATATCGACGACCCTGAGCTGCGAGAGTGGGTTGAGCGCCCGACGGTGCATTTCTGGATCGGTCCGGGTGCTCATGCTGTTGGATATTCTATGCGTGGCGGACAAATGTATAATGTTGTCCTTCTTGTCCCCGACGATCTTCCATCGGACGTTAGTCGACAGGCTGGTTCGGTGGAGGAGATGCGAGAGTTGTTCAACAATTGGGATCCAATCCTGGCAAGATTTCTTAGTCAGGTTGACAAAGTCGACAAGTGGAAGCTGATGCACAGTAAGTTACAGCTTGATGTTCGTCTCCTCGGAGCTGACACATTTTTTAGGAGAAGAGCTTGATTCATGGATCAACGATGATTCAAATCTCGTCTTTGTGTAAGTAGTTGTTTATTTCGCCGCTTTGTGAGACGTCCTGCTCACATATTGCTTCCAGTGGTGATGCCTGTCATCCGATGCTCCCCTACCTAGCCCAAGGTGCCAACTCCGCCGTGGAGGACGGCGCCGTTCTAGGCCTACTTCTCGGCCATGTCAAGTCGAAGCATCAACTACCAAAAGCCTTATCCATGTACGAAAGTCTGCGAAAATCCCGTGGAGAAGCTATCGTGAGAGAAACCTTTAAGCAGGTTAGTACCTATGAGCCAGAAGCTGTGTAACATTCACTAATCTTTTGTTCTTTGTAGCGGGAATCATTCCATATGCCTGATGGACCAGCTCAAGAGGTCCGCGATCAGGTTTTCCTGTCTCAGCTCGGCGTTAAGGAACTTAAAGGCCCGTTCCCAAGCAGGTGGACTTGCCCGCAAGTTCAGCCCTGGCTTTATAGGTATGATGCATTTGAGGTTGTTGAAGATACAGTGAAGCGTGATCCTTTCACGAAATAGCTACCAATACTACGTAGATTATTTAGTACATATCTTTCTATAAGCAGTATATACCTTTACCATGCGTATACACTTTTAAACCTTCAATCAATATTGAATAACCCCTTCTGTCACAGAATATACCTTAATTTAGGTTTTTTACATATTTCCATTTGAACGATTCAGCTAATCGGGACTGGTCAACATGTTGGGCTTGTATTTTTGTTGGCATAGCATAAGTATCAAACAACAAACTAGCCAGTACCATACACTTTTTAACGAGTAACATTATTATAACTATTTAATCAAAGACTCAAGAAAGTCAAAGCCTTATCGCTGAAGATTCCAAGTAACGGATCCTACTTCCATCCTGGCCGTAAAAGTATGCTCCTCCCCAGGAACCTCCACCATCCCACACTCAACACCATTCTGCTTCAGTATATCAAACAATTCTCTACTAGGATGGATCAGGACTTTTATAATACAGTACCATGGACTATAAAGATTAGAGGCAACAAGGAGTTAAAATTTAATCCAGGGTTAACTTTTGTCCAGTCTTTCGAAGTGAAGATAGCATTAAGGACAGTACCGTTAGCTATTTGTATCAGGGCATATACTTGGCGGGGGTTACTAAATTCTGGAGGTCCTATTGCCTGGCCCTTGAGAGAGATACCTCTAGTAATAGGGAATAGGTCATTATCAAAGACTTTGTTAAGAAATAAGTCTGAAAGTCCAGGTAGTAGCTTCATACCCTCAAGCTTTATCGCCTATAAGTTATCAGCAAAGTTGCTAGGTCTATATATATAGTAAATCTCTATAACTGGTCGTAGAACCCTAAAGCCCTAAAAACCGGATCAGATACAATTTATACCTTAAAAAAGTTAACTTACTAGACAAAGTAATAAATATCCACTATATAAGGACATGATCAAGGTCTGTTACGAGTATTGAGCTAGTACTTCGTAACGGTTTTTCGAGACCTCTATTATAAACCCAAGCCAGGAGATTACAGCAGTCTTATATTGGACCCTCCAAGAGATTAACCAGGGAACAAAGGCGATGGTTTGGTGCCAAGACGATCCACCCTCTACTTAGATAATCTGATACCTGGCCTTTATTAATCATTTTGGAGGACTTGAGCATAAAAGCCTCCAGAGATGTTAATTACTTAAAGATAATTAGCATAGATACAGAGATGGTAAGATGCTTTAAATTACGGACTGGACATTTTATATGATCAGTCCCGACAGACAGAAGGCAGGTAAACATCAACATCAATCTCTTGTTCACCCAGCTGCTTATAAACAGCACGGAACGAAGTTGGTGGACTCATTTTCTGCTACTATGATCCTAAAGCATGATAAGCAAAAATCTAGTATCTATCAAAAGTATCTGTAAAAAGATCCCTGCTTCCCTCGGTTCTGATATACTGCTGCAAATTAACATTCCGATAATACTGTAGACCCCGTATCGGAATTGCAGCTTTTCCGGACCTCCAAGCTGAGCTTTATCAGCGGCCTAAGTTATTTTAAGGGGTAGAGATAGTAAATCTGCGGATAATACAGGGTTTCTGTAGTACCTCCGTATCGTAATGTAGAGATCGGGAAGTAGGAGCTCAGAGGAGTAGAAGATTAGAGGGTTCTGCTGGCCAAGCTTACCAATCTATTAATACTTGGTAGTTTTTTTCCGCATACTCACCAAGGCATAAGGAGGCTCATGATATCTTTCTGGTCACCAAGGGTTTCTTAAAGTTATAGAGTAGTAATAAGTATCGAACCATAGGGCCTAGCGACTTCGCTTATATCTCTCCTTTAAGTTCTACCTCCACATAAAATCATACTATATCATAAGCTAATAAGTTACTAGCGCTTTATCTACAATCCCCTCTTACTTAGAACTTACACTGAGACCGTTGGTCTGGTAGCACCAGATAACTTGGCTGACTTCTTCAGATATATCGGCGAGACGTACAATACCTTATCATAATATCAAGTCAATGCTCATACAGAAGATAATAGCAACCAAGGACAGATTCAACGTTCATTTCAAGCGTCACTACCAGCCCCCAGAGGTTGGCGAGTGGCTGGAGTCCGAGAACCAACTTACTGGGCCCGGCGAAGCCTACTTCTTGCGTGCTAATACTGGACCACGATGGCTTCTTGGAGGAGTTATACAGAAGAGAAAGAGAATAGAGTTTAATAATAATAAAGCTGCCAGGGCCTAATAACTTAATATAATAAATATAAAAGCTTAAAAATATAATCTTTTCTAGTCTATCTAAAATATAGTTATATAGTAGAAAAATTCTATAAATCTTTATATAGATAATTTACTTATTATTAGAATAATAATTTATTAAATAACTATTAAAACTATCTCTTTTATCTAATTTCTTATCTTATATTATACTAATCTATATACTTTAATATATTATATATAAATCTTTTTAGATATTAATTAATCTAATAAATATTATTAGCTCTTTAGTTAGAATATTAATATTAATATATCTATAGTTTTTAATTATACTAAATAAAGAGATTTTTTTTTTTTTTAAATTTTAAATTTTTTACTATATATAAGAAATATCCTAAGATCAGGCTATATATAACTAGATCTATATAATTTATTTTTAATTAAATTTTAATCTATATCTAATCTTTAGTTCTATTTTTTTTACTTTTTTATTTATATAAGCTAAAATAAGATAATAGTATCTTTAAAAACTCTAAAAAGAGCTTACTAAGTATATAATTTAGCTATAAGCTCTAAGAGAAGATACTTATTATCTATAATTAATTATAATATCTCTCTAAGCTTATTATTATTAATTACTAGTAATTAAATCTTTTCTTATAATAATAATAGATATCTCTAATATTATTATTCCCTATAGCTAGAATCTGATTATTATATATAATTAGGTTCTTAACTATATAATAATAATAATTAGTAAAAACTCTTATATTCTTACTAATAATATAAAATAATTAAGCTTATATTCTATTACTAGATTTCTTATAATTATAAAACTATTCTTAATTATATAGATCTAATAATTATAGCTATTAGGCTTAATACTATATTATAAAGTTTATAAAGAGTAAGTAATAAATCCTATTCTATATAAAATACTTAAAAAAAAGAGCTAGATAATAATCTCTAAGTACTTAATAATTATAAGAATCTAAGATATAGTTTTTAGTTCTAGTATATTATATATTATATAGAATTAATCTAAATAGAAATTATTTTTAAAGTTTAATATTAGTATTCTAATATTAGTAAAATAGTATTTAGATAGATAGAAGAGAATTAAATAGAATTAAATTATTAAAAAGTTTATTAGATAGAAAAGTTAAATTAAATAAGATTAATATAATAGTATTTAGAATATAATAGATTAATTAATTATTACTATAGAATTTTAAAGAAAATTATAATAACTAATTATAAAGTTACTATATACTAATAAAGACTAAAAATAGTTTATATAGTATTTAATATTTTTATTAAAAAAAAATTTTAATTTAATATAAAAATACTAAAAATTAATATTAATAATTAAAATAATATTAATTAAATTAAAAATAAAAGTTCTAATTTAATTATTTAATTAATTTAATAAATTTAAAAAAAAATTTATATTTTTTAAATTTTTTTTTAAAAAGAAATAGAAAAATTAGAGAAACTATTAATAAAATATCTTTTTAGAATATTTAATTTTAATTAGAATATTCTTAATTATATATTTATAGAAGATCTTAAGATTAAAATTATATTAGAATTATTAAGAAGTAATAGATTAGAATAGTAGATATTCTTAATATCTAAAGCTAGATTATTATAATCTAGTATAGCTATTCAGAAAATTAAGTAGAGTAGTATAGTATAAAGAGAGGAAGAGTTAGAGGAGATAATATTAATAGAAATACTTTTAAGCTTTAAAAATATAGTAAAAGCTTGGAGGAGTCATATCAAGACCCTTTGTCCTCACATCCCAATCTAGCAGCAAATTCTCAATATCGAGTATCGAGTCGTCGAATATCTTTGGAAAGCCGCCACTGAACAGGTAGCTCACCTTTACCTCTATCAATCAGTATTTTATCGTTCAAGAGGGTCTTCTTAGGGTAAAGATCAAGTATCTACCAGAAGCTATCTGATGTCTAAAATATTTAATAATATTTGCCTGATCTTCCTTTCTTAACTGATCTAGCTATCCAGTAGAGGAAGAACCTTCTTAATAAGGTACTTAATAATAGTATTCAGTCCCTTCTTAACCTATAGTCCTGTTAGAATAGTATAAGGCTTAATATCAGGTACAATAGATCTTACTAATAAGTGAATTTACTCTATCTCCTCAGCAGACCATATAGAAGCCGAAACTGAGAAGGAAAGTTAGAGCTATAATATAAGCTTTCTGAGTTATATATACTTACTAATATATTCGGGTTATACTCTACTACATCTAGAAAAACCTTATTAATACCTAAATTAATTAATTATATGCCTATACTGTAAAGTGAATAAACTTACTTAAATAATTATCTATATAAATAATCTTATAATTATCTTGCAGCTTAGTAATCAAGCGTTTAATAAGGTGCTCTGCATGCTCAGGCGCTGTATTAATAGTAATAAGTTATAATAGACTTTTTCTTATAGATATTCTGATAATTCTATACTTAGGAAATTATTTAGTTAAGTATTATATAAGGAGAGGTTAGTTATTTTATATTCTACAACCTCCTGGCATATTGTAAAGCTAATAATAATAATAACAAGGGTTTAATTAAGCAAGGTACTTTTCTCGTCTAGAGAGGCCGGGCTAACTGCTCAGGCTATCTCTTCCGTATATTAATCCCTCCTTAACTAAGCTGATAATACTCTTTTAACTACTATTAGGGCTCTTAAATATAAACAGTTTACCTAATTCTCCTTCTATATATCTTACTTTACTAACTTCCTAGTATCCTCTAATATAATATCTATAGCTTTCTTACTAATATAAAGGTAGCTGTAACCGGAAACCCTCCTGGAATACATAGGAAGACTAAGCTATCAATAATCCTGAGGTTTTTAATACTATACACCCTGAAATAGGAATCTATACAGCTCTTATCCTGATTAACCCCTATAGGGCAGCTATACAATATATAATATCCCCAGGACTTATACTTTGCTTCTTCCTCTAATGGCTTAATAGGTCTTATAATATTGAACAGGGCCTACAGCGCTTCGGCCTTGCTGAATATATTAAGAGCAAGCTCTATTCCTTTAACTAACGCGGCTAGGTCGGAGTCGCGCCCCTCAGGGAATTAGTTGAAATTAATTTCAGGCATATCACGGGGATCGGCCGACCGCAAGGTAACTGTGCCTGCTTGGTTCTGCATCTGCATTTTGACAATAGACTACCAAAAGTTGCTTACAGGGGCTGCCGTGTTCGACCAGCCGGGCCAGAAGCTGCAGAACACACCATTAGCACCACCAAAGAACTATAGATCCATATCAGCATTCTCGCTTTAACTAGAGCGCATCAGCAGGCTCAGTATCGGGCCCTGGGTATACAGCCTGGTACCAGTCTCTATAAACTTATTAAAGCAAGGATCCCCAGGTACAAAGGTAGTAGTATAGTTCTCAAAGGTATTAAAAAGTCCTTAGATACCAGTCCCTCAACGCCAATTTCATAGTTATCTTGCAGATTTATACCTACAGCCGGGAGAGAAACTTAGACTGGGATACCAAATTCCTCCAGTTCCTCCTAAGGACTGATTCCGCTCAGCTTTAGGATCTACAGAGTATTAAAAGCCCCTCCTACTATAATAACCTCTCTCTTTATAACTGTAACTATAGTACTCCCGCTATCAGCTTTATAAGAGTATAGATCAGCTTTATAGAGAGTAGCCCCCTTAAGATACTTAATACTAATAATAGAATTTAAGTCTATAGAATTATTTAATAATAACTTAGTAGTAAGTAAGTTTATACTAACAGTTAATAGATATTTTTATATACTATTAAAATAAGTTTTATTAATTATACTTTTAAGGTAAGCTCTAGAGCTTAAGTAATAATACTTCTGATTATAGTATAGAGTATATTCTATAATATAGTTCTTTTTAAAGTAATTCCTATTAAGGCTATTACTATTACGGAGTAATAGCTTAATAACTTTATCCTTACTAGGGTTATATAAGTCCCTAAGTATAGTTATTACTATACTAACTACCTAGAAAAAACTATTATCAGGATAAATAATAGAAAGATTATTTTAATTTAACTATTTATTATTAGTATAATAGTACAGATAGAAGCTAGCTTAGAATAAATAAAGTTACTTAAGCTAAGGAACTAAAGACTTATTAGAGCGGAATAATACTTATACTAAGCTAACTAGAAAAACTATAGCCTAGAGTATCTTTAGGGAGAAAGTAGTTACTCTCTAGATATTTAAAGTATTATCTTATATTCTCTGATTTCTAAGAGTTATTTTCTATAAGATTTATAATATAGTTCTAGTTATTATCTAGAGAAAGTACTAACCTAGTAGTATTAACTATTATACTTCTACTAATTATAGTACCTCTGGGGTATAGTATTCTGTATACTTTAGTATCCGGAGGCAGGTTAGACCTTATATAGTATAACCTATCAGTTAATTACTATATAAACTTAGAGTCTTTCTGAGCCTTATCAGGATTAGAGTAGTAGTTAATAAAGAACTATTATAATATCTCTAGATCCTCAGCTGCTATATTTACTCTTATTTAGAATCAGCTTATTCTTATTTATATTTAACTTTATATATATATAGCTGGAATTATTATTAGTAAGCTATTAATATAGTCCCCTCTAGCTTTAAGGAGAAGTACTAAATATCTATACCTTACTAAGTTTGCTCTAGATAGTATTAGCTAAAGTACTTAGCAGTATAAAGGACCTGTAGCTTATACTAGTAGTTCTCCTCTAGTACCTAATCTAATAATAATATAGTTATATTCTAGGTTTACTAAGGTAGAATAACTTATTATTATAAGGAGGTAAAGAGCTAGTAGATAATTAGAAATCTTTATTCTTAACTAAATATAGTTATATTTAACTAAGTATAGGTATTATAATAATCTATACTTTTAAATATATAGAACTTAAAATAATATCTAGCTAATATATATAAGAGTAATATATAGGTATTTTTTATCCAGGTAATAATTTCTATTCTTTTATATTAATATAGTTATAATATTAGAGGATTCTATTCTGAGATATATAGACTTATATATATAGTTAAATTAGCTATAATTACCTATAACCTTAATAAGCTCTTATTAGTTATTAAATTCCTCCCTAGCTTAATATATTTCTATATAAAGAAATAACCTAAGGCTTTAAGATTAATATCCAGAGTAAATAAGTTTTAACTCTAGCTTATAGAAATTAAATTTATAGCTAATATAGCTAAAAACAGGGTATATAAAATACTAATAATTATTTACCCCTATCTCGAGATAATAAATCAGCTGTATAAGGAAATAATCTGCAGCTTATTATTACTGAATATTAGTTACCTAGTAGTATTAGTTATAAGTCTATAGTCCTTTTAGCTAACTTATACCTAGGAATAGATCCTATAAACTCTATATACTATAGTAGTAATATTATATATACTATAGCCTCTAAGAAACCTAGATTATAATTTTATTTCTATTATTATATACTCTCTCTATATACTAGATATATAGATAGATATCCTTTACCTTAATAGTAATATTATAAGTTATAACTAATAAAGTAATTAAATAAGTATAATAGAGTAAGTCTGAGATACTAGTTAGAATAAAATTTATAACTATAAGGCTTAAGCTAATATCAGACTTAATTAAATAATATAGGTATTTAAATTATATAACTATACTATAGTAGTAGTAGAGGTAATAGGCTTATTACTGTTATTTATAGTATTCTAATAGTAATTCTCTCTTAAGGTATAAATTCCAGCTATTATCTACTTTTAATATATTAATATAGACCTGAGAGATATCTAATAGTTAGTAGTATTAAATTATATAATAATTATTATTAAACTAATTCTAGTAACTACTAGTTAAAAAAATAGCTTACTATAGTTAATTACCCTACTATAATTAAAAAACTTATCTTCTAGCTAACTAGTATAAGGAATTTATAATATAGCTAGCTATATAGATATATTAGTACTATAGGAGATTAAATACTAATATATTAATAATCTAGCTTTATATTAAATTAAATACTATATATCGAATAGTTAGCCAGACTAGTAGTTACTGGTCTCTTATATACTAAGGAGCTTTTATTATCTTATTATTATTCTATATCTAGAGCAGAAGAAATTAGTCTACTTATAATATTTAAATAGAGTATTAATAAGCTAGTTATATAAAGCTAAGCTAACTTATTATAAGAGCTCTCCTACTTTAGCTCCTTCCCTTTTGCTTTAAATCCAGATTAGTCTCAGAATCTTACTCTGTAGCCCCAGATCCGAGCTAATTCTAACTAAATAGCAGCTAAATAGGATATCTATAGTTATATATACTTCAGGTATAAAGTTATCTGGCTGTTAAGATAAGACAGCCGGGCGAGCAGATATATATCTTAGTTTATCAAAACAGTATTATCTCTTCTGATTAGTAATATTGTTTCTGACTATAAAGTATCTTTATTTCTTAGGGCGACTTTTTATATAGATTATCAAGGGACGGAGTAGTAGTTATAGGAAAACTAGGCCCAGGCCTAGGATTACTCGCTCTTTTAATAAGCTTCGCTATCAGTATTACTGCTTCTATATATATATAAGTCTAAGCTGTAAATATTCTTACTAGGCTGTAGCTCTTAATAGCTAAGTAAAGGCTATCTGGAATATTATAGGCCCAGTCTCTTTCTAGTAAATAAATCCTGTTTATAGCTAAAAAAAGAATATATAATACTTAGCCCTAATTATACTAGATATATATACCTTATATTAGGGGTTAATAAAAATTCTGGAAATAGTAATACTATATATACAGTTATCTACTTTATAATCTATAAAAGAAGGGATTACAAGTACTATAGATCGTGAGTACCAGGGGTTACAAGATATACTGATATCTGTATAGTATTAATATAGAGATAATATAATACTAATATCTGATATAAGACCCTTAATCTTAGAAACAGTTTAATTATAGAGATATATCTTTATTACTTACTACTAGAAAGTTAATAATAAAAATAAATCTTTACTATCTATTTTCTTATATAAATATATAAAGAATAATCTTTTATATAACTTTCAATTACTAGTTATTTACTTACCTCTACTATACTACTTATAAGCTTTTATTCTCTTATTACTTTCTTATTTTTTTTCTATATTCCTTTCTTTATTTATTTCTTAACTACTGAAATAATTACTATTAAAAATCTTAATCTTATAGGACTTCTCTAGCTCTCTCTTACTAGTAAGGGACTTACTCTTAGAATTAATCAAGATACTAATAATCTTTTACTGCTAAAGAGATCTGATACCGAGGACCTCTATAATTATAACTTTAATAGTAAGATCTATAAGTATAAATTCAGTAATATTAAACTTAATACTTATAACTTTCCCCTCGAGGTATATAGAGATTATATAAAGACTCTTATAGTACCTGCTCTAATAGGCTATTCTAGCTAATAAGAAGTTAGTACCCAGGGAGACTTAAAGAATATTAAGGCCTACTATAAAGAGCTATATAGAATATAATCTAGCTGATAAGGACTTAGTACCTGAGGAGACTTAAAGAATATTAAGGCTTATTATAATAACCTATATAGAAAGTAATCTAGTTAGTAAGGCTTAAGCCTCTATAGAAATTTAAAGAATATTAAGACTTATTATAAGGAGCTATATAAAAAGCAACCTAGTTACTAAGGCCTTAGTACCCGGGGAGGAAACTCTAAGAATATTAAAGCTTATTATAATAAGCTATATAGAAAGAGACCTAGTTAATAATATTTAGACCCTGTTTATAAGTCTTAATTAATCTGAAGAGATAGGCTTACTAGTATTAAGAAGGTTCAGCTAGTCTGGAATTCTAAGTATTTTAAATAGGGATAGGAAGTAAGAATATAACTGAATTTTATATTAATAAAATACCTAGACTTACTTCTAATCCTTTGTTTTATAACTGATTATCTCCAGCTTATTATATCTAGACTATTGTAATATATTATTCTGAGTAATATAAATTAAATCAGCTAAGGAGAAAACTATTATCTAAGCTAATCTTATTTACTAATTAAAGTTAGACTACTCTGTATAATATACTAGATAAGTATTCAGCGATAAGCTTTATATTGCTGAGACTGTCCTATATATTGTGATTACCTAACCCAGAACTACTAAATATATATAAGTAATTACTTTTATTTACTATAAGTATAAGATTCCTATTATCCCCTATACCAGTAAAAGGAGTATAAAGCCCAGACTAGTATATCTTTAGGCGGTATAAGCATCTATTTACCTATATCTCGAAGTACCTGAGCCCCAATTATAATAACATGGGTACTACTGTCCAGTCCGGTTTGTACTGGACCAATTTCAAAAAGGATCTTACCAGCCAGGGTATTTAACTGACCTGAGGTATAGTTATAGAGGTTATCTGAGATATACTCTATAGAAGATACCAGGCCTAATTTCTTAATACAAATTTAATATATATTATTAATAGCGAGCTAATAATATATAATACTTATCTAAATGTATATATTTTATACTTCTTACTTCTTAAGCTGCTATATAAAATTCTATAGATAGAAATAACTTTTATAAAGCACTATCTCGAGCTTAAATATATTACCTTAAGATATACAGTATTAAATTCTAATCTATTAATATTATAGAACTGGGCTGCTAGATACAGTATAGCTCGTTAGGATTAGGTACTATATATAAAGGAATAAACCGGGATCTTTAGGATTATATAAACCAGGGAAAGCTAGTAAATCCGAAGGTGATAGTTAAAGTATTCTAGTACCCCTAGTAATCCTGATCTGAGTATAAGAAATATAGAATTAGGCTCTATTATCCTGTAAAGTATTATAAAGTATGATATACTCGAGCTGAAGTAGATACTCTCTATCGGCAATATATTCAGGGATCTTGATTGATATACGGTTCTTCTCTGTAATTCCAGCTGTTAGTATCTATACATACAGACTGGGGTAATTCTAAGAGTAGTATACTCTAATTTAGCCAGGTTAATCTTTTGTTAATAATTAATAACTTATTACTATTACTATATATCTTAAACTAAATATTACCTAGACCTTTAAATTCCTTAACCTTTATCCTAGAAGGAGCCTTAGCTATAAAGAATTATAGTAGGCCTAGGTAGAAGATTTTAATATATCCCTTAAAGTCTATTAATAGTAGTAAGTTAAGGATATTCTACTGATAATTATAGTATTATATGGAAAATAAGAACTAACTAATAGTTAATCCGGCTGTAACCTCTAAGACCTTAGTTCCTTGTTCTGTAAAAGGGTTCGCGTTTATCCTGTTGCAGGTCATATTTGGGCCGAAGATATCGAGTTCAGGGCTATCGCGGAGATTCCAATCAATCTCTCTAATGAATTCAAACTTCTCAGAGGCAACGTCATTGTAAATCGTCGTATGGAAGTGGTCTGCTCATTTATTAACAACGTACGGATACTATTGGAAATGTGGTTCTTACAGTGGGCTTGCCCAAGGCTCACCAAGCCGATAATAGCTGCTGAAACCTTCATGGCAAGGGCTAAGGGAGTAATTTAAAGACAAGAATAAAAGCTTTGGTGACAATCAAGCGTTTTACTTTCAATCTCATTCACCTAGGATAAGGAGAAGCGAAATGGACTATAGTGTTTGTGTACATCATAGAGTTTATATAGAAATCATTTCATTCTATGTCATACGATATTTTGCAGCCAGATTAAAAAGTTCATTCAATCTATCCAATTCTGGTGTGTGAGTGCTGATGATTTCTTGGCTCAATCAACCTTTCTCGTATTTAAAACAGCAGATTTAGGCTGTTAGCCGTGTTTAGGTTCTTGGCAAACTGAAATCTTCTAAAAAAAAGTATACGGAGGCTCTGTCGCCGTAAAATACTACCTCAGGGTAATATTCTTACAAGATATAAACGATTTGATAATTACTACTGCTTGACTTGAGGCGGAAGACGGGCCTTCATCCCAGAGAGCATAAAGTGTCGTAGTGTGGTGTAGTATTGAGGTTAAGTAATGGATGTAGTATTACTTGTCAGACTAAACATCAACTGGTACTACACTTATTACTACACTTATTAACAAGAATCACTAAAGGGTCTAGTGACACGGTTTCACTGCATCGTTTCATTGCGGATAAATTCACCCGCCCTATCCGAATGTGTTGCTGTGTTCATTGGTTAGGAGGTTTCATTAGATTTCACTTGCTTAAGGACAGAATTCATAGCTCACTAAAGCTCAATCAGTATCAGTATCTGAGTGAGATGCCGACCAGATACTAATATATAGGAGGGGAGGGATTTAAGCAGTGAGAAAGATTCAATTTTATATAACGCTTGCGTGAACTACTTTCTCATGGCGAAATCGAGACCAGTAGCTTGGAATACTGCTATATTTTCTTTCAAGGTACGACGTTAGCAATAGTAGATATATCCCAGCTTAGATCCAAATAAAGGCATTATTGTAGCAACGATTCTCACCGACTTGAATCACTGCTTTGGGTATACATCACTTCGCACAGTTTAGCACATGTTGCTACCAGCCACTATGCTTATTTTTTAAAACTTCTCACTTGAAAATCAATTTGATCTATCTTTGTACTGGATGATCTAAACCTGTATCAGACAACTCATATATGGAGACTGGCTTAGCAATGGTTGCTATTGGAGCAATCCCTCTGTTTGATAACGCATTACGCTCATGTCCAGATACGCCACCCTTTTCGAAACCGACTTCTCTAGAACTTTGACTCCATTCTGTAGCATCCAACTCGAAACGCGGAGTTGAAGACCTCTGCTTAAATGTCGGCAGCTCAAATCTTTCAACCCTCTCCTCACTCTTGGGTGAGACAACTATTTTAGACCAGTTGCTATCATCGTGATCGCCTTCGGATCCCCTCGCTCCGCCTGTGACTGTAGATGATGCTTTGTCGAGCTTCTCCATCCCCCTCGCTTGTCTCCTCCGAATGAATAAGAACGCTAAAAGCGCCAACAGTGCCAAAAACGCAAGGAGGCAGCCGACAATGACTCCGATCAGGCTGCCTCTTGACAGGGCGGTTCCTTTCTGGTTCGAGCCATCTGAACCTTCGGCATTCGTGCCGTCATAAGGTGTTAAACCAGCTCCCCCACCGCCGCCACCACTACCAGTTATAGTTCCAGTTGCCGAAGCAGTGTCGGGGCTCTTTGACGGAATATATGTTGTGCGAGCCGTCACCGTCCCAACATCAACCCCAGCAATTGTAGGAGGCACAATATCTCCTCTGAGTGCCCAACGCGATACCGAGTCGTAATCTGGACAGGACGGTGCGGTTTCTGTCGGTTTATAATCTGCCATCGATGTGCCCGTTGGGTTCAGTGTTGAAAACGCCGTCGACAGCCTACTGTAGTCGTCGAGGAGCGAAGGAGTGCCCGTCTGCGCCTTATCCGAGTATTTCGCAAGCCCGTAGTTGTTCTCCTGCTGAGCCCACTCATATACAATGACACCAGAGAACTTGCCAGGGAGATCACCCCCCAGTATCCCATAGACCTCGCTGAAGTTTCGCTTATTGTCGCCTCCACAGCCTGTTTCCGAGAATACAATCGGGATGTTATAGTCTTTGAATAATTCATGCATCATGTCGAGCCCTGATGAGATATCACACCATATATCATTGTTAATGCCGAACATATCAACCGTGTTGTCACCGCAGGCGACGAACTGTCCGCATTTGCTTGTGTGTGGTTCGTCGGGCCCTTGGGCATATACGATCGGTATCGGACGGTAACCTCGGGCATCTCGGAATGCTTTGAGATCTCGCGCGGCTGCCTTGATAGCAATGCCTGCAACGCTTCCCTTGACTGTACAAATCTAATTAGGAGCTGCAAGTTCAATACTGATCTGCCAGTAGACATACTCGTGTTATCTAGGGTATTAAAACCCAGGGTAAAGGCGAGGACGTTGTCATAGCCGGCGAAGTGGTCGATGGTCGAGGTGAAGTTAGTATATAGGTTCATTGTCCACTCTGGTGTTTTCTGGGCGTTCTATCAGCGTCTTGGGGGCATAAGTAGGCTCTTGGTTTTGCTTCACTTACATCATCGATCTTTCTTGACTCTGTGGACAGGTCCACCCAAACATATATACCTTTGCTCGCGAAAGCCTCCATGCATCCCTTATGGTCCTTTGTAGAATCCGCTCCGTAGACGCGAATTGTATTGATACCCAGATCCTTCATTAGTCCAGCATCGAGCTGGCATTGTTTTCCGTCGCGCAATACGTCAATCTCCCCCACTCCCGCGTAAATGACACCTGCAGTAGTGAGTCCAGATTAGTGTTGCGCACAAAAGTGAACGTAGTTTAGGCAGCAACATACCTTTGACGAAGAACTGCTTTCCATCTTGATCGTATAGTTTGGAGCCCTTTATCGAGATGGGGGAGATGGAGGCCACGAGAGTAGCAAAGAGGAGGACCCCATATGCGATGAAGCGCAGCATCGGGAGGCCTGCACAAGTCTCCATCAGGCGGAACACGAGGACAGGTCTGTGACGGGTATGCGCTGCACAACACCCATCGAGGGTTAGCCTTGGATAGATGTTAATGTCTGGTTTCTCCTCTATGCACAAGGTGCGAATTTGTCCCGAAGCTCTCCAAGGGTGGCGATGGTGATGACGAGAGTAGGGAAGGCCGCCGCTCTTCTGGAAATATTGGCATAGACCCACGATGAATTATTTTTGGAAGAGTAAGCATGATTAACTAAGAAAGTGCGAGACCTGGAGGCCGAAACTGGCATATTAGAGTCAAGGGTGTGTTTCATCTTCAACGTGGGCATTCTTGGCAACCTGCACAGAATGGCGATAAATTAAGAGACGACTTGGATTTTAGGACTCGGGTTATGGGGAGATTTTGGATTAATATGTAATTGCGGAAAGGCGAGAAAGGCAGAGGTTTCTGGTTGTAAACAACCAAGGTCCAGCAGCGCTTGAACATGTAGTCGTAAATCGTACCTTAATGGGACAGGTGCTGCCATCAAATCTAAATTACATACATGGGTTGTCAGCTTCTCAATGTAAATCTTTGCGGAGAATTAGATACCGCTGACATAATATCAACATGGGTCGCAGCTTCCTTTACGGGTAATACATTGACTCTAACAGCGAGTCATTTAATTACCCCAACAATTATCCTATCTACCCTATATATCAACGATGCCCCAGCAGTCGTTCATTGTTCCCAGTCTCTGTTTTAATGCTTGTGATCTTGAAGAAAGATGGCGAAATACCGGATCAAAGCTTGGTGACAAAATGACTGTAGAACTAGATCAAAGGCCGCTGACCCATTTGTTGAAAACTTAAAANAAAAAAAAAAAAAAAAAAAAAACGATGTGTTGGTTATTATGCCTGACTCGTTGACATCATTTGGGATTGGTATTAGGGAACCGTGTTATTTACTGATCTTGAGGAGACAATCCAAACTGTGGAAGAAGCTAAAGGGATAATATAGGAGGGATACCAGGATAATTCAGGGGTTTTAAATACTCTCGATTCTCTATGCATTTGAAATCTTCCATTGTTGGGCTTATTGTGCATTGCGAAAAGAACATCTCTCGGAGCCGACTCTAACCCCTGTTATCCAACCACAGCGACTTCAGAACACGCTAAGATAAGCTACTCAAAGTTGATAGATAAGATGAGAAGAGACTACTACTTCTTTAACTCTTTTTTCTTTTTAATTAATTAGAAAAAGATAACTTCCTATGTTACTATCTTCTTAAACTATTATATCTTAAATACTAATTATTAAATTTTATAGATTATTTTCTGGAGAAAAGAGAAGAAAGAGTATGTTTTAGGGAAGGTGGAGAGGTATCGGACACTAGCATGGTATTTGTTAGTCTGGCTGAACTAATCAGGGGTCAAAATATAATCAAAACAATAACCTCACGCCACTAGACTACACGGGAAGGGCATTGGAATCTCGCGGTCTGGACTTTCTACAATGGGACAGAAACGTGATTTGGAAGAGGATATAAAGCCCTGTAAGTATGCTCTACAAGAGCCTTACTTGAGAGAAAGGTATCGAATTCAAGCTGGCATGGAAAATACTCACATCGTAGCCATGGCAAAGGTATGAGCTGAGTCACCGTGTCCTGGCGACATTCTCCGCATTCTTGATAATCTCAAATTTACGAGTTTTATGTTGCTGGATGAACTTTACCGCTAGGCCAATACCCGACATGCCGGTGCTGATAATAAGAACATCTACATCGTGACACATCTTTGAGGTTTGTTCGGCTAGGTAGAATGGAAGACTTAATCCTGTTTGCTTCTAAACTTGAGACTTGGGGATTTAATTACATATCAATAGTTTATAAGACGAGCCAACCTTATGCATACACAACATCGTTTCCACAGGGACATATATCTAGGAAAGGGTTGCAGGCAATACACCTGAGCTCGTGATTATTTCCTAACGCATTTAAATAGAAGATGGCCCCGTATTTCAAAACTCGTCCTGTATTGCCCTATCCTGTATTGGTAAGTGCGATCGAATTACCTTTTGCCGAAGAAACACAACAGCAAACCGGATCATACATACACTTAACCATCATGCCCCCGTCTATCCATCTCGTCCACTATACGCAAGATTTCTACAACCTTTCCCGCGCCGCGCACAAGAATCCAGGATCCTCGCTTAACGACCCTGGATAAACAGCAACGTGCAGCGCTCCATTCCAGTTTTCCGTATCACGGCAAACTATCTCACTTTGTTGCTTCGCCTCTGAGACAAGCCCTTTCCACTTGACTCCTGGAATTCGCTCCGCCTCCCAAATTTCCCATTATCACCCTTGCCGAGCTGAAAGAAGTCGGAGATTCTCCTTGCGACAGGGGCTCAGACCTGAAAACTTTGAGAGAAGAATTTCCGCATCTTCTTGAACTGAGCCACATTCCCGAGGATTGGAATAAGATACCGAGTCTGGTGTCGGTTTCATGGCTTGTTAATCTAGCTCACCTGAACGAACCCGCAGCGCAGGCTAGAATGGCACTATATACACTAAAACAGGCCTTGGCTGAGGAAGAAAACGTGGCCTTCATCGTTCTCATCACGTCTGCGATCCCAATCGCTTTAATGAGGGCCAAAGCCCACCCAACACGCTTGTCCAAGCGCATCGTGGCGCGAAACTGCAGCCTGATTGACTACAGTGCATTCTGAGACCCTCCCCTCCTCCTGCTCAACCTTGGTCTCTTTTTTGGCTTCATGGGCCTCTATATTGTTCTTTACTACGTCAAACTCTTCGCCCTTGATCACAATATTACACCAGAGATATCCGAGTACCTACTTATCATCATCAATCTGTCTGCTCTCCCCGGTCGTCTCATCCCCGGATACTTTGCTGATAGAATCGGTTCCATCAATGTTCAATTTTCTGTTGCGCTCCTCAGCATGATTCTCACATTCTGCTTGATGACAATCCGATCGGCAGTATCCTTAGTCGTCTTTGCCATACTATTTGGCTTCTCCACCGGTGCCTTTATGGGCTTGCCTGCTGCTGGCGTTGTGAACCTCTCCGCCGATAAGAGCAAAATCGGGACACGACTGGGCATAACCCTGGCGTTTGTTGGGATAGGCGTTTTAGTAGATAACCCTATCGCAGGTACCATCCTTGGGGCAAACAAGAATTGGGTCGGGTTAACTTCATGGTGTGGTACTCTGCTTGCGGCGTCCTCGGTCAGCATGGCTGCATGTCGCATATCCAAAGTAGGCACCCGGCTAAGTGAGGTTTTATGATCCGTCCAGGTTTGCTCACCAATACGTACGGTTGTCCTAGGAGTGATTGAAAACATCGCTCTTCCATTCTCGTGTGTGTCAAGTCAAATTTATGAGAAAATAAAAGCACATAGAGATTGATTCTTAACCCACCTCAATAATGTACTTTCTCAAATGAGGTAGTAGCATAGACCTTGGATGGGCGAGAAGGTCGGCATGAATATTCAGCTCATGTTCGTAGACATCTAGGCCACTAGACCACACCTTTCCATCCACTAAAGCGGCGGCCAAAGCCTCTTCGTCAACTATCAGTACCCGTGCCGTATAGATACTAACCACGCCTTGTTTCATCATATTGAATTCTTTGTGTGACAACAGATGTCGCGTGTCCGCCTATGGCCTGCGTGAGACCTGAGGAGAACATCATTCTTTGAGATAACTTACATTCAGTGGGATGCAAATAGAGATAACGTCGCTCGATCTTACAAGCTCTTCAAATGTGACATATTCTGCTTCTATGATATGGCTTGATTTAGTCCGGTTATGGTAAATCCCCCTTATCCCAAAGGCTGTCGCCTTCTTAGCTATGTTCCTGCCAATCCCTCCGCACCCAAGAATCTAGATAGGTGAATGTCACGGAATCGTGGATTGATGACCTGGTAGTTGTAGTTGAAATTGGCCTAACCCGTTGCTTTTAACTATATCTATGTATCACCACTTGATTGAAACGGTTTTCCCTTGTTCTCCAACCATCCATTCGCCCCAAGTTTGCAACGATACTGTTGCCTCGCGCTTTCCCATCGTAATAATTTCAGGTTTCCGTACCTGTAATAATACAAGTTGACGATTTCGCATCACTCCGGGATCATCAACAACTCCACCTACCAAAGCTCCTTGAGTCCATTGATCTATACACACTTCGTTTGTCAAATCTTTCATTAGCTCTGCCTCCCTGTCCATTATAGAATCAGCAAGTTTGCCAGCTACTGCTGCGTACCATATCCCCTCCATCTGTGTTCGTCGAAGCATCCCAGCAGCCAACCGCCTCAGTTGCGAAGTCGGTGCCAAATGGGCGACTAGTGATAGGGCATCGATGACCGTCGAGTTCGGAGTGAAAGGGCTCAGCCGGCCCTCAACTTCCAAATAAGTGTTCCCCAAGCTGAAGATTGTGTCAGAGTCTGCAATTATTTCCTTACAAATTTTCTCGGAGTGAGCTTCCATTTCATCAGGTCCAATTGCATCAGGGTTTCCGACGAATAGCATGCGACAGGCATTGAGATAAAGCCGCAGTGGCAGAATGGCATCATGTAGCTGCCGCCGGCTGCTCTGGTTTGTTCCCAAATCATGTTCAAAGATAGTTAACGCTTTTCGCAGCTGTTTGTAGCCACGAGATATGTACGTTGCGCATGCTCAAAACTGTCCACCCTGCTACTAGTAATGATCTCTGATGTAATGTCAGGCAGTGAGAGGACATAACCTCCTCCTGTAAGCTCGCGGCATAGACCATCCCATTCATCAGTGATTCAGCTGCTCGGCTGGCTTCATATATTCTCCTAGGCGTGGTAATCGGCCTTGTTGTCTGCCTTTGCAGTTGAACTGGTGCCAAATAAAACCACCACGCCCAGAAAATGGCATCTTCAGCTATGCGAGAGTGCAAGGATAAGTCAAGCAGAGCTCCTAAGCCGAGGCCATTGTGTAGTAGATCCATCTTGAGGAGAATGTTCCGAATAGGTGCGATTGAGATAGGGAATTCTCCCAAAATCATCGTGGACACACTTGGCCCTTCTGAGGGCAGAGGACTCCTCGTTGTTGGTCTTAGGTCATGCCCACTAATGTCGCAGAGCAATGATGCACCTGCACGCAGGTGCATAGCAGCTTGCTCCTGAAACCCCTGGATAGTAGCAATGAAGGAGAAAATGATACTGAGGGTGAGTGCCCGGCATTTATTGGCGTGTCTTGAGGAACACGATTGGGTCATGAGACGAATGGATGCGTTACATTGTTGCAAAGCAAATGTTGTTGCCTTGCCTTGTTGAAGGGACGTCTGCATTGTACAGCTGTCAAGCTCATATACGGAGGAGAGACAAATGATAGCATGCCAGATTGCTGGATCTCTATGAAGAATGCCAGGGATATCGACGAGCCAAAAATCCGCGTCAAAAAAGCTGGATAGGGCTGGACCGACAACTTCCAAGAAATATTGATGGCTTCGGAGCTCCTCAGGGCCTACACGTGGAAGTACCAGCTTCGTATCTGCTGATGGAGAGAGGCCAACAGTCGAACGAAAAGCGCTCCTTGAACCACAGGGTTTGCTGGATGATAAAGAAACCGGCGCTGCCGAGGATGAGTACCCGTCGCACGTGCGCCCAGTAAAGCTGCAACGGTCGCAAGCGGGTTTTTTCTCATCACAACGCAACTTGCGGATTCTAATGAAAAATCAGAATACAAGCCCCCCATTTCGTGATGTCATGTTGGAGTGGAGTCCATAGGACCAACCTGCAGGTCTTGCACCCAGTACGCGTCTTAGTATGTCGCCGGTTCTGCCGAGGAGCGCTAGGGCTCTGGTATTTCGATTGCCATTAGGGTTCATGTGACAAGTGAAACGGAATGTTGCTGTTGCACTGCCTAAAAGCGAGGGAGATTGGAAAACAAACAACTTCAGAGGATCCAGGAGACGTTGGTGTAAGACAACGGGGCCGTGAGTTACAGGTTCATCTAGCTCGTCTCTCCGCAGAGATGAGCCTTGGTTTAACCATAAAGCGAGCGAGCCAATCAATATGCATTATTATTCTGCAAACGGCCATGATTGGCTGCTGCTCTTTTTATCCACTCTTACTAAGTCAAGGAATATCCATGAAACCCAAAACTTACCAATCATAACGGAGATCGAATACATATCCCAGAAATTGCACCCAGCCGAGTCCCCGTACGGATGGCATGGTAGAGCTTTTCGAAAATTATAAAGGAGTCCAATAAGCCACCAAAAAATAGTAGAAGTTGTACTCAACTCAATCGTACGACTCCATTCTCACCTCTTGCTACACTTTCATAAATCATGCAGTATTTGAAAATTCTCTCCGGTGGTCTCGCCCTCACACTAGCTGGGGCTGCCGGTGCCTCGTGCAAGAATAGCACACTCCATTGGATACAATGTGAGGATGTTTCACCTGAAACTCCAATACCATATACTTATAGCTGTTCGACACATCAAGTGCCTTTGGACTGGACTAATCCGGAGGATAAAAGGAAAGTCGACCTACAGCTCGTCAAAGTCTTCGCTATTCATCAACCATCAAGGGGCAGCATTCAATTCAACTTCGGTGGCCCAGGAAGTGAGGCCAGAGGGAGTTTGCTATTCTTCGCGCAGAATCTAATGCAGTAAGCATCTTTCCAAACTACTTCGATGTCTGGAATTTAGGATCTCAGCTTAACAACTTGGGTAGGGCCACGGGCGGATACTTTGACCTGGTCGCCTTCGACCCCAGGGGAACGGGAAACACCATTCCTTTCAACTGCACCGATGATCCTGTTGAGCTTTATGCTCTGTCTCAGGTATTTAGCCAAATGGGTAACTCTTCGGATACCGCTGCCGCCCAGATTTGGGCGCATACTGGTGCGTTGGCGAATACTTGCCTTCAAAGGCAGTCTGAGATAGGGGAGTTCATCAACACAGCTTTTGTCGCTCGTGACTTGATGAGTGTGGTCGATGCGCTTGGGGAAGATGGCATGCTCCGCTTCTGGGGTCTTTCTTATGGTTCCACACTAGGCGCGACGGTTTCTGCCATGTTCCCTGACCGTATTGAGCGAGTTATACTCGACGGTGTGGCAAACATGCATGAATACTACAATGGCCACGCGTGAGAGCATATTCACACCTTTCTCAACAAACAATTGCTAACTTTAAATGTAGCGAGATCCAGCAATGCGCTGATACTGATGAAACGTTCTCAAAAATATGGTCGACGTGCATTGACGTTGGCGCCGAGTTTTGTCCATTGGCCCTTGCGTATAATGACGGACAGATCCTTGAGCAGGATGTGTGGAAGCTCGTCGAGGATCTGAAACTTAACCCGATAGCTTTATCGTCACCAAATGCCTCGCTCGTGCTGGATTACACCACCGTGCTCTCTGCGTTTGTATCAGCCGTCTACAACTCCGATACATGGCCTGCGCTGGCAACTGCCATAAGCCTCATCATGTCCAGGGATGCACAAGACGGGAATGATGAGCATCTAATCAATCTTCTACAAGCCTTCAACTTAGCGAATAGTGAAGCAAAACTCGCCGGAGCCAAACTTGCTTTAGCAAATCTCGGCATCCGGGGATCAGATCGGAAAGGAAGGGTCTCAAGCCGCGAGCAACTATCCTCCACTTTTTTCCAGCTAAGCCACACCAGCCGCCTGCTGGGTCTAACAACCCAAGGGCTTATAATGGTTACCAACCAGTGGAAATTCAATGCCAAAGAGCGTTACAATGGCCCTTGGGCGGATATCAAGACCAAGAAACCCATCCTCTTAATTGGAAATACTCTGGATGTGTTGACGTCCATCAAGGCAGCGCGGAATACCAGTGTAATATTCAGGGGGAGCATAGTGGTAGAGCTCCAAGCCTATGCGCATGGCTCGATCAATCCTAAATCGAAGTGCCTGGACCAAATAACAGCCGCGTACTTCTTCAATGGCACAATACCCCCTAATGATACTATTTGCGCAACGGATGCTCAGCCTTGGCAGCTACCATCCAGCCATGACGAGTTCTAGGAGGTTAATTTATCTTTGTTATGTACGATAGGTGTATGATAGTGTAGGTTAGCGCCAGAAAGAGCCGGCTTTGGAGTTGAACAAAGCCGACGGACTGGCCACGTTTCTAGAGGCTCCTACAAAACACTATTCCGCTCTTAATACTGAAGTTAAAGCCCGAAGGCAAGACTGACTTGTGCTAATATCACAGCATTTATCAACGGGGTATAATTGTGAACCTGTTCTAGCTAACCACTTACCCAAATCTTTAGCCACGGACCGGTCATATCTAGGGTGCAAGAAGAACGGTCAGAAGTGCAGTGCGGCCCTGGTCAAAAAGACACGGCCGAGCCCGTGGCGGAGCATGCAGCCAACCAGTCGCGAGCTGGTAAGAGTACATATAAATTAGCGGATGCGCTCACTGTGATAGAAGTACCGATAATCCGGCTGGCCAAGGACATATTAACTTACTTATATTTAGGCTACCCTATATCTATATTCTTGTAGTTCTTATCAAGGTTGTTTATAAGCTGGATACAGTATAGTAGGCTTGTTTAAGTTTTATATAGAAATTACTAAAATCTTTTTTAAATAAATTAGATATTGGAATATTTATATTATTTTACTTACCGGAGAGAGTTTTGATAGAAAGTTAAAATAAAAGAAGAAGTCAGACCTAATAACTCAATATAATAAATACGAAAGGTTAAAAAAAAGCTTTGCTAGCCCAAGGCTGCAGTTATACGGCAGAAAATTCTATAAACCTTCATACTGATAACTCGCTTGCCGTCAGGACGAGCTGCGCGTTGATATTTTTTTTTTTTTTTTTTTTTTTTTTTTACTTATTTTTTTTAAATATTCATTATAATAATTAAAATAAACATCGCTCCGAAAAGGTGAGTTTTTTAGCTTGTCAGGCTTTGAAAAACATGGCCGAGTCTACATGTTTATTACATAATACTGAAACGCATTTACCCGCTGTTAAACCGAGAATAAATATCAATACAGGGCTACCTACTGTGCTTACGAGGCCCTTCTTCTTCATTACCTCACTTCTCTTAGCAACTATGTTTGGCCAACGATCCTCCGGACTAGACCAATTAATACGTCGCCCAAAGCGTAGCCCATGGCAAGAATTTCGCGAAAGGCCTTGTGTCATTCTTGCCAAACAGGTTTATGCATCTCGGAGTATCATTCCTGCTCAGCCAGTCTCAAACGCGGTTTCCGTTGTGTGCATATCCGATACCCATAACTATCAACCAGAATTGCCTAATGGCGACATACTGATTCATGCTGGGGATCTCTCGCAGTCAGGCACACTTGAAGAAGTCCAGAAAACCATCCTCTGGATAAGTCAACAACCATTTGAGTACAAGGTCGTAATTGCCGGAAACCATGATTTGATATTGGATTCTTCTCGAGATCAAGATAAAAATGCTGAAATTAAGAGATCCCAGCTAGAGTGGGGTGACATTATTTATCTGGAGAACTCCTCTGCAACCTTGACTTGCTCGAATGGTCGCCGCCTGACGGTCTACGGCAGCCCCTGCTCGCCACAACATGGCAACTGGGCATTCCAGTATCCGCGACATAATGATGTGTGGTCGGGAACCTCTTTTGGCGATATTGATATCCTCGTTACTCATGCGCCACCAAGAGGACACCTTGACATAATGTTTCTTGGCTGTACTTATCTCTTGTCAAAGTTGTGGCAAACCCAGCCGCTGCTCCACGTATTCGGGCATGTTCATGAAGGCTATGGCCAGGAATGGTTACAATTTGATGCAGTTCAGGAAGCATACGAGCAAACTATTGTCGCTGGGGGTGGTATATTCAATCTTGTCTACCTTCTATACCAACGCTTTCTTGCTTGGTTCGACGCCCCCTTGGAGTCGCGATGCCTATTGGTCAATCCAGCAATCGTTGGGGGAATCTATGATGAGAAAAAGAGGAAGCCTTTTCGGGTCATAATTTGATGACTGGCATTCTTGCTTATACCGTCTAGCTTGTCTAGACGAAGAGTGTATGTGGATCCTCTACAACGATACCCATTTCAAGGAAATGGGGACTCCAAACCAGGACAGGCGCGTGAAGTATCGTAATGTATAGGGCGCATTCCCGGCAAGGTTTAGTCGCGATGGATTTCGGCCTCCATGAAGGGAATGCCGTCAAAATGAGGGTGACCTACAAACAAAACCATATCTAGGCCGTCCAAGACTAAGGTTTTCCCCATCACTGCACACCACGACTTTGCACAAGGGTAAAACGGAGTACTTTATCGTACGCGAAGCATTATACCCTTCCTAAACCTATCAATGCCGAGTGGACACAAGTCTCTCACGTACTCCTAGTTTTTTCTTTGAGATCACATATAATGCCACAGATGTCATAGTCAGGTTTGTGTGAGTGAATGCCGTTTGTGCAGTGCGTCTTCTACATAGTAGCAACATTTGAAGATGAACCATCTCCTATTACCACCAAAATACAAGTTCGTGTCTGCTCTTTACCTCCAATTCATCTTCCTGCTCAGGCTAAAGTGATACACTTAATTTCCACCTCAGTATGGTCTGGAGACGCAACTGGGAGAAGTTTGTCTCGTTTCGAAATGCTCTCTGCATCTAGGAGGGCGCAGGAGGAAAACGGATGACACTAGATATTAGCCAAGATAGAATTCACATTCATGAAGGTTTCATGTTGCCAAAGCACTGCAGGTAGAGCTCGTTCGTCTTTGTAAGTCGTCGATATCCAACAAGAAGACGTTGACCTCGACAACTTTATCCAAGCTAGACCCCGCAGTTTCAAGAACGGCACAAAGACTCTGTATACATTTGTGCTAAGAAGAAGAAAACATTGTCAGCTTCGCACAAATCTCATGATAGCCCTTATATGGTTACGGTGCGATCTTGAATGGTACCCTCTATCAGAGCCCCGTTTAGATCCTTTGGAAGCTGTCTGGAGCAAAATACAAATCCATTGGCTTTGATCGCCTGGTTGTACACAGGCCGGGGCTTGGAGGCCTTGTCAGTATGAATCGGGACTTTGGACATCATGATTATGAGGGAAACTTGCTTAAATGGGATGGTACTGCTTTTATATCCATCTTTGATTTTGACCTCACGAATAAAGCCTATCATTTAGGAAAAAATCTGATCACGCATTCTGAGGAAAACAACAAGATGGCCCTGTCAATTCACGAAGTTGCCTCGCGCTCTGTCGCAGCGAGAAGGCGCATTCGGAGTTATATCTACGAGACCCCTGTAATTCCAGCCCGAAAAGTTGGTCGCGCGCAGGGTTCAAGTGTTCTCTTCAAGGCAGAAAACTTCCAGCTCACCGGATCTTTCAAGATAAGAGGCGCCATGAACAAAATGTCTGTGAATGTTACAGACCAACGACTCATCACGGCATCTTCTGGAAACCATGGTGTTGGCGGCGGCGCATGCGTCTGGAGTGCTCTCCAAGGATTTGACAGTCGTGCTACCTGAGACTGTTCTTCCTGCCAAACTGGAAAAGATCAAATCTTACCTTATCAATGTCATCCTCCACGGCGCAGAGACTGGCCTTGCGGAGAAGCACGCCCAACACCTCGCTGCTTCAGGGGAATATACATACATCTCGCCATATAATGACCTGGACATTGTGGCTGACAAGGAACGATTGGAATCGAAATCCTGGAGCAATGTGAGAGTGTGGACAATATATTCATTTCAATGGGCGGCGGGGAACTTATAAGCGGCATTGGTTCCGTCATCAAGGCCTTCAACCCTCAAATCACAATCTGCGGAGTCTCTGCTACAAACTCCCAGGCTCTTGCAAAGTCCATATCTTCAGGACGAGTCGTAGAGGCTCATCACTTCCCAACACTCGCTGAAGCAGTGGCTGGCGGACTTGACGAAGATACCGTTACTCTAGCGCTGGCTCAATCGGTGGTTGATCACGTCATTAAGTGCGAAGAAAATGATATTCTCTCTGCTCTGAAAACAATTGCTTTTCATGAAAACATGATTATGGAAGGATCTGCAGCATTAGCATTAGCCGGATATAACAAATATGCTGACAGGTTGGCTGGGCAGACGTCTGTTATTCTACTTTGTGGTGCAAATGTTAGTGAAGACTTTCTTGAACAAGTTATACAGGGTTCAGGACGAGGTTAAATCACTGGTTCAATGTCTGTGGCCAGGGTAGAACTTGTAGCAGCAGCAAACGATGCACAACTACCTACCTCATGAGAGTCAGTTAGTTCTAGTCATACAATATAAAGATATCTACTATCAATACCACAGGAAGGTAGTGAAATAATTTGAGGTTAGATCTACGGCTTCGCCCTAATCTGGCGGTATATACCATATGTGATTCCCGGTATTGTACCAACAGTAGCTATTCTCTACCACCACCATCACAGAATATCCGACGTCCTGTGGACTTGTTCTTTTTCAGTTTCAGTTTCTTTTGTTCCAGGGCTTTTGTGCTGCATGGATTGTATCAAGTACACGGTGCATGCTGAGCAAGTAGGTCTCTCAACCTCATCAAAATTGGTTGAGACTGAATATCAGAGTGCGACGGCATTGGGCCGATATAACTACACTCTGCTGGGCAATCCATTCACACAAAGCAGATTATCTTGCTACATCATCAGCGGCTCAGAGAAACATTCAGCTGATGGCCAAGGTTGCATTGCAGCAACATCTGAAGGCTATACTTTCCGAACCTCAGCTGCCTACGCGATGCGATCGACTATATATTGGCCAAATTTGTCTACTGTTTCTTGTTATACTTAAAACTTCAAGCGTTACATCGGACAACTCCAATGACCAAGAATCGAAGCAAGACCTCGTTGCTCAAGGCTATAAACTTTTGCAAGAGCTCACCAAGGCTAACGGGGTTCTTACCGGGCAAACATGCAGTCACGTTAGCCAGGACTATCTTCAACTCCTCAGATCCGGCATAAAAAGATTTTCTCAGTCTACATCAAGTTTGCCGAAGGGCCAGCCTACAGGTTTTCATTCTACAAGAGACTTACCAAATTCGTCTGAAGTTCACAGTTCAAGGGGGTCTTTTGTGTCTGATTACTAATGTGTTGTGATACTGGGTATAGTGTCAAGTTGTTAAACTCTTGGTGTTTGGGAATTTCCCCTTTTTTTTTTTCAGCAGCTGCATAGCTCTCTCACTTACTTGTGTCTGATCACTTCACTATTGAGTGGAAATTCCCTTACCCTGGCTTATATATTTACTAAGGCGAAATATGTAACGCCTTGTCGAAATATTACGGCCTAGACTACCCTATAGTTATCAAGAAGAGGTCAAGTTGTAGATAGTTTAGTTTTTAAGGAGCAAAGTTTAATCTCAAGGCGAGGATAAAAAGATTTAAGAAAAAGTATAGTAAAAATAGAGCCAAGTTGAGAAAAGAAAATGCATGACCAACGACCAGGGTTCCCTCAGCTCAGTGTTTCACACCTTATCATTTATTAACAGCGTGCGTATTACCTGCATTAGGGTGATGTAGAATGGCCGTGTTTACCGGCCCCCAAGTGACACGATATCCCTCGTCTTGTATTATTCATCAATCAATCAAAGCATGTAGAAATGGGACAAGATACCTTCGCATACCGTCCGCTAGAATCCCAACGCACAATCCGCAACCCTCTTCCTTCACCCCTGCCAACCTGGACAGGAGGTCAGTTGTTCCCTCCAGCACGCCTCCCTTGATCACAACCGCCCAAAGTATGAGGCCCTCTCGTACGCATGGGGGATGCCTTGAATACGCGCTAGATCTGCGTCGACGGCAGGACAGCCACCATCACGACCAGCCTAAACTCGGCGCTTACGCAGTTCCGCCATCCCGCTAATCCGCGCCTCCTGTGGGCCGATGCCTTATGTATCAACCAGAAAGATACGGCGGAGAAGACAGTCCAAGTCCAGCTCATGGCAGATGTCTATCGCTACGCGGTGCAGGTCCTCGTCTGGCTCGGGCCCGATGCAGACGGCCTCGAAGAGTTCTTCCCAACAGTCTATGCAGCTTCAAGGTTTATCTCCGTAATCGAAGCGAGGTATAACAGCGAGCCCGAGGGAGCAATTGAGTTGCAGCGCCAAATGATGCGCTTGAGCTGGGAACCAATCCTAGAGCTATTCCTCTGGCCGTGGTTCACACGGAAGTGGGTTGTGCAGGAGGTTGCCCTTCCCAAGCATGTTGTCATGTGCTACGGGAACCTGTGGTTTCCTTTCCACACTCTGGGAATGATAACCTTGGCTTTAGTCGACTGGCCCGTAAGTGCGGGCTTGGTGGCCCAGTGGGATAAGAAGTATTTTACTGGGCTTTTCAACGCCTATTTCCTCCACTCAGTGCATCGCAATAAGGTCAACAACTGTGGAGATCAAGAGGACATACTTAGTTGTCTTGTCTGGACCAAGCTAATCCAGTGCTCGGTCCCACATGACCACATCTATGGTCTCCTCGGGCTTCTGGATACTTTTGGGGCTTCTCTGAAGCCAGACTACCAGTGTAGTCCCGCCGACGCCTTTGCCCGGTTTGCCATCTGGAACCTTGTTGAAGAGGAGAGGCCGGAGGTGTTATGTATTCCTAGCAAACCCGATGGCCAGATTATTCTACCCTCTTGGGTGCCGGATCTTAGCAATATGCAGGACATCCACCCTATTGCGAACCATACGTTGCGCCTGTTTTCTGCCGGAGGACAGCAGGCACCACAATTTACCGTCTCGGCCGATAGAAAAATTCTGAGTTGTCTAGGCAGGATCATAGTCACAATAGAAAATTACACGTGTTGTGTGAGCAAGATGCAGCTGCCCGAGGAGATTCCTGAGAGCCTAGTCAGGAGGAAAGTATCTCGATGCAGAGTGCAGTCCGCCTGACGCACGCTCTACTGGCTCCAGGCGTGCGAAAGACTTGCAGCCGAAAACATGGGCGGTCTACCTTACAATGACAACGGTAGCAATGATGGAAACGCCCATGGCAAAACTAGGCTGCCCCCGGATCGTTTTGAGCAGTTTCGGCGCACGATGCCCTGCGGGTTTCACTTCAGCGATGGCGGTTACCACCGCCCAAAGCCGTCCGTCGGCACCACCTTGGCGCGCTACTTCGATCTGCTGGGTGATTCCTGCAGCGAAAGCCGCTACAAGCAATTTGGAAGTGTGCTTTGGTGATCGAGTCGACGATTGACACGCTCTCGGTGCGGAGGAAGTTTTGCACGACAAAGGCGGGCAGATTAGGCCAGCTGCCGAGGGAGGCTCATCGGGGGACCGTGTGTGCATATTGCAAGGGGTACAGGTGCCGTTTGTTATTCGGGAACGGTCTCAAGGAGATAGCTACATGCTAATTGGATAATGTTTTCTGAACGGTGTCATGGATGGCGAAGAGTATGGGGAGGACGTTGGCGGAGTCACAGAAGTACAATTTCATTGATTGTGATAGCATGAGTAATCGGGACAATAATTACAGTTTATGCAACAGTGGAAGGAGCGAGAAATTTACAACCAAGGGTTGTCATTATGATGAGACAAAAGGCACCGCCATCTCCATTCTCAGTCCTGCATATTCCCAAACATGAATGCAGTTTTGGATTGCCTCACAGAGGGTTGAGGGTTCCTTGAAATGTGGCGCAACTTCTAGAGCTTCTACATCAGTTCCAGCATCTGTTGCTGCTGTTTGAGGGTCACTGATTGAGAGACAGCAACATGAGGCGGCAGTCATGATAAACTTTCTGTGACATCAGAATCGAGTTTATTGCTTGTTCTCATGTCGTTTTTTATGTTGGCCACTTCAACACAACCTGGGCGCAAACTGCTCTTTGTAGTCAAATTCGATCTCAAAGCGCATGATATACATGTTAATAAACATAAGTCGATTTAGGGGAAGGATTTGCGTCAATCCATCGTTCTATAACGGTAACGCTATAGTGAGGAACATGTCAGGCCTATTTGGGCGCCATATCGTTCGGGATGCCACATATTATCTGGAGCTTCGAGGAATACCTCCTAAGAATGCCATCAAAACAGCCGTATAGGCAGCGGTGGCTACTATGAGATTCTCCGGTATCGTTTTCGAGAAAGAAGCGGCGCCGACAGCGAACAAGAAAATTGACAGATATCACAGCCTGGGTTTTAGCTGTAGCATATTCATTCATCAAAACGAGCATTAGAACAACAAAAATCAGTCTGCCTAAACTAGCAAAAACGAATCGATGGCAAACATGCTTTACGAGTGATCTGCGCCTTTGCTGCGACACAACTTGCGCATGAATTGGCCCGAGACTCTGTCCCAGGGCAGTACCCCTGCGCATGAGCTCGTGGTTGAATATAAAGGCCGAAAGTCCAAGATGCTGCCGCCATCGGCCAAAGCGCGTTTGGTCGATTCGCGACTGAACTGTGTGACACGTTCAGGGTAGGGAAGCTCCACGATTCCTTCGAAGAGTTTATCATGTACCGGAGAGAGTTTTGATAGAAAGTTAAAAGAAAAGAAGAAGTTAGACCCAATAACTCAATACAATAAATACGAAAGGTTAAAAAAAAGCTTTGCTAGCCCAAGGCTGTAGTTATACAGCAGAAAATTTTATAAACCTTCATACCGATAACTCGCTTACCGTCAGGACGAGCTGCGCGTCGAATGACTACTAAAGCTGCCCTCTTCACCTGGCTTCACACTTGTCTTATACCAATCCATACACTTCAACCGAGCGCGAGTCAACCACCCAGTGAGTATCAGTAGCCCCTTGGCCAGAGTACTAACACTGATACGCCCGCAGCCTTCGCTGTTTATCCCGATAATCAGGATATTATAGCAGATAATAAGACCCTGGTGCCTCTTATTAAAGGTAAGAAAATAACCTGGCTAATAATACTTAAGCCTAAGGTTAGTACTAGTAATCCCAAGCTTACTGGCTTCGCTAAAGCTATCAATATAGATGCAGTTAATAAGCTGGATGAAAATAAGCTTAATAGCCTCTCTATCGAGCAGCTCGTCGCCCTCTATAACTTCGGGCAAGATATCCTTGGGTATATGCCCGAGGATGAACTTAATACCCAGGTTATCTCGGCGTTAAGAAGTCAGGGGTTGGATTGGTTCTAATTCCTTATATCCAAAGCGGTGTTATTCCAGCAGAATGCTGTCAACGAGAAGAACAAGTAGGGCCGCCTACGATGGTACTGACCAGAAGGGAGGAAAGGATGTGGAAGAAATCAGGGTTCGGCAGAGGATAGCCTTAATAAAAAAAGCTTTTAAACCTTTAACACAATGAAAGACAACACAGTGAGGGGAGTTTATCATGTTCACAATGGCTCGCTTGTATGAGGCTCCATCTTCGAGAGTTTGGTGGGTGGATGACAGGCGAGTATTGCACGGCCATAAAGACATCCTATTTATTACCACATTCAGCAGGACACCACGGCGGCTAGAGAGGGAATAGCAGTGGCAACCATCACTAGGGTGCCAAGGCCAATGAAGATCTCACGGCTGCCACTGCTGACCGTTGCCTCTGACGGCTGGGCCACTCACAGCTAGCCTTCGGTCAGAGAAAAGAGGCGTAGTGACGTGGCACTACGCTAGACCGCCCGGAAACCTTGATTTGACCTATTGAAAGTGCAGGCGGCTGAGACTGACCGGTGTGCAACTCGCCGTCATCGTCCATCCACACCCCCACGTTCTCCGTTGCCCCTGGACTGAGACACATTTGTTCATAGTAATGGAAAGTACGGCTGCCTATTTCTGTGGGTCACAAATACTTATTTCTACTTGTCGCTTGGTAGGCATACTCGCATCGCTCTCCAATATCTGTTCTTACCACAATCCCGCCAGCAATCTGCCTTGTCAATAAGTCACCGCATCTGTTTCTTTTTAATCCCTCTAAGGATATCTTTTTTGGGCCATAGGCCATGCCAATAGATCCATCATGGGCGCACAAATCGACCATGTGAGCTGGGTGGCCCCTGTGGCACCAGCTACGCAAACAATACCTTACCAATACACGTCATTTGGTCAACTGAGTGAAGACGTCCATTCTGAGACTTTTCTTACGTATGATGACAAAAGGGTTTTATCATTAGATAACATTGAAAAGTTTGTTACACAAGACGTTGTGAGCCTTGCTCTAAGGGACCAAAAAGTACGAGATATGGCGAATGCGAGCAGGTTAATACTTGATGGAAAGGCAAAGCTCATCTTCGTCATCTTGACGATGATGAACGACTTGCGCCTGCTTGAAGATTTCATAACTGCCAAGGTTACAGACCAACATTTGCCCATTACTTGGAAGGCTGATGGCACAGGGTATTCAGAAGACGAAAGTCTCATCTTCCCACATTGCAAGACCTGGTCCATACCTCAGCGGCATCTCTTCAAGCTGTACCAGGCAGAGGTCATTTCGCCCACATTCGGGGACCGTGACCACTTCGAGGTGAAGACAAGTAACAATCGCAATCTTCCTTTTTTAAAGGACGAGAACAGCTCGTCTCAGGCTCCCAGCAGTGGCTTTTTTGGGGAGGTAACCATGAAACTGCTGCATCGAGCTCATATACACGAGCGCGCTTTGCCAATCTTTGACACTCTTGGCCTCTTGCCTGAGAATTCTGCATTTATGGGAGTCCCAGTGGCCATCAAAGAAGCCAAAGACGTTGCAGAAGAACTCAGACGCTTCTCCGAAAAGGAGCAGGAGAACTTGAAGCAGCGTCTACAACGAGACTACAAAACCAGTCATCTGGTCGAACCGATTGCGGCCTATCAGCTCAACAGTAAACGTTACTTGGTCTTTCCTTGGGCTGACGGCGGCCATTTAGGCAAACATTGGAAGGAATCTGGCGTCGGTAAACTTGGGCGCTCCCAGGTCCAGTGGATTATTGGCCAATTTGTCGGGATCTGGGACGCTCTTCATGAACTTCATGATTCCAATTGTAGGCACGGAGACTTGAAGCCTGACAATATCTTGTATTTCAAAAGCGCCAAAGGAGGTGGAACTTTGCAAATTGCCGACCTGGGCCTTGCAGCTTTCCATGATAAAGATGCTCATACTGAAATTCGCATGGGCACGTTCACGCCATCAGGGACTCGACGCTATGAGCCTCCGGAAGAGGATATTCGCAAGGAGGCTATTCGCCGACAGACTAATAAGCCCAGATCAAGATCCTATGATGTTTGGTCTATGGGATGCACTATGCTCGAGCTACTTATCTGGCTCATGTACGGTTGGGAAGATCTCAAGAGGTTCCGAGACCGAACAAACAACTATTTCTGGACATACAACAAGGCGCCATCTAAACCCTTAACCTATGTTCTTGACCCACAGGTGCAAGCTTGCATTGCGACAATGCAAGAACACTCGGCCTTGTCCAAGGCATATCAACAGCTTCTTGACCTCATCAAAAAGCGGTTGCTCATCATTCCCTATCCTCAGAAGCGCGAGGATACATCTCCGAGCCTCAGGGCAACTTCCAACGAGGCCCATCAAACCATGTCAGATATTTACAGCAACTGCAAGACCAACCCAGAAGCATACATTAGCTCTGACAGTCTGCGCCGTTCTTCCAGACTCGCATTTGCAGGCGTTAACTATGAGCAGGATGGCCAGCTAATGGTCCCGAGGCAACACGAACTAAGGCCTCGCAGAGGGCAGTCTCCGTCTTCTTCATCCGGCAGATTCAACAGCGTAGACGCGACCACCACCAGCATTCCGATTGTAGTACACGGAACAGGCGACGCAAGCTTCGATTGGCAACCAACTGAAACGACGTCGACGAGGCTGCGTGACAATGTAGGTCGAGCTCCTCCCGAAGACTTTGGATTAGTATAGTGCTGACCGTATGACATAGTATGTTCGTATTATCTTTCCGCAATAAGCACGTGTGCAAAGTGAGCTAACATTTTCCTACAAGGATGTTGGTGATGAATCAGATCCTCGAATTAGTACGAAGTTGACATGTCTAGATTACTAGAGTAACGTAGAGCTGGAAACCTTGGTTTTCAGCTTCAATTGCTAACAAGTCAATAGCCTGTGAGTAATTGCCCGGCTTTCTTAGTGTCACACCAACGGCAAAGCATCTAATGCCTTGTTAGGAATCCAGAAGCTTAACTGGAGACTGGGAATTTGCCACTGATACGCAGATGGCTTCGGAAGTCTTTTCTGTCCTGGATTGGAGCAATTTTAAGCCAAGAGACACCAATACCACTCATAGGATATGCTCACGGTGTACCCAAATCATCACGAAGCAGCTTTTTGGAGGGGAGTGCGATCTCTCGATATTAAAAGAGGCTGCGAAGCACTGTGATCTTTGCTCTTTATTATTAACCGCGCTAGAAAGGCGAGGTTTAGCCCAAGAAAAGATGATCTCCTTAACAGATTATGGAAGCACGATAGGTGTCGACAAGGGGCCAAATCTGCTGTCTATCTATAAGGATCCGGGTAAGTCCTTTGTAGCTTGGAACCGAGGCTTTGAATTCTTCATTCCTAGACCCTCTGTCGTTAACATACTCTCAGATTCGCCAGGAACGGCACCTTATAAGTCCCACCAAATCGGGCTGCCTCAACTCCCAGAACCTGGAACACCTTCCCAATTGCAAATACTGAGCCAGTGGATACGGCTTTGCGACAGCAGCCATACAACATGTGTCCCCAAGAAACAGAGATTCATGCCGACACGGCTTCTTGATACGCAAACCACGCTTCGTCTTGTGGAGTCCAAAGGGAAATACTCTTCTCGTTACGTGGCTCTAAGTCACTGCTGGGGCCAACTTGGGGAAGGTCAGATGTTTCGCGCTTTTCATAGAAACATGAACCAACTCAAGGCAGGGATTGACATTGAGACTCTGCCGGCCACATTCCGTGACGCCGTCACTATTACACGCGGCTTAGGTGTGCAATACCTCTGGATTGATTCTATTTGCATTATTCAGGACGATTCGTCCGATTGGGAGACAGAGTCACACAAGATGGAGGACGTGTTTAGTTGTGCTTACTTCACCATCAGCGCCAGCTCTTCGCCCTCTTCTTTGGCGGGGTTTCTGACCCCTCGAACTCCCCGGACATCGGTTCACTTGTCCCTTGAAGGCTCTGAAACAGTCTATGTCACTAATAATATTGATGATTTTGACCAGGATGTTGAACAAAGTGTGCTCAACAGTCGCGGCTGGGTCTTCCAGGAGAGAGCACTCTCCCGCCGCACACTCTACTTTACTTCCGGCCAGGTGTACTGGGAATGCGGAGCAGGAGTTTACTGCGAGACTTTAGCAAGCTTGAAAAAGTGAGTTTCACAATTGAAGTTGATAATGGTAGCTCCGATTTCTAACTGATAGATCTACTTCCGGTAGTTCGAGAGCAGCTTTCCTGGGTGATCCTCACTTCCCAAGCGTGGCGCTCAAATATCACCGTGGCGGAAAGCAGGTGCTCATTCAGGATCTCTATGAAAGATACTCGAGATTGTCATTCACCTATCCCACAGATCGGGCCGTGGCAATTCTCGGGCTGCAGCAGCGTCTCGGAAGAGCATTTCGTACCAAGGCTGCATACGGCCTCCTTGAAGCCTATGTGGCTCGGGGTCTTCTTTGGATGCGCGATCAGAAGCACGACCTGAAGAAGATTGTACCGGCCGTAGGAAAGCCAATCCCAAGTTGGTCATGGTTCTCCCAAGAGGGCTCCATTCGATATATGAAGCTGGAATTCGAAAGGGTATCATGGTCCGATAATGTGGATTTTCAAAGTCCATTCCGTACACTCTCGAATGAAGAAAGTAGTCACCTGAGCCGAGATGGCCAAAGACCTGGCACAAATCACATGGTCCTGAGAGGACTCGCAAGAAAGATGATTTTTCCCACATTAACAACACAGCTGGAGGGCCTCGTATTTGATCAGTGTTGTTATTTAGACCCTAAATTTCTGCGGGTTGTGATTATTGGGCGGGACAAAATACAGGATGGGAATTCTGTTCATGGCCTAGTTATTCAGCCTACAGAACATCATCTAGATAACCTAAACTACAGTAGGGTTGGGGTCGCCTCCTTGAGAGGTAGCCAGGTGGAAGCAGATGGCGAATGGGTCAACGTTCGGTAGGGAAATTGTACGCAGCGAAACTTGCACTTATAATAACCACTATTTGATTTTCGGATTTTCGTTCTCTTACCCCGTCTGCCAGCGCTAGGAATTGAATTGGAAGATCCAACGAGGAGAACAGATTGGCCGCCGAATACGTCCATGGAAGGAAGAATAAACCACAGCTTCATCTGCCTCGAGATTTTTCACATCGGGTCATGCATCTGCTTCCTCCTTTCTCAATAGTTTTTCAGCTGCTACGATGTCATCCAGCCTTTGCTTCAGCCCAATTCCTTCCCCTCTGGCCTTACAAATCCGGCTCGTATGCGTTCGTTCGTCGTCCGCGATGTCTTTCTAGATACAATTTCAGACATGAACCTGATGCAGCATGAGGATATTGGGACGTACCTTCTTATCTTGGATCCCCGCTGTATTGATATAGATGTATACAATGTAGATGTTTCTCGACAGAGAGATCCTAAAGTTGTTTTGGTACTCACTCTGTAGGCTGTGGCACAACGACCGAGGGTCTCCGCCGTCGAGGTACTTTGTCCAGACTTCAACGTTTGATTCTTTCCGCACGGGTTTGAAATGATGCTGGTCCATTCTAGGGAAAGTATCGGCAAAATATGGTATCAAGAGAAAGAATGTAAAGCTTCTGCGAAGCGGTACGAGATAGATGGAACAAGTGGGGATTTAAGGACCACCACACCCCAAGGCGTTCTCCCAGGCAGCTTCCCCCCCTTGGATACCGAGCGGTACTCCTAAACGCCGGTCTCAGTCAGAAACGCCAAGCAAAACACCGGCCCCCCATATGGCTGAGGGTGTGAGCGCTTTCGCGCGGGACAGAGCGGCGTGTGACCAAAACAAGCTAGGCTAGGAAAATATTGCACATGATACCACTGCACATGAGGTTCTTGTTGATCGTAGGCGTGGATGAGTGGACAGTATAACTTCTGTCGAGATGCCTTGATGATCCAGAAGGATCGTTTTGAGCTTTTTATTTGGTTGGCATGGAGCATAAAATCTGACTAAAAATGAATCCAAAATAAAAAGGGAGGCTCTTTCGTGTGTGTGGGTGGGATGGAAGGAGGACGAGCCTTGCAGTCAGAATGGTCTGCCTAAGACATGTCTCAGTTGTGGCGCACCCTCCTGATCCAGGTGATGGTTCTCTGCGGCACGGGCTGATATGTATGAGAATCCTGTTTCTGTGCCGTCGACGTCAGTTGGATCAGCTGAACCAGTTGTGGCTTGCCAGCTGAGTTCCCCGGGAAGAAACCACCTGGGCGGCTTCTCCAGCCGTCATGACTGTTCGCATAGTGCCAAGACGATCGTCCGAACCCGTATCTGATTGCCGCTTATTGCGCCTTCGTTCCATTCTTACGCAAGCGAGGCTCATAACTCAATAGCGCGGCGCAGTGACTCCGCTGGTGGACTGTTAGTTTTGTCGGATCCTCAGCCCCAGATTGCTTAGGTGGCAAGGATGGACATGGTGCTACAGCAGGTGACCCAATCACCAGCCATTGACGGCTTTAATCCGCATCTATACTTACCAGTTCTGAATGCGAATGGTGCAAGTTCTCAATCAATATGAGTCCTCTCGAGATACGCCTCAAGGAGGAAATGGACACTGAGCAAGAATCTCGCTCAAGCTCAAGGTGCGAGAGCCATGCAGCGTCAACATGTCAAAGCGATGGGATGCTTGACCTTTCATCTCTTGGAACGGAAAGTCCTGTTTCAGTATCTCGCCCAGCACAAGCCCGCCAACGAAACGAGTTTCAGAGTCCGGAAATCACCCTCTATGATCCTGATGGCACTGAAGCCCGTGAAGCGAACGCGACTGACTACCCAGGACGTTTCATACCTCGCTCAGAAACGGCAGAAAGTGAAACAGTCCTGTTCGTCCAGGATCTGGGATTCAAAGCAGCCTCCGAGACGAAGTTTCCCCCAACAGCATGCCCGCTAATCAATCCTCCAATGACGGCTGGGCAAATCTGTAAATCCTTTCGCCTCGGTGAAGATCCGCGGCCACATGAAAGGGATTACAAGCTCACGGTCGCGGCTGTCATGAAGAAGAAGATGGAGAAAATGTGGAAGTTCACGGTGGCGGATGAGGGCAAGTATTTGCCTTTTGATGCCTTTGAAGCAATATTCACGCCAGACATAATTAATTCACTGCTGAAAGAAGTATTTCATGAGAAGACCTCGGAGGAACGGGCCAGATACCTCAACGATATTGTCTCGATCGATACGCAAAAGAGCCGACGCCGGATTGCAGCACTTTTGACCTTCACAAATCACTTCGACAGAATCCTACAATTCGTTGATGAAAAGATAGTAGACCAACATTTTCCACTCACCAGGAGGAGACATCACAAAACCGTTCGTTTGAATAATGGGGTAGAGAACATGACTCTCTTCAAGAATTGGGACACAGAGGAAATTGATTTGCTTCTCCTCTACCAGGACAAGTTCTTTGTTCCATTTTTCGACCTACGTCCCGGCAGTATATGCTCATATGACCTCGGCAAGAGCACACGGCTTCCTTGGCTGACATGTAAAATGAAGAAAAGTACGAACAACAGCCGAGTATACAAGGTAGAAATTCACCCGGGCCATCACAATTTCAATCCAGTTAAGGTAAGTGGTTTTTCCCTCTTGGAGCCTTGAGATTCTTGTAGCTAATGGTCGACCTCCTCACGCAATAGAAGCGACCGGGTCGGCTCTTTTTCGCGCTCAAGGAAGTCGTTTCGGCCGACCGCAGAAGCTACAATGACGAGCTCCTAGCCTATGAGAGAATATTTGCCCATGTTCAAAAAGACAACCACCTCATCAAGCTTCTTCTAACGTTCAAACAAGAGAAGAGGCAGTATCTAATGTTCGAGTGGGCAGATGGAAATCTGAAAGACTTCTGGGAAAGGAAGTCCGCGACCGAAATAGTGGGCGGTGATTCATGGATGGCCCGCCAATGTATAGGTCTATGTGGCGCCATTAAGCGCATTCATGGACTTGGCTCGTGGGATATAGAGAAAAAAGGCACACCCGCCCTTGCAGCTGCTGCCATGAACTCCAAGATATACGGAAGGCATGGCGATATCAAGCCGGAGAATATCCTCTGGTTCAAGTCCGAAGAAGACAAATCTGGCCGCTTGGTTCTTGCAGACCTCGGTCTTACTCGGTATCATTCTTCGGCCTCCAAGTCCAAAGTACCACAAGCTGACATCCGGGGATACACGGGGGCGTATCGTGCACCAGAGTGGGACCACAAAGACGAGATTTCTCAGGCATATGATATTTGGTCCCTTGGCTGCGTCTTTTTGGAGTTCTGCATATGGTTTCTTGAGGGATACCAGCAAGTTGACGTCTTTAATGCTGCACGTCAAGCAGAGCACAAAGGCCGGTTGGCTAATTTGGATGAGGACAATTTCTTCAACTCTGTTTATGGCCCAGAGGGGATCACTGTCCAAGTGAAACCATGTATCGACGAGGTACAGCAAATATTATCCTTCTTTTTATCTTATTTTCTTAAGTACTAACAAAGGTCGTTACTAGGAAATAAACACTTTGGTCCAGCTCACGACCTGTCCTCCGTTTTTGAAGTGTCTTCTGAGTCTAATTCGTGACGGTATGCTGGTAGTTGATGTTAGTAAGCGATACAGGATCGATACCATCTGTGCTGAACTCAAAGACATATACCGTCGACATTTTCAGGATGCATCCGCGAGCCGGCTGCAAATAAACAAGATTGATTCAAGGCCCAAATATGTTTCAGATGAGGTTGGTCGATGCTATACCGACTTTTGGTCATGCTTTACTAATTCTTTGTCCAGCCGAAGCAAATTTCGACGCCAGGAGAGATACGAAATGCGGTTTTGAGAACAGGAAGCAGGTTTGATGGTGAGACAGACCTATTGGCCGATCCAGGGCATTTGCTTAATATCGTGGAGGCCAGAGCTGAAGAGGAGCCGATTCAGCCGGCTATTCATGATCCAAGATACAAGGCTGAAGCTACAGGGCAAGATCAAGCTATCGGTTCTGAGGAAACAGCTGACGATCACCGAATCTCTCAAGGCGAGGATGAGCTTGGCTTATGTGTGGAAAATCAGAAGACATCAGAGCAGCATGAATTCTATGGGCAACGAGCATCAGGTGGCAAAACACGCAGAAGAATCGAAAATCGTCAGCCTAACGTACAAGTTGATGATTCTCCAAGCCATGGAGATAAAGATGGAGCGCCATCCACATACTGGAGTAAAGTTACATCAGTGCAATTTGGGCTGGTATGTGTGTTAATTTTAAGTCTTCCTGTGATATACTTTGTCAGAAAAAGACGCTGGAGATAATATTCAGGCACTAGACCTTTCTTATGCTTAAGAACCAACGTATAGATCTTAGATACAAGGTAAACAAATTTCAATAAAGGCTTAGATATGAGAAATATCCTCAAGTGTTCCCCACGAGATATTAATATAGTAATATAAAGGTTTTAGTCACATAATTAGTGAAGTATTATAAGCGCTTAAGAGAAAGCTATTATTGAAGTTATTAAAGTTATTTTTAAGTAGTATTTAAATAATATCTCAAGAAGATAGTGTTACTATTCTACCTTAAACATACTATTAGGATAGATAGCTGCTATTAAAAAGTTGGGTCTACTGTTAGAGCCGCTGTTGGAGTGGCCTTTAAACTAATTATCGGACCTTCCTTCATTAAGGCAGCTTACTCTCAAGGCTGGGCCTTGAAGTCTCCCAACAAAGCAGCAAGAATATACTTCTTTTCCTTTGATCCTCTTTGCCCCGACCCCCATGAACACGATCAATAGCTGCAACCTCAAGCAGGTCATTCAGATCCTAGTTGCGACGATGACGATGAATGTGATCAATGATGTGGCTGCAACCTGGTGAGTCGAACTTCGTGAACTTCTTGGTAGTAGGACAGTAGTAGTTCTATAGCCTAACAGGAACTGCACTCGACTGTAAACTGGACTGTTACTGGGCCTGAAGTACCTATCTATTAAAATTGACATCATATAGCGCTGACAGGGTATACAGCCCAAATGAGAGAGACTGCGTATGCATTGAATATGTGTCAAGTGTCTACGGCGTTGGTACTTATAGCTTCGATCTCATGGCCGTGAAGCTGGGGAGCAGCTCCTTCACCATCCCTTCCACTTCATTTGCTACACCCCAGCTTAACTCAAAGCCACGTCCACCAGCACCATATGCATGAAGAACTATACCTGCCTGCTTCTCTTCAAACTCGATGCGCATTCCACCCTCACGCATGGGTCGGCGTCCAACAACATCAGAGATGACGGCTGGCCGAGCAATATCTACAGTCATACTGCTCGACGCGTTACCGGCGTAAAGCATCAATCCACAACCACCTTCCAAGAGCCACTGCCGCGTTTCGAGGCTCGCTTCTGTGTGCCAATCGCCTACCTCCTTCGTACCGCCTATGATAGTACCACCATTGAAGAACCGCGGAATGATGAAGCTCCACGTCCCGTCCTTGTTCTGCCTCGTTATGGTCTTTGTAGCGCTTATGTAGTCGGTTATGACTGTTTGACCTTGACACGAGCATCAGTTACGCTATTAAGATGTGATAATAGGAATCTCAACGTACCTCGCGTAGGGAAGGACTTGGCATCGCCAAAGCCCGCTCCACTCGCATTAACCACCAGCTTCACATTCAGCCTTATTGCAAAGCCTTCCCACTCGCTCTTCAAGGCCCGCTGTGCCGTTTTCCCGCCGTGTGCGATGAAACGCCGTAGCAAATTTGCACAATACACGGGCGAGTTCATACAAAAGGTGTCGTACTCGAATCCCAATTTGACACCATCAGGCATCTCACCTTGTGACAAAAACCTAAAGCCTCCCAAGCCCGTCTCACTGTCAAAGCTCGCCTTCGTCTGCTTCTGATACTCTACCGGCGGCGCATCCAGAAATTCGACACCCTTCGTACGTGTAAGGCCTATTGAAGGCTCCTCCTCTAGCTGCTGTGCGAATCTTACAACTGTCTCCTTCAACCAACGTGCTTCCCGCTCCAGTTGCGGCGTGGAGGCTGGTATGGGCCGGACGTGAGCTCCGGCCCACATTGAGGCGTAGTCGGGGGAATGAGACGGCGGTGCGCCCGGGATCGAGGTCGGCCATTCATGCGAAGCGACAACGACTTCTGTTGATTGGGCTGATGGGGCGGTAGAGAGTAGTGACTGGATACGCAGAGCGCACGATAGTCCGATGACGCCAGCCCTGACGGCGTTGACTTCTTCACGCAGATGCCGGATTCACTCGCGCGAACTCACCCAATAACGACTACGGTTGGCGGTGATTGCTCCATGATGGTGGAAATACTAGTAATGCGTGATGTTCAGGTATAGAATAATAGGCTTTCGTTGCACTGGATGAGCGGTATGAGCAACCTAATGATGATTTTTTTTGGTCCGAAATAAAAGCTTGTCTATACGACACCCGACGGGTGATAAATACTCCAATTGATGCCGATACCGGCTCCATATGGCTTGGAGTGAAGGATTCCACAATGTCAAGAATCCTCACAACTTACATAAGTTGTGGGAAGCCCACCTTATAGAAGACCGAGACCTACGCGTTGACAGACTGTTACGTTATAATCCTGTGCGGGGAAATGCGATTGACATGCTTGTAGCCACGGTGAGTATTGCATATCCGATTAGGGACCAGCCTAGGTCCAACCCTACAGCAGAAATTGGCTTTGACTTGCCAGTCTCGTACGATCAGGAATTGTGCCCCCGTGACTAGTGGTTCGCCTGGAGTTGAGCCTCCGTAGCGGGGAGGTGGCGATCTCGGCCGTGGTCTCCGGACTTGGACCTCCATAGTGGGTCTCATCTTCATAAGTACCTGAGCTGATAACTACACTTAGTGTACTTGGTATTGAGTCAAGAATGCGCACAAGGAGTTCTTATTTGGACTTGGCCATCCGTGGCCTTCTTGAATAAGTTCCACCCACTTACCTCAACACGAGCTTCTTATCTGGGGCCCCATGTTGGGGCATTACACCACAAAACGTACCCCAGGTTTCGTATCAGGAGTGACACCTATAAGTTCATCTTGCTCATCTGCAGTAGGTATTGGAATCCTCGTGCATCAGCTTATCCAAATTCATCTGACTCTCATCACCCACGTCCCAATTGCCTCAATTTGTATCCCTCTACCAGAAACGGCGACAAGAAACAGTGTCTGAAGAACACAAGAAGGATCTTGGCCAATCCCAGGTCAACAGCAACTTCGACGGCAAGATGTTTGGAGAAGTTGAAGAAGTGAATGAGCTTGAATACCAAAGTTATCTGGCGCAGCAGAAAAGCCTTGTTCGGAAACTTGACTGCACTCTTATGCCGACTGTTTTCCTAATGTACCTGTTCAACTATTTGGACAGGAATAATATCTCGTAAGTTCTTCAACGACATCTAACCATCCCCCGGCACGCTAAATAGATAAATATACAGGCAGGCGAAGCTGGATACATTGAGAAAGCTTTAGGAATCGACGGGAACCAGTTCAATCTCCTTCTGTCTATTCTAAACGTCAGGTACGACACCCACAGACATGCAAGCAGAAATAAAGCGTACTAATCTTTTGTTGAAGCTACATTCTGATGCAAATCCCGAGCAACATGATTCTCACTCGAGTTGGTCCTGCGATTTATATACCATTTTGGGTTTGTACGTGGTCCTGTGTGTCTGCTGCAACGGCCGCATGCCACAACTTCTCTGGAATCCTTGCCATTCGCTTCTTTCTCGGAATAGCAGAGGCTCCCTTCTTCCCAGGAGTGTTCCTTTTTCTATCCTGCCGGTACACGAAGAAGAGTGAGCACTCAGATATGCATTCTTATATTCCGGCCTCATCCTTGCCACTGCTACTGTAGTTGGCAGGCTGCCTATACATATGTGTACACCGGCGCCGTATTCTACTCTCAATACTGGCGATCCAGCGGTAAAGGTTTTCTACAGAATAAAAGCCCGAAGTAGTCTCTACACTAGCCCTGGTCTAGAGTTGTTTGGTTTAGGATACTTGTTCCTAATACGGAGTACTCATCGCGCATCAGAGCATTGATAATAAATGCTGAGAAAATGGATCAGATGCATGTGAACCGCCGTAACAGTGTCCGAGATCAACTGCAACGGCAACGCAACAATTCGGAATGTAAAGAAACCCGCAAAGTCATTGTGGATAAGCAGATTTGACGGTGGCATAAAAGCAGAACTGAGGTAGAGCACATCGGGGTTGGACATCAAGGGGACCACCTTGCGATAGGCAGCAAATGATTTCCTATCATGATCCACGTTAAAATTTTCGATGGAGACCATGGCTTTAAGTTTGATTTATGTATAATATTTGAACGATTGGGTCTGTATGATCTGATCTACGAAAGTTGAAAGCGAATGCTTAGTGCTATATATGGGATTTTTCCTCGGTTACTAGGGGGCTCCAGCTGAATTATTTGACTCGAGTCCGATAAAACCACCGAGACTCATCATAGCCTTCGCGTAAAATGAGGCTCGGGCTGAACTGCCATGGAGCCTATGTCCGTTGGGAATAGTGCCGTGACCGGAGGTGTTCGGGGTGGAGCCTCCGCAGGGCGGGGACGGGCTTGATCCTCCACCAAGAGGGACACAGCTGGCCGTTTACTGGTTAGTATAGCGTTATGTCATCTCTTAAGTAAACAAGACTTAGGGAAAACAGTAAAAATAGTGAAGGCATTTTTTTGGGATATTAATCTATGCCTGAAAGAGAGTAGTACCTCTGAGGGGTGAGGAACTTTGACGGCCCGATAGGGAGGAATCTGATCACAGCTTTAAACCTAGTGTTTAACACGAGAACGCCTGCTCGTAGCGCAGAGCAACCGGAATCATTTATGAACAATACATAGATAGAACAGGAAATAAATAAGTAACTATCAAGTTCAACTTTACGTGAGGAACAATCAAGATACACGTAAGGCGGGCATTTTCTTAGCAGGAGATCTAGCCGTTTTATGAATCTGGACTGCAATTCAGTACTGGCTTCTCAAGTGAATGTATATTGCTGAATAGTAATATCAGCGGCAGTCCAAGTCTTCCCACCGTCTGCAGTAACCAGGTTACCGGAGGCACCAAGGGTCGCAACGGTCCGAGAGTAGTTTGGATCGGCAGTATTCATGATGATCTTCGTGTCCACATAATGGTGCAAGGGGACGGTTCCACAGTTCACCTGTTGGCACTCCATTGCTATATTGAGAATAACGGTTAACAGATTTATGCGAAATGAAAATCTTTGGGGTAGTTTAACTGACCTGTTCCCCAACCTGCACCGTGACCGCTCGCTTTAACATAGTCAGCATACAAATCGCACTACGATCTAAAGGGGACTCTGTACCTGTGGACAAAGTAGACACTACATTGCCGTTCACCGATACTGTCTGGTCGAATTTAGACGTGGCATCATTATACTTGTCTGTGGAGGTGTAAGCACAGTAATCTGACAATCTCCCATGAAGGGACGCTTACAGTCATATGTAACACGGTCGCCGGGATTTGCTCGGTATGGCGTAGTACCATGAGTTTGACCCCCTAGAGATGTGTGAGAGCCGATCATACGAGAGAAGAGGAACCGTACCGTCATATGTGCTTGCAACCACGCACCACTTGTTTTCATTGGCAGCAAGGTTGCATGGAGATCTATTTATATGAGCTCTAGCGCCAGCAGACTTTGACTGTAATGCGTGCTCACCCAAAACCAACAGTCGAGATGGCAAGACCTTGGATGAGATGCCCATCTGCGCCTGAGTCAAACTTGGTGCCCATGCCTGGCCACAAGCCCAGATTACCGTTGTGAGGACTGTTGAGGGCTGGCAGGATCAGGGTTGTAGTCGCCTGACGAATCCATGAATTGCTTGCGACCGCGCCTGTCGAAAAGTAGTTGCCAAAGCTAAAGTAGTTTTGACGAGGAGCCACGGCAGCCGAGGCCACAGGAAGACCGAGAAGCAAGAGCGATGACTTCATGTTGAAGAAACCAATGAATGATATGAATAGTTCTTAAGGCGAGGAGAGAAAGCGGGCAAAGTCTTGCAGCAAATGCGTGATACTAGATGGAAAGGAAGAAGGGAAGAAGGGAGGACTCAGAGGTCTTTTTAGCCACCCGAGGATTACAGTAAGAAGGATTTGAGAAGGGCAGCATTATCTTACTCGTGGATTTATTAGTACCTTACTCTTGAATCTACATTCACATTATTGGCATAGTCGTGAGACAACAAGTTTCAGATTGACTTATCTGACTCCCTCGGAAGGTAGACATCCGCATTGGAACTAATCGCCAGGTTACCCGGTTTCCTATATAGGCAATCAGAGGAGCCATGTTACAATCGGGTTTGGTACCATGCTGTATATACGAGCTTTTACAACCCCTCGACTCAACCTCAAACACACGTTTCCAGGGGCGCTCACTCGGCATTGCTCCCGCGGCAAAGTTATCCGAACCGGTTCAACTAACCGAGTAATGCAACGTAATGGGTTTCATTGAACTATGATCACCATGACATTTGCCCAGTAATGGTAAATCCTCCCCCGCTTCTTCGTAGTCACAAGAGCGCCCTACGGCATCCACGGGGCATGCATTTCAGGCCTATCAGCAAAAGCTTTTGTCTAAGAATCAGAGGAATCGTACCATACACTGGCACTCGATGCATCAAGAATTGGCCTTTATGCGGAAGTAGTACCCTTCCGCGGCAAGACCTTGCTCGACTTCCACGCCAGGAAATCGAGCATGAGGCGGGATAGAGGGTGAAGAAAAGAAGAACAAATGAACAGCTATATTTTTATGTGTTAATATACAGATAACCTAGTAGAAGGAGGAGGTTCATAGAAAGGAGAACACCCAGACGGTCTAGAATAAGATATCTAGTATCTGGTTTTATTATTCTCCAAATCTATAACCAGCCATGACAGCTTCTCGAGCGCGGATTACCGGCCATTTGATTCCACAATGTTTCGAACTCGGTTCAGATCATCATCCTCGCCATCTGGTAGCGCCTTTACCACCCGAAGAACTCTCAATACCTTATTCTTTGAAAGGCCACGCACTAGGCAAAACTGGAAATACTGCACAAATTCCGTCAAGTCTGCAATACCACTTCAGTCCCCTGATACCTTGTCGGTGACCTTCGAAGCTAGGAATGTATTGTATTGGCTGAGCACTGGCCCCATCGCATCGTATAGGCCACCTGAATTGTGTCTTAGTCCATACCACAAAAGAGTGACTACAAGGTTTAAAGTATCCTAAAGAGATATACTAATGGGGTAAGTATGAACATATCATTATCTTTTTTTAGCAAACATCCATACATACTTAGTTGAAAATAAAATCTAGTAGGAACACTGCTAAAACCCCAAACCACAGGGATAGTATAGTATGAGAAGCTTGATTAATTGTACCCAAACTCTTATCGTTTCTGAGACCAACACAACTGAAGTTTGACAATCTGCCTGATTCCCGTGCGGCATCAAAGACTCTGCAATCAAATGTCTCAGACCTGTCCCATACGTGAAATTTTTCCGTCACTTTTGCAGTGCCGTTTAGAAAGGAATCGCTGTACGGTGTTAGCCTTAGTCAATTATTATTGGATGCTGATCAAGAATCGGGGGCCTACAAGAAATCGGCTGTTATGTTGGCACTTATTATCACCGATGACATGTCGCCGGTTGGCCAGTGCCAAATAGTCTCGTCACTCCCATTCTTTGTAGGAGAGAGTAGCAGATTATCATTTGACTGGATGGTGAGATAAAGATTATTCCATGATTGCGCCATAGATGGAAGCCTGAGCTGGCGGAGTTGAGGGTTGGCGTACACTATCACGCTTGCAACTTGGTTGAAGGAGAGGTCCAAGTCAATAATGGCGCTCTCCATTGTATTAAAACCATAAACAGTCAAATTCTTCAGCTTCCTGTGGTGATTGATGGCTGAAACGCCAGTCCCAATCTCAAGAATGCCTTCAAACTCCATTTGTTCAGTTTCAGGACCACCCAAGGTGAGTGTCAACTGACTTTGGGCTTCGATTGTCATCGACGGGATTCGTGTCCATCCAAAAGTCAGATTCCGAACAGTGAGCCGGTGAAAGTCGATAAAGCTATTACTAGCTCCATCATTGCATGTGTTGTAGGGGTTCACTGGATTCTGAAAAACTTTGTCCAAGGATTCCAGCCTTCCAGTGTTGTGGATGTTGACGTATGGTCCTAAGGGTGTTCCATCGGACTTGGAAACTCCTCTAGATGTGAACTCCTTAAATTTATCGAGCTGCAGCTCTATCAAACTCGGCGTATTTAGCGAAAAAGCTCCGAAGTACTCCAGGTTGGAAAAATTGATGTGTGTAAGGTTGTAAGGTGCGTATAGGCTGATCTCTTGGCGGACCTTGTTGAGTTTAGGGAAATCCAGTTTTTCGACTCCCCGATAATGGAAAAAGCTCAATGAGCCATTGATACTTCTCAAAGTAGAGCTGCTTATAGTGAAGGTTGTGGATGCGTCCATACAATAATCCAGTCCCTGTTGCTTTGTGGGACACTTATGCACTACATTTCCCTGGACTTCCTCTAGGCCATCCAAGTTGCAGGTTTCAAAGATGTCCAGATCCAGATTCCCAGCAATCGTCTTGCAATTTTCTCGCACGTTTTTCGCATCTTCGCCATTCCGGATTGTTACGTTACCGTTGCAGTTGATATCGGATGCTGTTACTGCATTGAGAAAGAGAGAGGCTGTCAGGTATATTATTTCCCCGCGGCTAATTTTTGGAGCTTTAAGTTCTGTACTGACCTTGCACCACTGCAAATAGTAGCAGCATAAACAATGGCCAACATTTTAACATATTGATGACGAAATGCGGTTTCATTAGCAAGCAATGCTTGGTCGTGGGCTGTGAGAAGCGAGTCGTGGAAATATTCCGCTTTCAAGGTATGGGGATCATCGGGGGGGTGAGGAATGGAGGAGATAAGGCTGATAAAGTGGCAGTCGTTACGGCCGTATTATTTATTATTTACTTGCTCATCAATTCTCAAATGCCAAGATATCAAATTACCAAGTAACCGAATGGCCAAGCCAATTTGTCCCTAAGCCTTTCCATGTTTAAAGCCTATACCTTAAAAACTAATTTTAGAAAGTTTATCCTAAAGAATAGCCATTAATGAAATCATGATTCAAGTAGAAGTAATATATTGGGTTCACTCATATGAAAAGTTCTTTTTTTAGGCCGGTGCTGAGAAAGAGAAGCTGTTGACCCCTTCAGGGATCGCAGCTTCCAGCTTTGTATATTTAGACAAGGGTAGATTATTTCATATACCGACGGTCATTGGCTATACCGACGGTCATTAGCTACTGGATTTTAAAATAATCAGCGATTGGTCGATACAAAAGTATACTTCGGGTCATCCCGTCTTTATAGCGAGGAAGTATGCTTTGTACGCGCGTATATTAACCTTAGGTATGAATACAACCAATATCTGCAGCCTCGACCTCTTCTTACTCTCGCTGACCTATGCACGTAAAACCCTGACTTCGTCAGCTTTGCCTACCCCCATGATGGCCTGCCAGCATTAACGGTCTTGTAATCCGGATGCTGCATAAGGACCTATTCATGTCTGTGAACATATCCTCCGCGTGAGCGCCAGTATCAGGCTCCTTGACAAGAAGTATCTAGACGTCCTCCAAGGCCTCCTACACGCGTTTAGAATCAAAAGGGCCAATGGCATCTAGAACGGCGTTTACGTAGACACTTAGCAGCTTTTTCAGGCTCAATGCCTAATCAAGAAATGAATGGTTGGGATTGTTGTTGACCTATTTCAACCTGATGCTGAAGTAGCCCGCCTCAGCAGTCCATTCAGTTCCTGGCAATCATGCTAGCCTACTTTGCAAAGATATTGAAAGAATCCCCATTGGTATTCCCTCGATTGAGCATTCCAGCATTGGTCCTTGTGTGCTTTATACTTCTGAATCCTAGAGCTTCATAGTTTCACTGCTGCTTCGAGGACTTAGAAATTATATCTGCCGCCTTGATACCAAGCATGTAAACAGAGGTAACAGGAAACGCGCCTGGCGTGTGGGGAAAGACTGAAGCGTCCACGATGCGTAAGTTCTTGACGCCATTCACGCGAAGCTCCGAATCCACGCAGTAATCGGTGTTTCCCTTTGGACCCATTCGGCAAGTAGAACTGCAATGATGCCCGAACGCCTCATCTTTGAGATTCTGGCGCAAGTCAACACCCTCCGCAGGCTGGAGTCTCGTCAACGGGTTGTAAGGTGAGGGGGCCGCATCCCAAGCACGATAGGCAACTTCAGCGCCCTCCACAAGAGAATCCAGATCACGCTCTCCGATGTCTCCTTGAAGCCAATCAAATACAATCTTAGGAACATCACGTGGATCATTGGATCGAAGAGTTACGCTGCCCTTCGCGTGGTCTCCATCCCCAGGTTGGTGTAACTTGACGATATCCCATGTGAATACGGATGGTTGGGGGGCTGGGTTGGAGTAGCCGGGGTAGAAGCCTCGGAGCTCGACACCGGCAAAGCCAAACCAGAATTGGTCTGCCTGTTCAGTCTCACTCACTTGGGAGCGGTATTGAACGGCAAGTGGAGCGGCGGCCTCACCGTATGGTCCAGTTCCGCTCTCTAGCCACTCTATATAGCACGGGTCTGTTTCGTCGAGGGTCATCGTGCATCGTGCGTTAGGGTCGTTCTCCCAGGGCACCGACGAGTTAACCAATAGAATACCTTCAGTATGGTCTTGTAGGTACTTGCCCTGGAATATATTGGTAAGTAATCAGCTCCAGGCTTGAGTCTAAGAGGTACTCACTACGGCGGGTAAATCTGCAACCACTGGGATGTTCAATTTCTCTAGTTCTTCCCGAGGGCCAATGCCACTCAGTTTCAGGATTTGCGGAGTGTTGAAAGCGCCTCCAGCCACAATGACCTCCTTCGAAGCAAATACTTGTCGTAGGATCCCAGCCTGATCGGGGTTGTAGCGCTTGTCCGCGCCATAAAGACCTTCGCCAACCAGATATTCGACACCAATTGCCCTGGGAATACCATTCTTTTTCTCATCAAAGAGAATTCGGGTCGCAAGGGAATGAGTGCTGATTGTGAGAGGGTAAGCAGCCGAGCCATTTTCAGCTTTGGCATTGGCCGTATCTATGATGAAGTCTCTAGACCCAGATCTTCTTCGCATGCCGGTGGTGCTCACAACCAGCTGGTAAACACCTGGCGTGTAAGTATTTTCGCCGTTGACATCGCGTCGCAACAGGTCGCCTAAGCCTTCTGTGTCTACTTCAACACCTTCTATTTCGCGTGCTAGATTGGACATGACGTCTCTGGTCCCTGGTCGGCCTGTTATATAAGTCACATTATTCTGGTTGGACTTTGAAACGAGTGTTAGTGTTTACGGCTGGCGATCCGGGGGTAACTATTCGACATCTTACCGAAATTATACCGTCAAAACCATGGTTTGGTGAACCTTTTGGAAGATATTGAACTCTTTCCATGCGCTCGAAATATTCTTCCATAGCCGATGCTGCCCAGGACTCATCTCCTGTGAGCTGCGCAAGGTAGTCCCACTGCGATTTTCATAGGTTATCAAGGTATCCAATTAGGAATTAATTGAGATTCACAGCAGACTTACATCGGCATTGCGTGGCTTGATGAAGTTCATGGCATTGGTCTGGCTGCTTCCACCTAAAGTGGCTCCACGAGGATAGAGAGTACCGAGACTGGTGGCATTTGATTAGACATACGGGAGATGAAGCGGGCGGTTTTAGAACGTGGAATGCAGACAGATAGACTCACGGTGTAGCATTGGGCGGAGGGTCAAGCCCATAGTAGATCGAGCCATTTTCAAGACGGTAGGAAAACTTGCTGTCCCTACGACCTTGTGTCTCGTTCGCATAATGGCGGATATAGAAGTTCCAGGACATTTCGGGATCTTCCCCTGACGTAGGCCACCTGCCAAATCATAATCATCAGTTTTCAATTTATCCTTAAAACCTGCTGAGAATCATGGACGATTACTCACAAGGCTGGAATTTGCTGGCTAAAAGCTGTCCCATGATCGCCTCCGGCCTCAATTAGGAAGACAGAGTGCCCTTTTCGAGCAAGACTTGCACTATCGAAGAGATTCTTGTCAGCTATGTTTGAAAAGTTGCGAGCAACCAGGTCTTGTAAATCATACGCCAAAGTTCCTCCTCCTGCACCAGATCCAATAATGACATAGTCATGGACGGTAGTATCATTCTTGGTGTCATCAATAAGTAAGGCTGATAGGTATGTTGGGGAAAGGGCCCAAGCCAGGACTGAGGCCAGCCTGAAATAGCGATGTGTCAACATTCTGAACTTCTGATTCTTCGATATAACTCAAAGTCGATAGCTAAGAAAATCAGATTATTGATTATTTAGAACAACTGAACTATACAAAAACTTTTGGCCGTTATATACTACACGCTCTGAGGAGACCATTCCGGTTTGGGCGGCTGTGGTCAATGATGATCCTGGGCTTTGGAAAGGTGCTAGATCCATCGATCCTGGAGTTTCGGAACTCGTAAGCAGCCCCGGACTTAGAAATGGTTCTGGAGAAACGATTCTGGAGTTACAACTTAGAGTTACGTGGCATATCCGGATTTAACGTCTCCTAGACATTGATAACCCAATTTGGCAAATGATCTCATCTTGGCGAAAACCAGGGTGGCCCTCGCAAAGACAAACTAGTCAGACTACTCTATTGTGGATATCAGGTTTGGCCAAATATGGAAAAAATGTCATTCAAGCATAGAAGTAATGCAACCCTTCCCGGGAGCCCTGGTCTTATGTTTCAAGGTCAGATTTACACGGTCAAAAAAAGTTTTCTTTGCCGCTTGGAGCTTCCACGTCATTGTACTTTATCTAAGCAATCTATTATTTACGATGAAGATTTGCCATACTGCAGGTATAGATCCTGGAAACTTTTCTACTACCTTGGTCTCATCTATGAGCAAGGCTCTATAGGGTGCTATAGCCCGCCACAAAACTCCGCAACGTAAAAGCGAACCCAGTCGCCGTTTGTCTCCCCATTGTTGGCTGCAGCTGATCGATACAGATGAGAGAGTTTGAGTTCGAAATAAGAAACAGCCAATGGAGGATTCCAGAACCGGCGCCTCAACGAAATGAATACGAAAGACACAATGAATACGAAAGACAAAAAGAATAAGCTCTACTAGCCCAAGGCTACAACCATGCAGAAGGAAAACACTGTAAGCTTCATACCGGTGATTCTTGCAAGCTTTTCATCTCCCTATTCGAGTGCTACAAACTCCTAATGTCCGGCTGTCCTGTATTCAGCTAGGGCCCCTCAAGATCTTTCTCAGAGATTAGTTCCCTACGATTGTTGTTAAACTCTCTCCAATCTTGACACGTGGTCTACGGGCCCATTACGCTAATTAAGAAGCATTTCGCTCCCTCCTATTTGTAGGTTTCATGACTGGACTAAGCGAAAGGCTAAAACCAGCGACTGACAACCCTCACTACGTGCAGGATATCATAAATACAACAATGGTTAGACCAAGGCCGTCTACTCCTCTCTCGCTTCTACATTGCTAGGAAAGACTTATCCATTGAAAAATGCGGATTCGAGAGTACGTCCCAGAATTTCACATTTGAGTGTTCAAAGTATGCTAACATACCCAATAGGACGGCCCATCACAAATAACCCAATGTCAGTAGAGGACAGTCATGTCGAGAGGCTGCGATGCGTGCTTTGCTGCACGGGGAGGAGGTGCCCGAATTGCAGCCTCACATATACCTTGCGACTGCCGGAATGACGCGATGCGCGCGTGTTTCCAAAATACAGGTAAATATGCCTTCACGTTCCTTTTTCTTCCACCTTTACCACCATCTTCATCATAACCCCAACCAGCGTCAGCGTCAGCATCAGAAACCACAACATCCAAAGCTACAGCAGCAGCATCAAGAGAAGCAGCAGCATCAATAACAATAGCTGAGCGGTAAGTTAATGATCACCACTCATGTTCAAAGCTAATATAGAGGTCTAACTAATATTTGACCCAGTGTGGTGTTTCGAACAACAGGTCGTTTGACCCGAACCACGGTGGTTAAATCCGGCCCTACTGCCAGGTAAGTAAGCTTCCGAAGAGTTGTACCTTATAAGTATTTAAATGATCAAGAAGCTAACAAATATTCTCTTCATAGTGAAGATGGCGACTCCGCCGCCACAACCACTACCGAAACGACTACCACCGCTTCTCAGGCCACCCCCACGAGCACAACCACGACTACAGCCATGGTATGGGAGGGCGCCATCCACCAGGACACCGAGGCGACTTTGTGGTGCTTTGCTTTTGTTCTAGCCGTCATTTTCGCCGCAGGGTATGTCAAGTGGCTGCTCAAGTAGCGCCCATGTTTGGTGTTGTATTGTTTTTAGAAAAGTTGATTTGATGAATTGAGAAGGGGGTGCTCTAGGCCCTAAATGAAAATAAGCTGCGATCTGAAACAGAAAACGCTTTGATTTAATGACTTTTAGTTATTGAAGGAACGTCCATATCCCTGCTGTCGGGCTTTTGGATGACATTGTCACACTGGCAATGCGATTGACGGGAGTCGTACGAGGGGGCCTTCTCCGTACTTGGCGTTCTCTTCTCTTCGTCAACTTAATGATAGTCTGGTCTTTATACAATCATATCAAATTAAGGACAGTGCTGCTGTGTTTGTCCCCGCTAACTTAACTATAATTCTACTTCGTCTGTGATTCCGTCAAATAAATCACAGTTTCTCATAACATACCTAGTCACTGATCCACTACCCAATGGTTTGAAATTTCCGCGAGCTCGACCAGTTGAAACAGTACAATGACAAGTGGCTACCAGAAAAACACGCACTGCACAGTCACCGTGATAGATTTATTCTGGCAGTCGGTCACATTATAATGCTTACTATTGTGTTATAGTAAGCAGAAAATACTACATAACGATTGGTCAAATATTAATTCTTATTCTTATTTTTTACTACCTATTATCTATCAATATTGTGGCCTGTAATCGAAGGCTAGGATTAACGGACCTATGCCGGCCTTTCTAAGGCTCGCTGTGATGTGATTTCTGGTTCAAGTCCCATCACTTCTCACCAGCACCTACATTAGAGAATCCCGGTATCTTCAGAAGTCAGTATCGATTCCACAGACCTGAGTGTTATCCCATCTCGCTCTATCGAGTGGTGAAAGAGTACATTTAGTCTTGATCTGAGAGTGAGATTCACGGTGACCTGACTGTAGCCGTCTAAGCGAGCGTCAGAATAACAGGGACTGCAAAGGTGATTTAACCCCAAACTTCCAATACAGACTATAATTTTGATAGACTATAGTTGATAAATAAAAATAATCATAAATTATTAGACAATATTACCTGTTTACTATTACACAATAAGAAATATTATCGCGTAACTGACTACCCCAATAAAAATACTGAGGTGACTTTAATGCCCCTGTTTTTCTAACAGCCACTTGCCGTCCTTGAAGTTTGCAGGGATGGTCCCATTTAGCGAATCACTGTCAGATGCTGTTGCTGATGTTGTCGAGCCCAATACTGTTTTGACTTAAACGCAGAAAACATGCTTTGGTGTGACACTAGTTTCAATTGGAAGCGGAGTCAAAGGGCCAAGTTGAGATAGATTTAATGATGGGGCATGGGGATCGTCCGTTAGCTCAGACTTAACTAGAACCAACAGATTCCCTTGGTACGAACGAAGGCTTGACACTTTCCCAAAGAAATCTTACAGTTCCATAACCACTACATTTGGCCAGATCTATCCCTTATTTAATCAATGGAAAAAGAAAAAGAAACAATCGGCAAAGATGTGCCCTGTGGTGATGGCTGGTAGGTGACGATATCAAGTGATCGGCGATGGACATGATATCACATATATATCACGAACGATAAGTAATATTACATCGTGGTAGTCAAATCAAGCTGCATTTCGCGAAGCTAAGACTTCCAAAACAATTGCAACCAAGCCCTGTCGTGTCGTTGGATAACCCTTGCCCTACTAACTAGGACAAGGATAAGTTGCGGTAAATATAGCTACTTTGATCACGAGCGGTCAGCGCTGAGCCTTGGCTGCATTTCTTTAACATGGATGAAACGAGCTTCAACCAATAGAACAGTATACCGCTATTTATCTCAATTAAGGGAGCAGCATCCCGGCACCTGCACCCCCCCGCAGTAAGCAAGAGCCAACACATTGTAGAAATTCATTTCTTCCCTCTCAGCAATCAATGCTCTCTTCAACTCAAACTTCTGATAGAGTGCCCATAAATGACCATGGACACGATGGGACTGAGAAAGCCCGGACTGTCCACAGAGGTCACACAAACTTATGCCTCGGTGCCATTCATCAAAGAAGATGACGGACACACGTATAACCATGCACCATCGTATCCGACACAATCTGGGCGGGTAGCCTCACCGTTTCGATGGTGGACCTTCGAGATACTCTTTTGCCTGGGTGCGGTCGCGTGCATGGCCGCCATTGTTGCCATCCTCATCGTCTACGACGGCAAGCCGCAGGATAGTTGGCCAATCAACAACTTCAGCATCAACAGTATGATCGCATTGCTTGCCACATTTTGTCGGACATTCTTCATGGTTGGTGTCGGTGCAGCCATATGTCAGGGGAGATGGCACCAATTCTCCTCTCGGCATGATGATAAAAGCTTCACCCTAGACGACTTTGGTCTATTTGAGCACGCGAGTAAGAATCCGTTTGCAAGTTTGTGGTTGATTTGGAGATTCAAGGGTCGGTAAGTTGCAACCCAGTACATAAATTCTCTCGCATTTTGTTGCGATTCCTCTATCGAACGTCCTCTGACTGATTCGCAGCAACACAGCTTGTATTGGAGCAGCTCTCTCGGTATTCGCCCTTGCTTTTGGTCCGTTTTCTCAGCAAATGATCACGGTAAGGCTTGATACTTTGGAACAAGCATCTTCGGGAGCTACTGGAGCAGTGTCACGAGTTACGCTGGTAAATTCCGTAATCGGCTATAGCAATTCATGTATGTGTCATGTTTCACATAGGCGCCCATTACGAGTCAACTTGCAAGAGAATTAACTAACTGAAACTAGGGAGCCCAATTTCAAGCACCAAATTGGCGATTTACAATGGATTCATGGCTCCAGAGATTGATATCCCCTCGACTGTCTGCCCGACGGGAAACTGCACTTGGCCAATCGTTCCGACCGTTGGAGTATGCGGAGCTTGCGTCGACACGACGCCAGACATCAAGTTCAACCGTTCCTCTGGATCGTACTGTTCTGTAACTGCCGGAAAATTAGAAGTTAAGGGCCAGTGCGGATTCAGTGACTTTGGAACGGTCTTCAAGATCGGAGCGGGCTCGGGCAAGGTCTTTTCCTTGGAAGACGTACCTCTGGAAGCCGACGCACCCAATCTCATTGCCGAATTTGGAGCGATAGGTGTCCCGGCGAGCTTGACACCGGAAGCGACACTCAACAAGTCACTTGCTGCCGAGTGCGCTGTGTGGTATTGTCTACAGGCGCGCGAGGTCAACATGGATATGGGTGTGCTCACTGATAGGGTTGCCGATAAATGGCACAAGGCTAATAGGACGAATGGGGCCAATGATCCCACATCCAATGTCACTTTTATCGATATACCAGCATCATTCAACGCGGATTCTAAGGACACGTACGGCCTGGGCTATATGCAAATGTACGGCATGAAAAGCTATTTCCAAAAGACCGTCCAGGGCAATGTTAGCGCCGACGGTACTGTCGGTACTAAATTCTCCTCGACTGATTACGCAGAGGGCTTGCACAATGGTTTCGACGATCTCGAGAGCTGGATGGACCGTCTGACCCGGAGCATGACCAACGAGGCCCGGACGAACGGAAACCTGACGAGGACAAACAATGACCGATCCTCAAAGGATAAGAGCGAGCGATACTCGGGTACCGCACGAACAAACCAAACAATCTACTATGTACGCTGGACGTGGATCATCTACCCAGCTACAGTGGTTCTGATATCGGTTCTGTATCTGGCCGTCGAGGTTGTGCGCACCGCCAGCATGCACGACGTAAGGCCATGGAAGGATGACCCGCTGATGCCCTTGTATCTGGACCTGGATGAACAGCTCAAGCAACAGGTTTACCAAGGGCTGACGGAAGGTGGGAGCGCAGCCTCGCGTGTGAGCCATCATCCACTACAAGTCGTCAGGTGGCACGATGGGCTGCCAGTAGGTCTTACTGTCAGAAGGCATTAGTCTACCGTCAAGATTTTTGCCTTTCCAACGGCATAGTCATAACAATGGAGATAGTTGGCACGAAACCCTACCTTAGCGTATGGACAAGACAAAGACAAGGCAATGACTACATTTCAGCTCTTGCAGTGAGCCCCATTGCATCATATAACTGACATTTGCTAAGCTACTGTTGATCCGCGTGATGTCCATGACTGCGATTATATTATTTCTATGCTATCTACCCCTTTACGGCAAGCTAACAGAAAACTTGTTCCGTCCTCTGGTATCCCTGTTCTGAGCTTCGAGCCAGCGTCAGCCCCGCCTTTCCCTGCCGCCGGAGCCACCTGGTCCTGAAACATAAAGCTTCTGTTGACACCCAGCGCAGGGTTCTCATCAGAGGAATCACAAGGCTTCAAGCTAAACATTATATCACTGGAGGCAAACAAAAAACTTAGCCAGATGGTTAGAAATACGAGAAGATATATATATGTAATATGTAGCTTATTACATAAGAGTTCTAGTGCCCTGCTATTCGAGATCGCGGCTGCAGCTAAAATGGGTTTGAAGTGGTCAATTTAAGATAATGCGCCCCGTGTTTCGAGGGTACGAGAAAAATTGGGGTTAAACGTTAAACCCCTTGCCAGTATAACGTTTCGGATTCGACACAATCGGAGCCTTTAGGTCCGCACTACGCATTTGCCTAATGGCCTGCCCAGAGCCCGACACAGCCAAACCCGATTTGTTTCGAAACAACGACGGGCTGATATACTACGAAGATAAGAGTGTTTTTAAAACTGAATAGTCTGCCACACCTGAGATTTCATTAAGTCGTTCACTACAACCTTGGTTTTATTTTCTTCTGCAGGTAGTCCGGAAGAGCTCTTTTCTTTCATTCGTCTCTGCCGTCTGGTTACGGTTTATATTTCTGTATATACACCACTCTCCTTGTTGCTTTATCCCTGGTGACTGGCACGTTCGGAGCAGCTCGAACAAGTCCACCCTCAGGTGCAATCATCGTTGCCAAGTCGGGAGGAGACTACAAGACAATCCAGGTAGCTGTCAATGCCGCCTCCGCCTCCGCGGCAGTCATATTCATCCAGCCCGGGACCTACGAGGAGCAGGTCCTAATAGAATTAGGGGCCGGCGCCTTAACCATCCACGGCTACACTGAGGATGACCAAGATTATAGCAAGAACGAGGTCATTCTTACACATAGCCTGGGTGCCGACGAGGCAGGAAGTAACGATGCTTCAGGTACCCTTCGCGCTAAGGCCGACGGACTCAAGGTGTACAACATCAACATCGAAAACTCGCGTGGAAAAGGTACCCAGGCTATTGCGTTGAGCGCATATGGGAGCGAGCAGGGTTATTATGGCTGTCAATTCCTTGGCTATCAAGACACCATCCTTACGAGTAAGGGAAACCATTACTTCCATGGTTGCTATATCGAAGGGGCTACAGAGTTCATCTTTGGACAAGACTCTATTGCTTGGTTTGAGAGTTGCACCATCGGCATCAGTGCCAAAGGCTACATCACTGCTAATGGGCGAGACGAGGCCAGCAACCCGGGCTGGTATGTGATCAACAAGTCAACCGTTAAGCTCTTTCCGGTGTCAAAGATGGAGCGACCTATCTTGGACGCCCATGGCGCGAATATGCTCGGGTCGTCTTCCAGAATAGTGAGCTTGGCGCGGTGGTCAACTCAGCCGGCTGGTCGACCTGGGGCAGCACACCAACAGACAACGTTTACTACGGTGAGTTTGGAAATACTGGGGAAGGCGCCAGCGGAACACGAGCTGGCTTCTCCAAGAAGCTTGACAGTGCTGTTTCTGTAGGTGACATTTTGGGCTCTACCTCATGGTTGGACTCGAGCTACATTGGTGGCGAAAGCTCTGGAGGCAAGGATGACAATCAGACAGCTACCGGCAGTGCTATTAGAAAAAGCAGTACTGTTAGTCGCATTACCACAACCGTCGGCACTATCACAACACGCAGCACTATTGCCAAACCTAGTGCAATCGCGACCGCCAGCAACATCATAACAACCAGCACCTGTTCTAACGCAGGGTGTGGTGTGGCTACCACGCTGCAGACAATGACAAGACATACGTCTGCCTCAGAAGTCCAAGGCGACGCTACTTCTGCCGCGAGTGCTACTTCTGCGACCCCAAGCGCATCTGGTACGCCAGGCGCTGATGATTGTAGTGGAACACCCGATGGCTTGGCCTCTCTTAACGGCGGAACGACTGGCGGTGCTGGAGGCAAAGTTGTCACAGTATCAACCCAAGCCGACTTGGAGAAGTATGCTGGAGAGGCTGCCATCAAAATAACTCCCAAGGGCACAGAGATCAAGGTCTCCTCGGACAAAACTATTGTTGGCATTGGAAACGATGCGGAGGTTAACGAGGGTGGCTTTAATCTCCAGAATCAGCGCAACGTCATCTTTTGCAACATCAAGATTGGTAATACCTACGTTGAAGGTGATGATGAGGGCAAGACCCAAGACTGGGATGGAATACAAATGGTTAGTCCATCAGCAAAGCTCACTGGGTGACAAGAAGTAATTAACCCAACACGCAGGACAATTGCACCAACATTTGGATCGATCACGTCCACCTGGAAAAGGGCGGCGATGGCCTGATTGATAGTCGCAAGGACACAACCTTTCTGACGGTATCTTGGTCAATTTTGCGGAACCACAATAAGGCATTTGGAATTGGTAATGCGTGCCAGAAAGAAATTGTCATTTATTCCTCAGTCCTTGATGCTAACTATGACCCAGGCTGGACCGATAACGTTGTGGCCGAAATGACAATCCACCATATTTTCTTCGATGAGACGAAGCAGCGAAACCCTTCCGTTGACAATATTAAATACGCACATCTCTACAACAACTATCTCATTGGGCAGACTTCCTACGGCCACTACGCAAGAGGACATACAGAGATGAGAATGGAAAACTGTTATTTTAAGAAGGTCAAGAACCCAATCACCTCGGATAGTACAGCTAAGCTGTACGCCATGGGCAACAAGTTTGACGGGACCTCTGGTACGCAGGCCAAGAATACCGGCACTGTGTTTGATCCATCCGAGTTTTACGAGTATACCGTTGATGCCGTGGAGGATATTCCTGACATTGTCTCAAAGGGAGCTGGTCGACAAGCTAGTATTTGCCCTAGCTAAAGGGGTACCATACTGGAGAGAGTTTTGATAGAAAGTTAAAACAAAAGAAGTCAGACCTAATAACTGAATATAATAAATACAAAAGGTTAAAAAAAGAAAAAGCTTTACTAGCCTAAGGCTATAGTTATACAGTAGAAAATTCTATAAATCTTTATACTAATAACTTATAGTCTAATACTAATAATCTAAAGCTTATAAGCTTTATAAAAACTATTAAGATTAGTAAACTTAATTAAGATAATCTTAATAATCTCTCTATAGAGCAAATTAAAGCTATATATAATTTCAGCTATAATATTCTTAAATATATATCTAAGGATAAACTTAATACTAAGATTATCTTAGTATTAAAAAGTAAGAGATTAGAATAAATAATACAGACTAACTGGTTCGACTTATCTGATTTATCCGATCTAACCGATAGATCCGATTAATCCTATAGACGAGTCAGATCACGTGATATAGATAGATCCAAAAGAATCTATTAGATCTAATAGTTAGCTAGATAAATTCAAGCCTTTTATATATTATAGATTTATTATATAATAATTTATAGTAATTCCTTAGTATAGACTAACTGGTCTAACTTATCTAATTTATCTGATCTAACTAATAGATCTGATTAATTCTATAGATTAGTTAGATTATATAATATAGATAGATCTAAAATATAATAGTTAGATAACTTATACTAGACTGAGATCTAGGATAAGCTAGGGTTAAACTAATTAAATATTTTTCTAAATAGTATAATTAGATTATCTTAAACTATATAATATAAATTATTATTAATATATAAGTATTATAAAGCTAGTAATAATAGATATATAGATAATATTATTAATAATTATCTAAAAAAGTATTTCTATCTAAGAAATAAATATATATATATACTACTAGATTATTAAAATTTAGTAATAATCTATATTTATAGATTATAAGAATTATAATAAGATCTAAATAATTCTATTTTAATTAGTAGTAAAAGATAGAGTTCTATATATAATCTATTATAGAAATAAAATTTATAATATAATATTCTCTCCCTATTAGTTATATTCTTAAGATTATATTCTATAATCTAATTAGTAAGTTATTTAACTTCTTTCTATATCTCTTTTATATCTTTCTATAAATAATATCTAACTATATATAAAAACCCTTCTATAAAAAAACTATTTAGTATAATACTCTTATTAATACTAAACTAGTTATAATAGATTACTAATTAATATAGTAAATTAGAGTCTGAGCTTAAGATAGTAGAAGAGAAATATTATTATATAGATATAAAGATCTAATATCTTTATTAATAAAAGAAATTATAATTAGATAAGATAATATAGATAGTATCTTATAGTATTAATAGTATTAAGGAGTTAGAGTAGATAGAATATAAGAAGGTAGAAGAGATAGCTTATAAGATAGCTTTTTCTTTAGAAGTTACTTCTTTATCTAAGTCTATATTTTTAGAGATTAAGATTAATCTAATATTTCTTTAAGAGGGTATAAAGTTATTCTCTTCTTAGTTTATTAGAATAGGTATTTTTAATCCTAGTAATATTATTAAATAAGCTATTAATAATTCTTTAAATATTTAATAAGTTTCTAGATATTATCTTTATTAGTATATCTTTTCTATTTAACTAAGTAAAATATTTATCTATTTCTAACTTCTTTCTTTAGAATTTTTTCTAGTTTAAATTTCTCTTTATAGATTTTAATTAGATAATCTTAATCTAAAGTACTTTCTAATACTTTTTTTAAATAATAAGATATAAAAAACTAAATAGATATATATTATATTTAGTAATAAAAGTTTATAATTAGTATCTAATTTTTTCTTTATAATTTTAAATAGTTTAAGTTTTTTATAATCTAATTTATTATTTAGTTATATTATTATAATATTTTTATAGAGTAAATAGATTTTATTTTCCTTCTTTAAAATTAATCTTTTTAATCTTATTTTATTATAGTATTTTTTTATTCTTTTCTAAATAAATTCTAATTCTATTTTTATTTCTATATATAATAAATATAATATTTTTTTTATAAATATAGTAGCTAGTATATCTAGTTTATTAAGTTCTAATTAATTTTAAAATTATAATTTATACTATTAATTTATATATATAGATATAAGTTAAATAGATTCTTATATTAAATTATTATATATAATCTATACTATAAATAATAATTATATCTAATTATTTTATTTATAATTAATATATACTTATAAGTATTATTCTAGAGTTTAATTTAATTATTCTATTTAATTATTATTTTATAGATAATAAGCTATTAAAAATTTATATTTTATTTCTATTTATACTATTAATAATTATTAAAACTTAGAAATAAATATTATTTCTCTATTTAATATTATTTTATTAGATAGTTTATAATAACTAACTATATATTATAGAAACTAATATATAAAATCTTCTATAGAGTTTATTTTCTTATATAGAATAAAATATTTATATTTTATAAATCTATTAATAATTATTAGAATACTATTATATTCTACTCTAGTTATTAATTTTTTAAATAGTAATAGTTTAATAATATAATTAAAAAATACTAATTATTATAATTATTCTAATACTAAAACTAGTTTAAGTTCTTTATATAGTTTATATTATATAGATTTAGTTTATATATAAATATTATATTCTAAAATTATAATTTATACTTTTTTTTATAGATTAGAATAATTAGAATATTATTTTATTCTATTAAAGATTTTTTTAACTTTTTAGTATTCTAAAAGTAGATATTTATAAATTTCTTTAATAAGTATTATTCTTACTTTTTATTATAATTTCTCTAGACTTAGAATAATATCTATTTAGACTTTAATATATATTATTTTCTTTAATATAATATCTAAGGTTTTCTATACTAAATATTCTTTATTATTTATTAAAAATAATTATCTATTTATTTTTAGAACTATTTACTTATATTTAGATTTTTAATTAAGAGTATTAGCTTTTCTATTTTCTAATCTCTTTTAATATATAATTTTATAATTAAATTTAAATAAATATTTAGTATAATATATTTATCTCCTATTAAGTTATTAGATTATAGTAAAATACTAAATATTCTTATAATTTATATATATTTTAATCTTATATTATATTTCTAGATAGTAATATTTAAATTCTTTAAATATATATATAATAACTATAAATTCCTTATTATAAATAGAGTAATTAAATTCTATACTATATAATTTCTTTAAATAGAATACTATAGAATATAATCTCTTTTTATTATTCTTTTAATTAATTTATATACTAATTATAAAGTTTAAAATATCTATTTTAAGTTCTACTTCTCTTATTAGATTAAATATCTATAGTATAGATTTATTAGTTATATAATTCTTAATATTATTAAATATATCTTAGTATTTTAAATTCTATTAAAAAAAATTTCTTTTTTTATTAGATTATATAATAGTATAATAATCTTTCTATAGTTTTTAATAAATTATTAGTAGTAATTAGTAAATCTAAGAAAAGTTTATATTTCTTTAATATTTATTAGTTCTTTCTATTTAGAAATTATAATAATTTTACTTTTTTCTATTTATATTTTATTAAGTTAAATAGTATATTCTAGAAAATTAACTTTTTTAATATAAAATTAATTTTTTTTAAGTTCTATTAAAAGATTTATATTTTCTAGTTTCTTTAAGATCTTATATATATATTCCTTATATATATTTAAATTATCTAAGAATATTAAAATATTATTAAGATATATTTTTTTTTTTTATTAGTTTTACTATAAATAAGGGTATATTCTAAGATTAGATAATATATAACTAGATTATATAATTTTTCTAAGAATATAATTAGTAGTCTATATTTAAACCTTTAATACTATAAAATAAAATTAAAATTAAATACTTTTAGTCTAGATATAGATATTAATATCTTAAAAACTCT